CACAGATGACTATCTCGGTGGTCTTCTGATGTGTCGGCAGAAACCCTAGAGTCGCTAGGGTTGGCAGTGGAGGCAGATCTGTGTGTATGACCTAGGCTCTGATACCAGTTGTTAAGAACAAAAGCACACACACACGAACAGAAAACAAGAAAGCAATAAAAACACGAGATTTAACGTGGTTCGGTCTAATCTGACCTACATCCACAGGGGCAACTAGGGTTTGTTTTATTGAGTGATAATGATTACAAGTACAGGAGATCAAATATATAGACAACTAATTAGGGTTTAACCCTTGCTGGACAAGTTATAGCAAACTGGGCTTAAAACCATTTGGGCCGGCCGAAACCCTAATCTGGTCTCCTAATTCTCAGTTGTCTACAAGTGGGCCACTTTGGGCCGATGACTACACATCACCAACATTATATTTATGTCGCATTCAAAGATTGGTAATGTAAAATAAACATGCACATCATGGACCATTGAAAGGACATATTCTATAAAACTTAAAATCGGAAGGAAACCTGCTCAACCAAAGCCACTGTTGGAGCAAGAAAAACGCATACATTCTTCTGGGGTTTTCGAATCAAGTGGGCCATCTCGTACATAAGCAAAACAGCAACATGTGTTTTCCCACAACCTGTTCCAAGATATATAACAGCATTCTCTTTTAGAGCTTTCTCACACAGATCAATCTGGTACCTGTGAAGATTCAATTCAGCATATTTATTTATGTATACTATCACTGGCATGGCAAAATTAATTGCATTAAATATTTAATAACTCGAACTTTTGATCAAAAGGTTGTCACTTACAACAACAACAACAACAACCTACCAACTAAAGTCACATAAGTGGGTTGGGTGTACGTACAGCTTACCCCTGCCTATGCAGGTAGAGAGGCTGTTCTTACAGGTTGTCTCTTACATGCTAATAATATGTTGGGCAAGTTCTCAATCCAGCATTATTAAATCATGACATATTACAAGATTAACTGTCAACACTCAACAAAGTCAATTGTTAACATGGTTTATCCCTGCTTCAAACTCCAAGCAGAAGATAAACAAGGACAAAGAGGATCAGCCCATGTTATAAGGAACACACGTAAGGCTTGACAGTTGACACGAATAATTAATACGGAGTAATTATTAATTAAACTTACAAAACATTCAAGACAGTACGACAACAACAACCTAGTAGGATCCCATAAAAGTAGGATATGTGGGCATAATTCCCAAAAAAAATGTAAAATCACATTAAAGGTATATTACACAACAAACAAAATAAGTAAATTGTTGAGAATAGATGTTATGTGAAAAGGTTGCAGACATCAGCTTAATGGTGTAAAGAAAATAGGCGCCAAACCCGTTAGTAGGGCTAATGGTGTGAAACATAACTTCATCACAAATTTGAAACTCGTAACAGGAAATGGAAGTATAGAACTAATCAATTGTATGCTAAATTCAAATTCCATACTTTCTGGCGACTCTTCTGGGGTCCTTCACGGGGTTGGATCCTCCTACGGTGGCCTCTTCGTCGTCATTCAGGGACAATCCCCAAAGCTCGTCGTCATTGGTGAAGGAAAGCCGGCGTGGCGTGGAGCCTCCCGACGGTTCTGGTGTGGTGCCATTGTTCCGGCCGTCGCCGTCCATGGTAGCGAGCTGGAGTCGCGGGCTCCTGACAGCCGCGGTCAGTCACCGAGAATTTTGACTTGACTGGAGTCCAACCCGTCTGAATTCTCGATTGCTTTCTTTCCTGGTCTCCTGCGCGCCGTGCCGACTTTTTATACTCCGTATAATTGTTATTCCGTACTCCGTCGTTCGTACGAGTATTTTTCTACGGAAGTAGGAGTATGAAGAATGCAAGAAATGCAGCCAACTAGCTACCGAGGCCGGCCCAGCCCAAGGGGGGCAACCCGGAGTATATATGTATATTTTTTTATTAAAAAAATTTAAAATCTAAATTTTCTAAAGTATGTATTACGATATTTGATTATTATATAAATTCATGTAATCTTGTTATATGTATTACCATAAAATTATTAATTTTAAAAAAATTACATAATTTAATTTATTGAGAAATTGTTATTTTGTTTTTTGTCCACAATCTTCAAATTCTCAAAACTCCCATAGTAGTCACATCAAGCACAAATATGTAACCATTTTTTTAAAAAATTATTTTTTCTCATCATGAAATAGATGAAAAATAAATTTGACAGTGAAAGTTTGTTCATCATTTCAATAGAGATATTTTTGTAAAAAAAGGTGTAACAAGTCATTCAAGCATAAAAAATATTAGAGTTTTTAATGTTTAATATAGATAAAATTAACCAACGAAATTTATACTTATCGATGGATCCAATCATGATTTTGACCGCTGCAAGACGAACAATTATTTTTCTAAGATAACTATTTTGATATTTTATACGCCAAAAAATGGTGAGCAAAAGAATAAAAAGTTAATTCTAAAATTGAACCGCAAGTAGAAAAAATGGTTGCTTTAGACTCAAGTCCCGAAGTCATAGGCTTCAGCCTTCGGTAAGCTTAAGTTCTGAATCTCTGGGCTCCGTTTAGCACTAAGTCTAGGGACCCCGAATACTTGGTCTTAGCTTTGAGTTTGGGAACATGGACACTATGACTTAGTTTAACGCCGAACGATCCCTGGTTTTGAGCTTCAACGTTGTGCTCGACTCAGAGCAAATGTCATTGAGACTAATACAGTAATACGTGACCTCGGCCATTTGTACTCGACACCAACCTCCCATGTTTAGCCGTCCAACCAAAACTCTCCTACTTTTTGCACGTTGGTTTCAAATATGTCTATTTTCTCAAAATAAACTAGTCATTAACCTCTAATTTAACTAATGAAATTTGAATATAAGAGTGCAGGTTGTAATTGAATAACCATTAACATGGACATTAGTTGAGCCATTCATGACAGTTAATATGATGATGATTATTGTTGTTAATGTTACAAATGCTATCTACATTAATCAAGCCTCTTTGTTGTCTCAAAGAGACGTTGAGTGAAACACTCAACGTTTTAAAAGTTTAAGAGATATTTTGAAAATTTTTCGTTTTATGTGAATGATAACTTTGTTGTAATTATCGTTCACCGATACACCTCAAGATTGTACAACTAAGTTGTGTTATAGTGATTTTTTTTAAAGGAAGAGCTTCTATGTTAAAAATAAGGAAGAGTACTTAGATTCGTTTAAAGGAGATTAAACATTTACAAATTGAAATTATTTATTGGTTCACACAATTTTTTCCGTTGGATACAATTTAGAGAGAATTAGATATCAAAGCAAAATTCAAGATGATTTTCAAACTTAAATTTTCGACCTTTAAATCTATTTTCGACCAACCTAATTAAATCAATAATTAGAGGTGGCAATGGAGGTGAAGGTGGAGAAATTAGAGGTGGCAGCGATGGAGACGAAGCACTGTTCATATGCGAACTTCTCCTACAAATTGTTTGAATCCGAACTAGATACTCCGTATCACTCCTCCCTCCCCACCTCCGCAATATTTTATCATCCCTTTACTAAATTCTCTAGAAATTCATAATAAATGACAAGTTCATACTGTTTTGTTTGGGGTGCTCATACTCTAGGGATTAATAACATTTCCAAAGATTATTTGGCTGTTTAAAGCTCCATAACATCAACGCGGGATGAGCTCAGAAGTAGAAGTGGTTGCAAAATTCATGGAACAGTCCTCTTTCCCGCAAGGGCTCAAATCGCCATAACCACCTTCGTCCTGTCCCGCTTGTCTTGCAAACGCAGGCATTTTCGGAGCAGGTAGGGTTCGAGATTCATAACTGAGCATCGAGTAAACCTCCAGCATAGACGGCCTGTCTTCCCATCTCTCCTGAACGCATAGCAGAGCCACTTGCAGGCATCTCTTCATCTTGCACGGCGACATAGCGTCGTCCAATGACGGATCTGTGAACTCCTCGCTCCGGTCAGTCTTGCACATCTCATATGCCTGAAATATTTTTGGTTACTTGTTAATATTGTATACTCCGTATTTAGAGTCTGAATTGGCCGGAAACTTGTAGATTGGGCTTATTATTGATCACTTACATATTCTAGTAGTGTTTGATTCTTATCTGTTCCATATGTACAATCATTCTTCTTGCCACTAATGATTTGCAGTAGCAGAACTCCAAAGCTATAAACGTCATATTTTCTGGAGTATATACCCCCCTTAACATACTCGGGTGGAACACATCCGCTAAATTACAAAAAAAAAAACTTGATTAGAAGTATAGAGGTTGTGTGAATCAAAAGTGATTTTACTTCTGATTAATGAGAGAGTATACATCTTGAGAGCCAGAGTTGAAGATCATTAGTACAATACAAGAGATTTATCTACAAAAACCATCAAGCAAGGAACATAGACAATCACAAATACTCCATCTGTAGTATAAAAAAGAGTCCCCCAGTATCTTGACAAAAAAGTGTACCTTCTTAAATTTGGACTTTTTATGGGACAGATGGAGTAAATATTATTCCTAAGAAGGAGTGGGCGGAGGTGGGTGTAGGGAAGGGGTTAGATTACTTACTATGTCCCGATAATCCGTCCTGTATTTGCTTGATTGTCTTTAGTACAGAAGATCTTAGCAATGCCAAAGTCTGATATTCTCGGCTTCATCTCATCATCCAACAAAATATTGCTAGCTTTCAAGTCCCTGTGAATCACTGTGAACGCAGAGTATTCTTGAATATATATAAGCCCTTGAATAATCCCTTTGATGATCTGAACTCTTTTCTCCCAATTTAACTGCACCCGCTTACTTGGCTCTACAATAGATAATCAAATTGGTGAGTTTATGCAGCAAGATTGATAATTTTGATGCTAGTGTAGTGATGATTGTATAAAGACCGTATATATGGCAGTCCAAGCTCTTATTTGGCATGTATTCATATACTAGCATCTTCTCTTCTTTTTCACTGCAAAAACCCTGAACTCTTAGCAGATTGACATGCTGTAACTTCACTGAAAGTGTAACCTCATTTTGGAACTCCTCCACTCCTTGCACAGAGCTTTGGGAGAGGCGTTTAACTGCAATTTCTTGTCCATTGGGTAGTTTACCCTGGATAAAGAAGCATGCACGAATTAAATGGTAACCCCTCTGCTTTAAAGTAATACTCCAATAATCATGTTTCACACATCGTTTTGGTAAAAAAAATATTGAGCGAAAAAAAGAGATGCACATGTCTCATATAAAAAATTTCATCAGCTGTTGACCAGATATACGCTCATTTAGCCATTTATATACAATAGTGGTGATTGATAGAATTCAGTAATTGAAATTTTATACATTTCAGATTTCAATGGTGAGTTAGGAATGATAAGCAATCTTTTATTGCTTCGAAGGCTAATCACCTTATAAACAGGCCCAAATCCACCCTCCCCAAGTTTGTTTTGTAATGAGAAATGGTCTGTGGCTACTTTCATTTGAGCAAAACTGTAAATTTGCAGATTACCATCTGCTGGTCTCTGATTTAACTTTCTGTTCCCTGTAAAATATTAAAATCAGAAGATCCTGATATAACGAGTTAAGCTGTTGAAACTAAATAGTGCCAAAGTACCTGAATAGTTGCCTTTTCTTCTTACGGCTTTCCTTGTTACACAACATATTGCAACACATAAGAGGAAAGCACCCATAGTGCATGCGGGCAGTAAGATTGCCAATTCACTCCCCCTTGTGTCATGCTCACTATCTTTTGTGCCCTTAGCTGTGAAATTAGTCACTATTATATGAACGTTATTGTAGTTTTTGAACCATCTATGCTCAAGAATTTGTGGATCTATGTAACATTAGTTGCTTATTTGCAGACTAAAAATAAAATTTTCTAAATAAGTACTTCTCTCTGGCTAGATTATATACTTATACACCACAACCAAGGATAATCCCAATTCTGTTGGGGTGTGGCGTGTGGGGTTAAGATGTATGCAGTCTTATCACTAAAAAACAAAGAGGTTGTTTCAATTAGACTCTAGATGCATTGCTGCATTTAATATCCAGAATTCACTGAAAGTAAGAAGTGATGTTTAATATGGAAGAATAATAAAAACTTGTTAGGCTTCCCACTTTTGGTGTGCACCGGTAAACTCTGTGATACAGCACAAGGGAGAGCCACACCCTAAAAGCTAGCTGATAAGGTGGGAGAACCCTTGGCTATATAAACCCATCACCAAGTTCCCCATATAACGAGTGTGGGACAATGAAATCAGTCCGTATCATTCGACCCCCCATAAGGCCCAACGTCCTCGTTGGTCACGGCTACGTTGGTCACGGCTGGTTTCACCAGGCCACCACTCCGTGGGCCACCACTCCGTAGGCCACCACTCCGTAGGCCACCACTCCGAGTTGGCTCTAATACCATTGATACAGCACAAGGGAGAGCCACACCCTAAAAGCTAGCTGATAAGGTGGGAGAACCCTTGGCTATATAAACCCATCACTAAGTTCCCCATATAACCGGTGTGGGACAATGAAATCAGTCCGTATCACTCTGCTCCTCTACCCTAACATGTGAATCACACACGAGAGGAAAACTTGACTAGCTCATGGTTTAGGAGGTGATTAGGAAGTCCCTGTGTGATTCAACGGTGGCACGTTATCCTTCCCAGCCAACTGAGTTGGCTGTCTTCCCCTAAATTTGTGCCAATCATGATTTCAAATCATAGTGCCTAACCTACTTTAGAGAGCAACATCGGCAGCATCACTAGGAACTTGAAATATAGTGTAACCATTAACCACGGAATCCTTTCTCCTTTGCATAGGAAACCTTAGTCTTGATAGCCCCCATCATCATAACCAATCCAAAACGATTATACGGTGACGTAGTTCTAAGCGTAAGTGAAGTTATGCACTGGTGTGGCATTGTAGCCACCCATTGTAGTTCACATCGTAATTTTTGAACTTCTTACTAGTCATTTATGATAACTTTAAGTACTAAACTATGAATCAGAATATTGTACTTCCTCCGTCTCAATTGAAGTTGCATGTTTACTATTCACGAGGTCAAACTTTAATTACATTCTTTACCCATTTGAGAAAATAATATACTCTTGTCACTTGTTTTACAGAACTTTTGATGTAGTTTTTAAATGTATAAATTTCATTTTTTTAATTCCATACCAGTTTTCAAATAATTGAATTGAAAATAACTTCGGTCAAACTTCGTAAACAATAGGCAATTTAAATTGAGAGGAGAGAGTATGTACTTAATCTAGAAAACACGGAGCTTATAATAATTGCACAAATGCATCAACTTTAACTTCAAGTGTTTCACGAGTGGTTGTAGAACTCAAAATCTTAAAAACAATGCAAAAGGTCTCGTGGAAAAAAGTGCATGATGATACAATATCATGCATATAAAAAATTCATACATGTTTGTCATCTAGCTCTAAGAACGTCCCCACTCCAAAAAGAAAGACCCAAATGTTTTCTCATCGCCAACCTCAAAGAAGAAGGCCAAGAAGTCCACTGCAACATCACAAGCTAAAAGATGCTTCACTTAAGGCTCAATACAAATATACAATTTCACAGCCAATTGAGTTCACCTCAATTAGACATGTTGGTTTAGATGAACTTAGTTGGGTGTGAGACTATATTGAACTTTAAGTATCCTAATAATCTGCTTGGTAGTTTTTAATGGCAAACTCGAAGCATCCTTTAGCTCGGGATGTTGCAGTGGAGTTGTAGGCCTTGTTCTTAAAGGTTGGCAATGAGAAGACAATTGGGTCTTTCTTTGTAATGAAGAAGGAACGTTTTTTGAGCTTAGATGAAAAACATGTATGAATTTTTTATTTACACAATTTCTTATATGATATTGTATTTTCATGTTTTTTTCTTCAGGACCTCTAGCATTATTTTCAAGATTTTGAGTCCCGGCACCACTTTTTGAAGGTAGAGTTGGTGCATTCGTGTAATTATTACAGAGTATAAGCTTTGTATTCTCTGGATTAACTATATACACTATCCTGAGTCATAGTTCAGTACTTGTAGATATCGTAAATGATTAGTAGTAAGTTTGGAAATTTGCGTCATTTTTTCTAGCTTCTTAGGAACTCGTATAGACACTCTTTTTTGGCAGTATTTATGTGTAGATTTGATACAAAGTGGACTCTGACTTTAAGCTTGACTCAAATACCTACTAGAATTTGTGTAACTTCATACTCCTAACCTACACTAGGATGTTATAGTTCTACCACTTCTACACACGTCCTTGGGAAGCTACTTATTTACCCACTCCTACATATCTTTCTGCAGTGCATATACCATATAAGCTAGTCAAGTGCTTTCTCTGGACTACTGTTTTTATTTTCTAAATGGCTAACCTGCTCTAGAGAGCAACCAATCGGCATCATCACTAGGAACTTGAAATATAGTGTAACCACGGAGTCCTTTTTCCTTTGCATAGGAAACCTTAGTCTTGATAGCCTCTACATCATCATAACCAATCCAAAATGATTCTACGGTGAAGTAGTTCGCAGCGTAAGTGGAGTTGTACACTGGTGCGACATTGTAGCCACCCATATACATCTTTATGTACCTATAGCTCATCGACCCATCCTGCGTTATGGCCAAACCTTTTGCAGGTGATCCCACAGTGTTGTCCCGCGGGTTCACAAGTGTCCAAGCGTAGCCATGGAACGGTAGACCAATGGTCAATTTGTCTGGAGGACACCCTTTTCTGAACCATTCCTTTATGCCATAATCGGTGTTTAACTTCCTGAGGGGATCATACAGAGCAGAATGTGGTCCAGTGAAGTTATCTCTCGTAGGCCGATAGTAGTCATATGACCTGAGATGAATCCAATCAAAGTTTCTGACAATTGAATTAACAGGGTAGGTCATGGAGTCCAGCGTTGGGGAGTAGTGCGCTCCCATTGTCAAGATCAGTCGTGGGGCCCGCGTGTCGGAGTTCACAGATGCCCGCCACTCGTCCATGAAAGCTCCCATATCTGACTGCATGTTGTTAGGAAGGACGCCGTAGAGATCCAGGCCATGGAATCCGTATTCCCTGGCGGTCTGTATGGAACTCTTGATGAATGGTTTCCTGTGAGCAGACTGATTTGCCATTGAGAAGAAGTGTGTTGCCTCCTCTTCCCCTGCCCAAATTGACAGTACAGTTTTGACGGATGGGTTCTTGCGTCTGACGATTTCTGTGAATGTTGAGATGTAGGGCTGATCGGAGTGGGATATGTAGAGCTCGTAAGTGGAGGGATTGATGTGGGCAAAGGCAAAGACGAGGTGCGTGTAGAGAGATGAATCGATGTCTGGCACGGGGAACTCACTGCCGGCATACCAGAAACCAGATTGCACCCAAGTGGCTTTTGATGCTGAAGTGCAGCTGCTGAAAGCAGGACAAAGGAGGGAGATGGTGAGGAAGAAGATGAGCTCGGAAGACATGGATGGGTGGATACAAGAAGGCGGCAGGCAGTGGTTTGGTTTTCTCTCAGGTATAAAAAAAACATAGTACATTTTACATGTTTCTTGGACTTTACCTCAGGGTGTCAACTCTGATAAAACAGATGATAGGTACATATTTATAGGTATGAATGGGTAGCTAGTTAAAATAAAAGTCTGATAAAATAGACTTGACATTTGCACTAACATGGGCAATGCAGCTGCCACGAAGTCAGAGAGAAAAATAGGATGAATAGCTCTAATTTGACGTGACTTGAGAAAATTCTTTGTATTGCTGCACCCATTGTCAAATTCAATTTGTCTTCCTTCCCATAGTTAAAATGGACTACAGAACTCAAAGACCCTAAACCATTGATTTCTTAAAGCTCATGTTATACACCGTATAAAAATAAGATTTGCACATCATTGTTTTACAAAATAATGGTTTTCTTACGCACAGTAATTGTATGTGCATAATTATCTCTAAGAGATGTCATTTCTGGGTTAATGTGACATCATATCATTTTTTTATATGAGTAGCAAAAATGGGTCAATAACGTGATAAAAGTTGGACTTTGTGAATAAAAAACAGACAACTTAAACTGAGACAGAAGAGTATATGAATTTGATTTTTAAATACTCTCTCCGTCCCTCAATTCTTGTCCACTTTCATTTTTACTCATCCAATGCACTTCTTTAATCCATTTTATCTTGTAATTTGTATATTAAAAAATTATAGAAATTATATATTAATAATCTACTCCGTATATGTTAAGATAAATCAAACAAGATCATACATGACTATATTTAGGCTTACACATTGAGAGAATTTGATGAGTCAAATTGCTTAGATGAACAGTTTCAAAAGTCAAAAGTGGACAAAAAACTAGGGGACGGACGGAGTACTTCAATTATTTGAGATTGTTTAAGTTGTGTTTCGATTGAGGGGAATGAAGGGAAGGGGAGTGTGAGTGATAGGGTTGGGTTCGAAAAATGGAAAGTTGCACATCTAATTGAAATCGATCAAAACAAGCCAGAAAAAAAGTCGTTTTGGAAAAGTTCAAACCGAATGTAAAGTATACTGAACCAAACTGTTATTGATTGGTTTCTGTTTTGATTTCATTCTGGAAAATCGAACTGAACTGAATAAACTAAACTTTCTTATGTTATGAGTATATATGATTTGTGAAAAAAATTATAGAAACATAAATTCAAATAACTCAATAGTTAATTAAAGTTATTTTGCCTTAGCCATTAAACATTTTAAACTACTCCCTATAGTCTTAAAAACCTTTTTTGTTTTGACTTTTTAAATCAAATAGTGACATTCTTTCATCATAAATTAAATATAATATAAATAGATAAATGATATTAAAATTTAATTATCAAAAATATATCTTAAGATGAACTCAATTATATTACATTTATATTATAATTAAGTATACTTTTTTACAATTTGTAGTCAAAATGTGTCATTGTTTGATCAAATAATCAAAACTGGAAAAATTTTTAAAACCAAAGAGAGTATATTATAAACTTTAAAAAATTTTTAGAGTATACTTAAACACGAATAACTAATCTTAATATAAAATTATATTAACATTAAAAATTGATACGAGTAATTTTTATAGATACATGGGAACTTTGATGTTATAATATAAATGAAATTACTATATCAAAATACTCAAATACTTCGTAATTGATATTGAGGCCGGTTCCAGAGCCACTGGAATCTAGTGGCTACGGAAGCCACCGCCCCTACAAAGCTCCGCTCATGAAATTGATGATTCCTACACCCCATAACCCCCCAGTAAATCCCCCCGTCAAGTCTCGACCCAAACTACTCCCCTCACTTACGTCAATTCCACCTCGCAAGTATAAAGTAAAAAATTTTGACTTTAAAGTCAATTATACTTGCAAAGTGCAATTGACGTAGGTGGGGGGAGTAGTTTGGGTCGAGACTTGGCTGTGGGGTTTGCCGGGGGGGTAGGAGGTGTAGGAATCATCAATTTCATGAACGGAGTTCCATAGCGGGGCAGTGGCTTCCGTAGCCACTGGATTCTAGTGGCTCTAGAACCGGGCTCATTGATATTTACATACAATAGCTTTGAAAGTATTGAGAATCTTCTAGATGTTTCTTGGACATTAGACACATACTCCATTCGTCCCAAATTAAATTGTCTCTTTACTATTTATATGATCAAATTTCATTCATTTTATTTCTCTTTTTCGGTAATTATTTGATAAAATAAAATAGTCATGTCATCACTAGTTTTGTAGATCTTTTGATGTAGTATTTTCTAACTTTTATTTTTTAATTATACACCATTTTTCATATAAAACAATTTAAAAATAATTTTAGTCAAACATCGTAAAACGAAACAAACAATATAAATTAGGACAGAGGGAATACTTTTTTACATTAAATCGAACCAAACCAATCTTTACTCTTCTCTTGAATTTGGTAAAAACTGAACCCCACCTTACATATTGTTATTGCTTAATTGAATTAGTGTTGTTACAACTTTTTTAATACTAATAAATTTTTATAATCAAAATAAAAACCACATAAATGGTTTATACATTTTTTGTGCTGAGTTTGAACAACTAACTTGAATCCGAAACGTATTCCAAGATAACTTTGAATTTTTGGTAATAACTTTCAGATCTCACATTATTTTAAAATATTTGAGGGTATTCTTGATTTTTTTTGATAATAACAAAACACTTATAAGAGTAAATTTTTTGTACGAACTTATCTTTTATTTTACTGTTATGAGGGAGCTTATGCATCAACCGTTTGTTTAGGAGATAAAGGGTGGGAAGACGCCGGCAATAATCTGATTAATCTCTCTTCCCTTCCTGGTGCAGGTGGTGTCAATGAAGACGAAGGTGGTGGTGGAAATGGAGGCGTAGGTGGAGAAATTAGAGGTGGCAGCGATGGAGACGAAGCACTGTTCATGTGCGAACTTCTCCTACAAATTGTTTGAATCCAAACTAGATATCACTCCTCCCTCCGCAATATTTTATCTTCCCTTTACTAAATTCTCTAGAAATTCATAATAAATGACAAGTTCATACTGTTTTGTTTGGGGTGCTCATACTCTAGGGATTAATAACATTTCCAAAGATTATTTGGCTGTTTAAAGCTCAATAACATCAACGCGGGATGAGCTCAGAAGTAGAAGTGGTTGCAAAATTCATGGAACAGTCCTCTTTCCCGCAAGGGCTCAAATCGCCATAACCACCTTCGTCCTGTCCCGCTTGTCTTGCAAACGCAGGCATTTTCGGAGCAGGTAGGGTTCGAGATTCATTACTGAGCATCGAGTAAACCTCCAGCATAGACGGCCTGTCTTCCCATCTCTCCTGAACGCATAGCAGAGCCACTTGCAGGCATCTCTTCATCTTGCACGGCGACATAGCGTCGTCCAATGACGGATCCGTGAACTCCTTGCTCCGGTCAGTCTTCCACATCTCATACCCCTGAAATATTTTGATTAATTGTTTATATTGTATATTTAGATTTCGGTTTAGGCTTATTATTGATCACTTACATATTCTAGAAGTGTTTGGTTCTTATCTGTTCCATGTGTACAGTCATTCTTCTTGCCACTTATGATTTGCAGTAGCAGAACTCCAAAGCTATAAACATCATATTTTCTGGAGTATATGCCTCCTTTTATGTACTCGGGTGGAACACATCCGCTGTATTACAAAACATAACTTGATGAGAAGTATAGAGGTTGTGGGAATGAAAAGTGATTTTATTATGAGAGAGTGAGTATACATAGAGAATACATGTCAAGAGTCAGAGTTTAAGATCATAAGTCTAATACAAGAGATGTGTCTACAAAAACCATCAAGCAAGGAACATAGACAATAACAAATACTCCATCGGTAACATAAAAAGAGTCCAGTATCTTGACCAAAAAAGTTTACCTTCATAAAACTGGACTTTTCTATGGGACAGGTGGAGTAAATATCATTGCTAATAAGTGGTGGTGGTGGGGGGTTGCAATGGCTGCATGTGGCCAAGCTGAAGTGGTTAGATTACTTACAGTGTCCCAATAATTCGTCCTGTATTTGCTTGAGTGTCTTTAGTACGGAAGATCTTAGCAATACCAAAGTCTGATATTCTTGGGTTCATCTCATCATCCAACAAAATATTGCTAGCTTTTAAGTCTCTGTGAATAACTGTGAATGCCGAGTATTCATGAATATATATAAGCCCTTGAATAATCCCTTCAATGATCTGAACTCTTTTCTCCCAGTTTAATTGCACCCGCTTACTTGGCTCTACATTCGATAATCAAATTGGTGAGTTTATGCAATATGTTGATAATTTGGTGCTAGTAAAATGATGATTATTTAGAGTCATAGAGACCGTATAGGTGGCAGTCCAAGCTCAAATTTGGCATGTATTCATATACTAGCATCTTCTCTTCTCTTTCGCTGCAAAAACCACTAACTCTTAACAGATTGACATGCTGTAACTTTACTGAAAGTGTAACCTCGTTTTGGAACTCCTCCACTCCTTGCACAGAGCATTGGGAGAGACGTTTAACTGCAATTTCTTGTCCATTGGGTAGTTCACCCTGGATAAAGAAGCATTCACGATTCAAACGGTAACCCCTCTACCTAAAACAGTACTCCAATAATCTTTTTTCACACTTCTTTTTGGTCCAAAAAACAGTTAAGTGCGATCACATAAAGGTAATTCGTGAGCAAAAAAAGAGATGCACAAGTCCCATATGTAAATTTTTATCTGCTGTTGATCAGATATACGCTCATCTACATAGAAAAAGTAGTAATTGATATAAATCAGTTAATGAAATTCCATACATTTCAGATTTCAAAGCTGAGTTAGCAATGATTTAAGGAATCTTATATATCTTCTGGAGGTAAATTACCTTCCAAACAGGCCCAAATCCACCCTCCCCAAGTTTGTTTTGTAATGAGAAATTGTCTGTCGCTACTTGCATTTGAGCAAAACTGTAAATTTGCAGATTACTATCCACCGGTCTCTGATTTAACTTTCTGTTCCCTGTAAAAGATTGAAATCACAAGATCTTAATATGACGTTTTATTGGTTTTAAGTTGTTGAAACTAAATAATGTCAACTGCCATAGCACCTGAGTAGTTGCCTTTTCTTCTTACGGGCTTCCCTGTCACACAACATATTGCAGCACATAGGAGGAAAGCACCCAACGTGCATGCGGACAATAAAATTGCCAATTCACTTCCCTTCATGTTATGCGGACCATCTTCTGTGCCCTGAGCTGCGAAATTAATCACTATTATATGAACATCTATATAGTGTCTCTACTATATATGTTCAAGAATTTGTGGATCTATGTAACATTATTTGCTCATTTGGAACGACTTTTTAAAGGATTTTTTCTTAGATAACTACTTTTCTAAAGCATTTAGAGGCTGGCTTTCGACTGCGGGCGTGCACTGGTAAACTCTACTCCTCTATCCTAATATGTGACGCACATGGGAGAGGTAAACTGAACTAAATAGTTCATAGTTGACTAGCTCACGGTTTAGGAGGTGATTATGAAGTCCCAATGAGATTCGACGGTTACATGTCATCCTTCCCAACCAACTGAGCTGGTGTCTTCCCCTAAGGCTGTGTTAATCACAATTTCAAACGATAGTGGCTTACCTGCTCTAGAGAGCAACCAATTGGCATCATCGTAAGGAACTTGAAATATAGTGTAACCACGAAGTCCTTTCTTCTTCGCATAGGAAACCTTAGTCTTGATTGCCTCGACATCATCATAACCGATCCAAGACGATTTTACCGTGAAGTGGTTCACAACATAAGTGGAGTTGTACACCGGTGTGACATTGTAGACATTCATGTACTTCTTTATGTCTTTATAGTTCATTGACCCATCTCGTGTTATGGCCCAACCTTTTGCAGGCGATCCCACAGTGTTGTCCTCCGGGTTCACAAGTGTCCAAGCGTAGCCATGGAACAGTAGACCAATGGTCAATTTGTCTGGAGGAAACCCTTTTCTGAACCATTCCCTTATGCCGTAATCAGTGTTTAACTTGCTTAAGGGATCGTATAGAGCAGAATGTGGTCCAGTGAAGTTATCTCTTTTAGGCAGATAGTAGCCGTATGACCTGAGATGAATCCAATCAAAGTTTCTAACCATTGAATCAACAGGGTAAGTCATGGAGTCCAGCTCTGGGGAGTAGTGTGCTCCCATTGTCAAGATCAGCCGTGGGGCCCGTGAGTCAGAGTCTACAGATGCCCGCCACTCATCCATGAAAAGCCCCATATTTGACTGGGTGTTAGGAAGGACACCGTAGAGATCCAGGCCATGAAATCCGTATTTCCTGGCGGCTTGTATGGAACTGTTGATGAACGATTTCCTGCTGGAAGACTGGTTAGCCATTGCGAAGAAGTGTGGGGCTTCCTCTTTCCCTGCCCAGATTGACAGTAGAGTTTTGACGTACGGGTTCTTGCGTCTGATGGTCTCTGTGAATGTTGAGATGTAGGGTTGATCGGAGGGGGGTATGTAGAGCTCATAAGTGGAGGAATTGATGCAGGCAAAGGCAAATACGAGGTGTGTGTATAGAGATGAACTGATGTCTGGCACCGGGAACTGACTGCTGGCATGCCAGAAACCAGACTGGACCCAAGTGGCTTTTGGTGTTGAAGTGATGCTGCTGCTGCTAAAAGTACAACATAGGTGGGAGATGATGAGGAAGAAGATGAGTTCTGGAGACATGGATGTTGGATGCAATGCAGGCAATGTTCTCCTCTCAGGTATCAAAACTTTTTACATCTTTCTTTCTTGGACTTTGCCTTAGGGTGTCAACACTGAGAAAATAGATGATTGGTACATAAAGGTATGAATGGGTAGCTAGCATTCAGGCTCCAATGAAAACAGATTTGAGGGTTTCTCATACTTTAGGATGTGACCAGTGACCACTTCTGTTTTAAGGGTAAAGAAAAGAAAAAATGGTAAAAGAAAAATGTTTGGTTAGAATAGAAAACCAAGAAAGAGAGAAAAAAAATGGGGAAGAAAATTTAGATTAAAAAAAGAAAAAAAATAGTTTTTCTTTCATTCATTTTTATATTCTTTCTCTCTAAAAAAACTCATCATTTCCTTTTCGGGTCGTCCCCAAAAAAGACTCCTTCCTTTTTTGGCAAATTTTGTGTGACCCAACATCTTTTTCTTTTCCTTGCATCACTATCTACTCCGTACAACACAATTTCAATTTTTCTTAAACCTTGTGTCAAATTATATCGGGAGGCTACACTAGCAAAGAGTGATTCTATGGTGCACCTAAGGTCCATAGGGACCTTCTCACATACGGAGTATTTTTTAAATTTTAAAAATGCGTATTTCAATACCTGAAAATACTTGCTCCATAATTTTGTTACGAAACAATTCTTTATGATAAAAACAATATAATTCTCTTTGTTGATACTTTAACACTGGTTCAAAAAATATGGAAGAAAAAGAAAATTATTTTCTCTCAATTTCTTCCCCAAAATGGAAGGAATTTAATTTTACTTCATCTTTTTAAAATTTGTTCTCTTATTTCATTTTCCTTCTAATTTTCTTTTCTTTTCTTCTCTAATAAAACATGAAAATATACTTTTCCTCTCATTTTTTCTCTTCTCTTTCAAATTCCTTGACTCAAACATAATGTAAATCAAACGGTTAATCACAAGATATTTTCTCCATCCTAAGATCAAATTTTCAAGTTGACTTTACACACATAGTAAGAAAGAGAAATGAGTTATTGATTTAGGGTATCTTATTCCAGGTTCTCCCAACAAAAAATTATGGATTCACATATACCCCCTTATCTTTCCAATAACCATTTTTCTTTGTCCACAATAGATATTTTCATTTCATTATTTAACAATTAAAATACCACAACTATCCACCTTTATTTATTACACCTCACCCACCTCATTTAATACACTCCACCCATTTTCATTAAGGATATTATGGTAAACTTTTACCTTTTTTCAACGGTCCTTAAAAACCACCAAACGTCCAAAAGTCAAAATGGGAACATCTTAGGGGGACGGAGGGAGTAATAAATATAAAATATCATCTACTCACATACCACTTCAAACACAAATAAAGATAAATTCTTTTTTATCCAAAATTAGTTTCTTACATATTTCTTTAGGGATCATTTAATTAAGTGAATTCTTTAACACTTTTTGAACATTTATTAACTCCTTTCAAATTGTACTCCTTCCACTTTTTTTTTTTTTTTAACTTTTTCTAGTTTTTTTAACATTCAACTTTAGAATTCAACAAGAAAAAAAGTCTTTAAAAATGATATAAATATCTTGGACCATACAAACTTTTTCATTAAAAAATGAAAAGTAAATTTTACGATGGTAAAAAATAGTGATAAGAAATTATTAGAAGACAAAGGGGAGAAAGATTAAAGTAGGACCAAAACATTAAAAATATACCAAAGTAATACTTTCATGTTTTTATTTTCAAAATAGGACTTATATTACCAAACATGATTATGTACATTACCAAAAACGTATAGTAATGTCTATATGTACAATGTCATACCACCACAGTGCATAGTCTTATTTTGGAAAAGAAAAACATAAAATTTTGGTTTTGTTATTTTTTTCTATATTTTATTCCTATTTGGAGTGATTTCTGAAGACAAAGATGGTATGAACATACATACTCCATCCTTAAAGAAAAGTTGAATGTGTTTGGGGGATGCCGGATAACAAAAACGTGACAAATGTTAATTGCAATTATAAAGTCAATATAAAATTTTAATTTTGTCAATGAATTAATTTATATATATTTTCATTTTAATTTCGTAAAATTACATAATAATGTTTCTTTGTTGATTGAGATAACGTCAAATTATTTATGTCAATTTTTTGTTTAATTAAGATTAATAAAAAAACCTTGGTACTTTTTCCACTATTTTGTGACATTAAAATTAAAAAATAAAAATTTAATTAAAAAAAGTAAAACAAGTACAAGTAAAGGGCCTGTTTGGGAATAGCTTTAGCGATTAGCGTTAGCGTTTTCAAAAAGCTATCTACGGACAGCTTTTAGCGTTAGCGTTTTCAAATTAATCTGCACCGTTAAAATTTTATTCAAAACGCTGACGCTATTCGCTAACGCTATTCCCAAACAGGCCCAAAAAATACTCCATATTGCTATAAACTCAATGACTCGATATGTGGTTTGAAACAAAAATAGTTCAGAGGTACTGTATATGTTAAAACATAAATAAGATAAATAAGATAAATGAAGTATAAATTGTTTTAATAAATTTTTAAATTTTCAAAAATATAACTCCTTTCAATATTTGTTTCCAACATTTTTTATTTTTTAATTCTATCGAGTTTCTTCCCATGTTTTAATATATCCAACTGTTTAGTTTCTTTTTGACTCACGGTCTATTCTTTTTATTAGAATTCCAAAATTGGATGATGAGAGAAATTAGAAATTGTTTGAAAATGAAAAGTGATATAAAAATTACTCAATTAATTGATCGTCTAAATAAACGTGTAAGAAAATTAATTTTAATTTAAAAATACTTTATCTTTATTCGTGTTTGACATGGTAAAATATAAAAATCGATATATGATGTCATTGTGAATTCAATAATTCATCATATCTAAACAAGTCATTTAAATCGTTAAAAAATAGGAAGAAGTTAGAAAAAATTAAAAGAAGTAATAGAAAATTAAAACGAATGCGAGAAAGTTTAAAATTAATTTTTTCAATCCAAAAAAAGATGTGCTCAGTCTAATTTTATTCAATTTATTCTAATTTTTCCAAAACATAAACAAAAAAAAATTTGTCATTTTTCTTTCACATGAATGTTAGGTACGTTAGGTAGAGTTGGATGAAAGCAGGGCGGAATTGGTTGATTGTCTGGTGTTTGTCGTGATGCTCCCGACGGACGGAGCTTTCATTCGTCAATCGTCAAATCCTCTGAAAACCGGTGAGTGGGAGAGCGCCCATGGGGAACCTTACGTCGAACGTGGCCGCAAAGCTGGCATTTTTCCCCCCAGATCCGCCCACATACAACGTTTTCAAAGACGCCGATGAAGGGCGGCTGTGCGTCAGCGGCGTGCCGGCCGACAAGGACGTCGACGTGCATTTGCTCGAGACCCAGGCGGGGAACAAGATCGTCGCCACCTTCTGGAGACACCCTTTCGCCAGGTTCACCCTCTTGTACTCCCATGGAAATGCTGCGGATTTGGGCCAAATGTTGGAGCTCTTCATTGAGCTCAGAGCGCACCTTCGTGTTAATATCATGAGGTATTATTAATCATCCATTCTCCATTTTTTTTTCATTTTTATTTTCACGAATTTCTATTCTATCCCCACAAATTTAGAAAGTTTCTTTTTTTATATAGGAAAAAAAATGTATTTTAACATCTTATGCAGTTTTATTTTCTGCTTGAGTTGATTGACAAAATCTTGCCCTGTTATTCTTTGCGTGTAATTGGGAATGTTGTTTATTTATTTTTGTACCTTAAGGTAGCTTTATCAGTTTGTGTTCATTGGAAACGTGCTTTGTTATTCAGCAGTTGAGACGGAGGATTGAGGCCGGGCTATTTGCTGCAATTTGTTTAATTTTGTAAATATTTAATTTGCGTTTTCAAATTTTCATAGATTTCTGTCATTTATCTTTCTGCAGTCCTTAAATTTGATCTATACATTGTTCAAGACCAGCATCTTTGTAATGACATTAGTTTTTGAGCAAGTACTTGACAGAAATTTTTTGCCAAAGTATTGTTCTGATGGAGCATAGTGTTTTATCTTCAAATCAATGTTGTATATGCGTGCTTTCATGTTTGAGCACACTATTTAGTCTCCCTCATCTGATAATGTGATCTTTACTGCTTTGCAGCTATGATTATTCAGGGTATGGAAGATCTTGTGGTAAGGTAAGAACACAAGCTGATATTGGATTGCTACTTAAGTTTCTTTCACCTTATCCTGCACAAACAATGGGTACAGGAAAACTTAATTTTGCAGTAGAATTTTCGTTTACATTATGCAGCACAAGCCACTCCAGTAATTATGCACAATTGTACATTGCATCTTGAAGGGTAAAATGTTCCTTCCAACATGTTGGAAATGAAAGGATCACATTGTATTAACTAGCTCAAATTGTGTATTACATGGTTAAGTCCTATATATAGAAAATGAAAACCAAGTAACAACCAAAAATATCTTCCTAACAAACTGTGTAACTAATCAACTAAACAAGATAAATGGTGGTTTACACCAACACCCCCCCTCAAGTTGAAGGTGGGAACAACTTCAACTTGCAACTGAAAAAAAATCCTTTGTGCTGCATTGTGTATGAAGATCCTCTTGAGTCTTGATCGTGCATAAACAACACACTTTTCTGCCCAGCATGTCATAACCATCTTTAGTATTTTGAACTTTGAGGACATCATCTCCTCAGCTTGCCCAACATCTTTCTCCTCAATTCGACCAGCAAAATCCATTAGTAGATACAAAAACAGGAACACCTCTTCAATCTGCAAGTTCACCTTTTGTCCAATTCCTTTCTACTCCTCTGGCCCCATCACCCATGCAAGATGGACCTACTGGAACAAAGAAAATGAAATGCAATACAGCCTCAAATGTAGTGTCATCTAGTGGAAATTTAAATGATGGTTTTGCACTATGGAATTGCTCTGAAGTATCCGATTTGAAGTCCACAGCAACATTGAGCATAAAAAAAACCACGCACTTATTGAAGAGATGAAGGCAATTAATCACCAATTGATTGATACTGTGGTAGAAATCAGTGATGAACTAGTGATGAACTAGTGATGGATGCAATGGTTCTCCAAAATGAACAGAAAAACGAACCATACACAACCGATGATGAAGTTGAGATGACAAATCAATTGATGAATTCACACGAAAACATCAAAAGATGAAATGAAATCAATTGACAAAAGCAATTGATGAAATCAACCGAAAATCGGATGATGATGAAAGTGAAACCCGATCAAAACGAAACGAGTGAAGCTCAATCAAACCGATTGAGTGAAATTGAATAATGATGAAACTTCTGAATTTACAGAAGTGAGAGAATGACTGAAACTAAACATTCCAATCATGAGAATGAAAATGAAGTTGGATACTCAATTTGAGAACCAACACAATGAACAGAGGATCAATATGGATCAACTGTGATGAAAACTGATTTGGAGAGATCAATAGACGGAGATGGCGTCAAATTGAAGCTTTCTCCACTCGGATTGACATCCATTGATGAATTATCAACAGAAAAATTCGTGGATTGCCACTGTTTTTTTTAAGCGATGTGAGACAGGAGAATTGGATTTGGCGATGGTGAGATTGGATTCCCAAGGATATTCCACTTGAGTAACCGCCGGGCGGTTCACTCCTAGGAGTTTCCAGCTGCCGCACCAGTACATCAGGTGTAGAGCTACAGCTCTCTACGCGGAGATCATGATCGGCGGCTAGAGTGCGGAGAGATGAATCAGGACGGATCCTATTGAGGCCGCGGACAGAGAGCCACTGGGGGACGACATGGCAGCGCAGAGTGGCGGTGTAATTGAACGCCGAATTCACCATGTCCAGCGCAAAGAGAGATGAATCGGTCGGGGCGAAGACCGTGAGAGCAGCTTCTCCGCCGTCGACGAGATCGTACCAGCGGTCGGAGGCGACAATCGAGTCTATCTCTCGCCTCTACACGGCGGAGACGACGCCGAATTGGTTGAGGACGACGATGAGCAGAACGGCGGCGATAAATCCAGAAGTAGAAGACGCCATTGGAGGAAGAGTCAGTGACGTGAGGCAATTGACGATTTAGCTTCTGAAATTGAAGATGGAGAAGAATTGGGAAGCGTAAAAATGGAAGATAAGGAGTCAGATTGCTGGAGCTGTAGCAACTGCTCTGATACCATGTTGGAAATGAAAGGATCACATTGTATTAACTAGCTCAAATTGTGTATTACATGGTTAAGTCCTATATATAGAAAATGAAAACCAAGTAACAACCAAAAATATCTTCCTAACAAACTAACAAACTGTGTAACTAATCAACTAAACAAGATAAATGGTGGTTTACACCAACAGCATCATAACAATATGATTTGTCTCATTTTGGGACCTCAATGATTTTCCTAAATTATACACCCCTACGTACACGTATTGTTCACCACTATGGGAAGAATCAAAGAAAGAAGTAGGGGGAGGAGGAGGAGGCGGCGACAGTTGGGGAGAAGAAGAGAAGAAAAAGATGAGGTGGTTAGGGCTGGCAAGAACATTTTTTTTTACATTTATAATAGTAATATATGATGATTAAATTAATTAACTACTCCTATCTACAATGTAGTCTTATTTAAGGAGCACTCTGTAGTCTGTACTATGAGGGAAGAAAACAATGTAGTCTTATTTAAGGAAAAGACCTGTGTTTAAATCCTATCTACTAAAATTTTCTCACTCCTTTAAAGGATTAATTTGACATTTTAAACTAGTTTATTAAAAATGAGGTTTTTTTGAAAGTGAACATAAACTTGGGCGGAGAGAGTAAATGTTTAGACTAACATTTGGGAATTTTACCTCATCTTGGAAAACCAAATAGGGATGGCATCTTTTTGTTTCACTGTTAATAGCTGTTTTTCCCCTCTTTCATTTCAACAGCCATCTGAGTTGAATACATACTATGACATAGAAGCCGTGCACTGCTGTTTAAAGAGCGAATATGAAATCAAACCTGAGGATATGATTCTATATGGCCAATCTGTTGGAAGTGGGCCAACGTTGCACTTAGCTTCTTGTTTACCGAGGTTGAGAGCAGTTGTTCTTCATAGTGCTATTCTTTCTGGAATACGAGTTCTATGTCAAGTCAAGATGACATTCTGGTTTGACATTTTCAAAGTAAGCATTTCCTTATCTTTTCGTGATTCCGATGCTTGATATATATAATGTCCCAATCTTCATGTTCTTGAAAGTTAGGTGTTTCTCTTCTTCTTTTTTTCAACCTGCAGAATATAGACAAGATACGGCAAGTCAGCTGCCCAGTTTTAGTCATCCATGTAAGGAACATATCTATCCTTAATTATTAATAATGTTTTCTTGTGAAACCTGTTCGAGGCTTAGTGTCCATTTGTGTGGTAACATCTTTTTAGTAAACTTTGAGGACAAAAAGCGTCATTTATCTTCATTTCAACCATTCCAGCAAACAAAAGAACCTTGTGCGCTACTTTTTTTATTATCATTGATATTCAGCTAATTCATTAAAGGAGGATAGTGTTTGGTAAAAACAATGCTGGACATTTGACAAAACCAAATGGGTCCTGTCAAAGTACATGGTTTGTGACCACTGTACTAGTGTACTCATTTGTTTTTGTACTAGTGTACTGTACTAGTGTACTCATTAATCATTAGTCATTACATGCTCATGATGAGGGACACTTGCAGGGTACATCTGATGAAGTAGTTGATTTCTCCCATGGTAAGCGACTATGGGAACTTTCAAAAGAAAAATATGATCCGCTATGGGTCCAAGGTGGAGGACACTGTAACCTAGAGAGCTTTCCCGAGTACATAACACACTTGAAAAAATTCATAAATGCAATGGAAATACATTCGGTGTCTAAGCAAGGTCAACCTCAGTTGTCTCAATCCCTAAGTATAAGTGAATGTAAACCCAATAAGTGCTGGTTTATAAGATTTCGGAGAAGGTAAATGGATTGTCTTTACTTGCTCAAGAGGAAGATGCTCTGTGTTTCAACGGATTATCACTTGATAAGGTATGCTTCACACTTTCACTGCAATATACGGAGTATATATATGCCTTGATCTAAAATCCCCACCTAGTTGCTGTCTAGACATTAGGCATCCTTTGACTGGTGCTTCATTTTTCAATTGCCCTGCATTCTCTGCCTGAGTGCCTGGTCCTGCTTGGGTAATGGGCGGGCTCGGCCCAAAAACCGGTAACAAAAAAATGCAATTTTTTTGTTAACCATACCAATTTACACTTAACTTGCTCTGAAAAAGGTCAGTTAGCTTGGACTTTGGCAAAATGGAACATGTTAGTGGGTAGTATACACATAATGAAGTTATTCTGCAATTAATCCATGCTCAGATCTCACGTGCGGCTCTCTTGTGCTTCCAAACTAATGTTTATTTTGTCAAAAACTAATTTGGTTTTCTTTTTAGAACGTACATAAAAGTGTGTTAATTGATGTGGGGATGCACGTTCAACCAACGTTATGTTACTGTTCATGCCTTTATGGTATTGAAAACCTAATGAGCTAATAAAACCTGGATAAACTGAAGATCTTCTGACTACTGAAAACCTGGTTAAACCTGGTTAACCAGCCATGCCCATCCCTAGCTAAGCCCTAGCCTACCTTTGTGTGAGCACTGACCATGTTCAACATTTAATTCTACCTTTATCATGAGGTTAAATTTGAAACTGCTTAGGTTGAAATCAGCAGATTGGCTAAGATGTGTTTTTTTTTTGCTTTGTTTGTTTTTGCAGAGCAGCAGTTAGCTTTTCTGTCAAACACGTTGGCACAATGGATCATCAGAAAACCATATTCGAGCGATCTAAGTATTATGTAAACTAGGAATGTCAAGAGTCTTGTGTGTGTGTGTGTGTGTGTGTGTGTGTGGTAAAGTGTATCTTTTATGTAAAGTAGGAGGGCTTACAAGGAATGCCAGTCTTCTTAAGTAGCTTAGTTCAGGTATATTCTGGTTTGTTAATATGAAGAAACTAACCAATTGTGTATACTTGTGAATATAATTAGATAGAGTGGATCTCTCAACCCAAAAAAAATGTAAAATGCCAGTATTAGATTCTGTTTTTATGAGCAAAAATGTAAGAGGAATGTCAATTTTGTTACGAGAAAAAAAGGGTCAAAATAGTACCAAAAACACCAGATATTGTGCAAAGTTGTGTTCCATGATGTAAACAACACAAAATTCTATAAGAATGTCAAAAAAATTGTTTTATAATACCAAGAGAGTGGTGTTGTCATAGTTTAGTATAAACTTTAACTTTTAATTCTATCTTAGTTTATTTTAAAAACAATTATCTATCTCAAAATAATGTGTGTATTTTCATTTTGTGAATGTGCCGAAATGTATTTTACTCTTTTCAACTTTATATTTATGAAATTAATATGTGGCTCTTACAAGTATACTTTATCTCGCTTCTAAATAAATTGTAATCGCACAAATTTCATTTTGGTATAAAAATCTCTCCAAATAAGTGCAGGGTATTATAGACGGATTAGAAAGAAATATGGAGTCGAATGAAATACTCCGTCTTTTTAAAAAATTACAGTAATTTTTTTTAAAAAATAATTTTTAAAAAAATATAATTGACATAAAAACTAAATTTAAACTTATATATAAAAACTATTTTCAAAATACCTTCTAGTAGAGATATTACCTGAGTAATTTTGTAAGATATATTAGGTTTTTCAACTTACATCGGATTAATCCTGAATTTCTAAAAGTTCATTCAAAAATTTTAAAGTAAAGTAAATCTCGACCAGATCGTCCCTCAGGTTCCTACCTAGGCGGTACAATTTTGCATACAAGAAAGCATCATTTATTGAAAGCTTTTCATACTGATTGGTCAGCGTCTGATTTATCTTGTTGGTTCTTCCCTTACCCAACACCGAGTTTCTAATCGCCCTTCCACTAAATATAAACTTATAGAATATCCTTAAAAATGAGACATATGTAATTGATTCATCCAATAAGTTAATGAATACTAATACGGGATATTGATATTTTTCAACCATGATAGGTGTATACCAATAAGTGTATATCAAGTTACACACTATAAATGTGTACCATCACTTTGATGGTTTCAACTGACACAAAATATTATTGGATCAAAAAGTTTTGTAAAAACATTATATCAGTGCAAACTATTAATATGTAAATGTACATTTGTTAATAGAGGCAGGGGGTGGGGTTTTTATTAATAGAGGCAGGTACAATTAATTTAATTCTGCCTGCTACACACAGTCTCCTACGACCTTGTCCAAATTCAATTTTGCGAACCTTGCCGTCAAGGGGAAGCATCCGATTCAATCTACAGGTAAAAGTTTCTAGAGAGAGAGGGAGAGAGCTTGCGTGGGGATAATTTTTGTTTCTAGTATTAGAGAGAGAAGTGCTTTAGGGGAGGAGGAGACATGAAGATCACGGCGTTGCTGGTGCTGAAATGCACTCCCGAGGGTTCCGATCCGGTGATCCTAGCCAACGCATCCGACGTCAGCCGTTTCGGGTACTTCCAGAGACCCAGCGTCAAGGAATTCATCGTTTTCGTCGGCAAGACCGTCGCCGGACGGACCCCTCCCGGCCAACGCCAATCCATCCAGCACGAAGGTTTTTTTTTTTTTTGTGTTTTTTTCTTTCTCGTGGATGGGTATTGATCGTTCTATCTTGCCGCATAGAGAATGATGCGGATGCAATATAATTAATCATCAAATTGAAAAGACGAGTGGTGTTTGCAAGTTTTCTATTGCTTGTTTATATTATGATTATGAATTGCATAGCGACTGCCATTCATACCTCATGAATTTGATTGTAGAAATTAAATGAGCTGATGTTTCCGAATCAGTTTTAAATTTGGGTGCAGCTGTAGGTTATAAAATTAAGATTCTTTGGTACTCTCAACCTTTAAAAAAGTTCCATTTCTTTTATAGGCTTATTTTTTTCACTGATCCGGTATTTGATTTTTTTGTTATGTCATATAAATTTTGGCTTGGACTTCTCATATTTTGATATGAGGTTGTTTCTCGGTGTCGAAATATACTCCGTACAAAACAGCCCCTAATTGGTTAAAGGAATTTGAAAGGGAAAAGAAAAGAAAATGAAGTGAAAAAACTGCTTTTCTTGTTTGGTTAGAGGGGAAAAGAAAGGAAAAGTTGAAGGAATAGAAAATGAAATGACAAAATGTACCAAGTGGAGGGAAAACCAAATTCCTCCAAAGCATTTTCTTTTCTTTTCTTTCCAAATTCCTTGAACCGAACATAGTATAAATGTTTAGTGCTGGATTATGCTCATAAACCTTATAGAAGATCATTCTGTCGGTTGGTTGTATTGTTTCCTGTGTTGCCTAATTTCTTTTGTGCATCATTGACTTGCTTCCTGGGGCAACATTTTGTCCATTTTAGTTTACTATTTTTTGGTGTCCTTTTGTCAAAAGTTAGAATATTTGCTTCTTCAAGTTATTTTCATAGTTGAGAAAAAAGTTAGCTAAATATTAAATTATTATTATGCATTCTGTTTCTCTATCATTCAGGATAACTGTTACATTATCTTGGTGATGAAATGCTACTTCATGTATAACTTTTCTGTGTTAACAAATAATTATTCAACAATAGCCAAGTTTGTGTGCCTAAATATATTGTCTCTTTAAAAAACAACACACGCAGTACAATCCAAACTCTGTTAAGGTTTTTAGGGGGAGGATCAAGATGTTGGCCCATTTATCTATTTTTTGTATTCCACTAAGTGACAATACACATGAAACAATATTGTCATGAGTAACATATACAACTTTGATGCAATAGAGTACAAGGTGCATTCCTATAACCGAAATGGCTTGTGTGCATTGGGTTTTATGGATGATCCCTATCCGGTTCGAAGTGCTTTTTCACTGCTAAACCAGGTACTAAGTGCTTAATTGATGGTCAGAAAAAATGAGAAAGGTTTTGTTCTAATGAGCGTTTATGTTAGATGTATTTTTGATGATAATTGTTTTAGGTCTTGGATGAGTACCAAAAAAATTTTGGCGAGTCTTGGAGATCTGTAAATCCAGGTGGTACTACTCCAGAATGGCCCTATTTAGCTGAAGCTTTAAATAAATTTCAGGTTTCTAGATAACTTTTTTGCATTTCCAGATTAATGTCATTATTGGCAAATCATTTTATAAAAAAACCTTTCTTGATTTTGTTTCCTTCCCTCTTATCCCTTCAGGATCCAGCTGAAGCTGATAAGCTGTTGAAAATTCAAAAGGAATTGGATGAAACAAAAATTATTCTTGTAAGTAATGTGCTTGTGTGTGTATCGTTAGTTTTTTTCTCAATTTCATGCTTGTCATAGTTGATCTGATATCAACAGAGTTTGATATATCTAATAAATATACTCCAATGTTAGATGGAATTTGTGTAAAAAAAAACCTAGTTGTATATGGCAGCTTATCTGGACAAGGCAAATGCTCATTACTGTTCCTTCTATGTAGCATTGCAAGAAACAGTATCTCTCTATTCTAGAAACATTTATTGGATGTTATATTGCATATTTGATACCGAATATGAAACGACTCCTCTTTGCATCTTTGTATGTCATATTTGAGAACCCATATTTCCACCAGAAGTATGATATTTTGAACTACAATGGATAAGTGTGCCAATGATATACTTTTAGGAAGTTTGGAAATTAAACTTTAATCTCTTGTTGATTGCCTCGCTGAACCTTTAATGACGATGGGTAATTAATTACCGGCCACTTTTTGCCTTCAGCACAAGACAATTGACAGCGTTCTGGCACGGGGCGAGAAGCTTGACAGTTTGGTTGAGAAGAGTTCTGACCTGAGTGCAGCTTCACAGGTACATTTGTTATTTGTTTTCACTTATAGTAGTACACTCTTGTTGCTTAACCACAATGGAGTGTATTGCAAGGCAATCAAATATATTTTGTGTAAAATTATGTTATACGTGCATTTGCTCACATTACATTATTTTCCATGGCTCACCAAATGTTACCTTAAATAATCATGGAACATGTGGTATAGGTCATGGCTTTTAATATCTTATGCCAAAATTTGCATTTTTTTTCCATTATGGCTTGCTAAACATTACCCTATACAACCATAGAACATGTGTAGTTTATGGCTTTTAGTTTCATGTTGGTCAATAGGTTATTAGGTACATCGTTCATCATGATTTGGTTAGGGTAGGGGCATTAAGTAAACAATGTTTAGGTAGGTAGCAATACAATAGGTTATTGCCCAATCCTTGCATGACGACTTGAAACTTGAAAGCATGCTGTTATTTAATTGCATTCGAATGTAACTAAAACATGTTAATGTATGATGATGGTGGTGTTATAGGGATACAAAATTGTTATTATAGGATTACCCAAGCATGACTACTTGCTGCTTGAGTTCATGGTGTTTATATTAGTACAATGTAAATGCTTCTAAGGATGACTGCCTCTTTTTATCTTTGCTATTCAGTTTTTTGGGTATTTGCAATTTGAACTCTCTCCACAACCACATATGTTGAAGTGTCATGTTCATGGTCTTTAAAACAGATGTTCTACAAGCAGGCAAAGAAAACAAACCAGTGCTGTACAATTTTATAAGCAATTTCTTTCACGTAACAGAGGGGTCATCTGTGGTCTCTGCATATTCCTGTGGAGTCTTACAGGTGAGACAGTGAAGAAGAAGAAGAAAGAAAAAGACCAAGGAGAAGTCTATGTTTATATATTGATCTTTTCTTTTGATTTGTGTGATTCAATACTTTTAATTTTCTTGTTCTGTGCAACGGGCAAAGGTGCGTTATCTCACATTAACATATTATAAAAATGTTTCTTGGTTGTTTTTGGCTCTCTTTCCATAAATCATTCCCACAGGCTATAGCTATTTTCATTAATTTTCAATTTTCATATATGGTAAATTGGTCGGTGATGATCATTGGCTTGCAATTCAGGGCTGGTATTGATAGGCCAACAGGGAGGTTGTTTGATTGAGCTATTTGTAGCTGTTGATATTGAATGAGCCGTGGATTAAGTTTGATTGGGGTTTGTTTAATTTGCTCTTTTGCACTAAAAAGAAGATAAATTGGAATATCCAGTGTCAAAGAGATCATTTTCCTTATTTTAAAACAGAAATTGGAATTTTTTTTAAAGGTATCATTCAGTTTTTTAATTTATTTATAAAATAATGCCAAGAATAATGTTTCTTTCATTAACTTTACTCCATATTTCATGTCTTATTTAGGCTCCGTTCCGTTCAACTTATTTTTTCTGATCTGATCTGATTCTAATAAGTTCTGATCTGGTCTGATCTGATTGGATCTAATCTGATCTGATTGGATCTGATCTGATTGAATCTGATCTGATCTGATTAATTATGATTTAATTTAAAATTTTAAATCAATAATTTAATTTGACTCTATAATAACGTTTGAAAATTGTAATGATAATTCAAATTATAATATAATCAACATTTTTTATTTAATGATTATTTTTTAATAAAATAAAAATAGTCAATTCATATATTAGAATATTCATTCATATTATAATGTGATAATATTTTTATTTTATGATTATTTTTTTTTGTAAAATTAGAATTATACATTAGAATAAATATTTAATTTAGATATACATTAAAAAATAATTAAATTTTGATAATCAATATATAGAAGAGATAGTATTTTTATTAGAATATCTCATCCTTATACAAGATCAAAAGTTTAGAAACTCAAATTACAAGTAGCAATAAAAATATATTTTAAAAGTAGAATTGGATTGACAATGTAATAATAATGAGGATGATGATGATGATGATGATGATGATGATGATGATAATAATAATAATAATAATAATAATAATAATTCTTGATGGGATCTAATTTTAATAAGTCCTGATCTGATCTGATTGGATCTGATCTGATTGGATCTGATCTGATTGGATCTGATTAAATCTGATCTGATCTGATTGGATCTGATCTGATCTGATTAGATCTGATCTGATTCGATCTGATCTGATCTGATTTTAATAAGAATAAGAAAAAATAAGAAAAAATAAGTTGAACGGAACAAGGCCTTAGTCCTTTATGTTCTCCTTTCATATTTCTTTTTTTCCACAATGAACAATTAGTTTTCATGTCATAATATTTTCTTCTTTTAAATTCTGTTCACATAGATAATACGGAGTATAAAGAAAAGATGAAAAGAATTAAATAAGGTAATTTGTGTGGAGTAACTTACAAGAAAAATATTAATCACAAATACAAAAATCACAAAATATACAATTTGTGTACCTCATTAAGTGAGAAAATATAATTTTAATACTCCGAAGTTAATAATAGAAATTTAATTGGGCAAATGGTAAAATTGTGTATATTGTGAATTTGTGATTGTGGTGGCACTAACATTTCGTAAATTCTTTGAAAAGAAAAGTGCATCATTTTTTCATGAACTCCTTAAAAATTGTATAATTTACCTCTTAAACATTAAAAAAACACCGTTTATCCTCAAATTTTTTGAAAACTTACACAATTTACCTTTAAACATAAAAAAATACACCAAATTACCAAAATAGGAAGTGCATTGCTACCACATGAAATGTGAGTGTGATTTAAATTCTCCAAAGTACATTCTTCAAAACTATCTTTTTAATTTAAATATTCTCAATAACCCTTACAATTTCCAAAATTTTCAAAAAATTCGGAGTACTTGGTACACTTTTTAGTATTTAAGGATAAATTATGCAACTTTTGAAGGATCCAAAGGTATTAATCTATTTTAATATTAAAAATGAACAGTAGATTTCCAAAGAATTGAAGAATAAACCGTGAACTTTTCTCATTCTTTGAATGTCATGAAATTTAAAAAAAAAAAATTAAAAGGAATTACTACAACAAAGAGGTAAGAGAAATGATATCAAACCCATAATTATGTAAGGAAAAAAAACAATCAAAACCAATACAAAAAGAAGAATACAATATTTATTTGAATTTTTTTTTTAAAAAAAATGGGGGCTCAGATCTGAAAAGCATCGGGCGGAGATAAACCCGGGACACCGCCATGGCTGCAAACGCAACAGTTGCACGGAAAGCGCCATCCGCGCGCTGCCATGCCAAGATACGGGTCGGGTCATATCCCCTCCAGATCTAATCAGCTCGGGAGGACAAATTTGTAATCATCGCCCCCCTTAAAACTGCATCGCCGCTCAGTTATCGACTGCCGCCGCCGCCGCCCGGAGCAGCGCACAACCGTCGCATACCGGATTATGCATATATGTATGTGTGTGTGTGTGTATGTAAACACAGATGTGAGATTCATACCAACACAGAGATCGATGGAGATAGAGAGAGAGAGAGAGTATGGTATAGCAGCAGAAGCAGCGATGACTGCAGATCTCGTTCTTTCAAACAAAACAATGGGAAAAAGACAGCAAAAGAGAGCGTTGGAAGAGAGTTGTTGCTATTAAGGAAAAGGTAGAAATCATGGGGTTGCAGAGAGAGGGCAACCACTCTCTTGAGGAAATCCAATCCCTCCCTCAACCCTCACACTCTAGCTTCTTCGCCTTCCTCCCGAAGACCAATTAATTTACCCTTTCCCCTCTTCTCCGGTCTCCCCCCTCTTTATTATATTTGCAGCCGTTGAAAGATGTTGTTTGGTGCTTGTGCATATAAATTTTGTAACTTTCTCATATAATTTTTTTTTAATTTTAACTTTGAAAAAACAAATACTTATTTAAATAATAAAAAAAATACTTATTTTGCTCGTTTTTTATCCATGATAAATTTTAGGTCCACTATAGAATTTGTTGTGCTTGAAATGCATCAATATTTGTTCTGTTAATTAGACAAAAACTAAATTTTGTTTATTTTATCAAATTTTATTAAAATCCTTCAATTTTTTAAAGTATTGAAAGTTTCACATCTAACGTTTAAAAAGACATAGTATACTTCAGAGTTCAGAATATAATGCCACGCACTATAATGATCTCATAGAATATTCAGAAAATTGAAGGTACCCATTAATGTTTAATAATTCTTCCACCCAATCATTCCTAATCTCGACATATCAAGTATTCTTCGCACACTTACATGGGATGGAGCATTTCCAATCTCGACGGATCAATTTCTACACCACTTGATGCAATACTTTGGAGGAAACTTTGGAAGGTTTGGGTAATGACGATTGTCTGAAATATGGTATAGAAAGCGGCTAATAAAATTCTACCTTATCAAAGTAACCTGATTGTGGGGAAGATTAAGATCCCATATATCTATCCTATGTGTAACATGTTTTGGGAGTACACACTACATCTCCTGGTCACTTGAACATATGCACAAAATGTTTGGGGAGCTTCATAGTTTAATGGGTTTATTCCGCATATCAATTCATTCCAAGCTTGGATTTTTATTTGTGCTATCTATTCAACATGACCAAGCGTTAGCCTTGCACTTGCTTTGAAGTTTATGGAAGGCAATGAATGTTCAAGGTTGGAGAGGGGAGGTCGTGTCACATTGGCTACGTGGACTCAAGCTCGTACTAGTTTCGAAGCTTGGTGGGAGGTGGCAAAAATACAACGCAAAGTGCGTGCATAGCGACAACAACTTGGGAGAAGTCGTCCCATACTCCCATGTGTACATCAAGATTAATGTGGGTGCCTTGACGGGGCTGGTCAATGGAGTCTATGGGTTCAGTTTTATTGCTTGAGATGATCGAGGGACCTTGACTGCAGCACGAAATCTATGTTGCAGAGGATATTTTAGACACAGAAGCAAAATTAATTGCAGTAAAGAAGGCTTTAACCTGAATCAAGGATAAAGATTTGACGCATATTGTTGTGGAGACAGATTGTAAGGAAGTTGTTGATGTCCTTAAAAATTCTACCAATGACTGGTCTTATTTTTATTCTATTAATAATGATTGTAAGTGTCTCTGATGTCTTTTGAGAGAGAACTTAAGTTTCAATTTACTTTCCACTCTTTCGATGTTACTGCTCATGTGTTAGATAGCTGGAGCTGCACATCCTTCTGAGAGCGTGGGGGAGTGGATTGACTCACCACCACATTTTCTCATGACATTTATTTAATTTAATTTAATGATTTAGTTCAAAAAAAGTATTTCCAATCTCCATCTTCTTGAGTCTTTGTTCTTTCCACACAAGTATTGCTCATTGAGGATTGTGGTCTCGAGTCAAATTTCCCTCTTTATATAAGGAAAATAAAAATTTAGGTTAACACAGAGTATATAATTGCTACCCTCACTCAAAAAATTAAATCTTGTTCTACACCAATCCTTCAGGCTTGATCTATACCAAAAAATTTAATATATTATACATTGATTAAAAAATTAATTTACAATGTGCCCCAAAAATTCAAGCCGGAAAGATTGGTGTAGAAAAACTTAAAAAATACTAAAATTTGCAATTTAGAAATGATAAAATAAAAAAGAAATGATAGAATAATATAATTTTTTGAAGTGATGATAGAATAAAATTGAACAGATTTTATCAAGGAAAAATAAACCAATAAAAGAAAGCAAAACATGGAACAAATATTATTTCCAAACAAAATCAAGAACAAATAGTTTTCCAATTTTTTTTTTTAGTTGCACAAAGCATAAGTGCATAACTACAGCTAAAGAGAATTGAAAGAAAAACAAACGGGCCTATCCCTTCACTCCTTAGCCCTAAAAAAAAGAAGAAACCAAATATGGGTCAGGCTCACAGATCCGCAAGTTTAAAGAATGAAAGAACAACTCCTTAATCTTACGGGACTGCAGCTGCGACAAACGACGGCGGACGTACTTCCATCGTGCGGCGGCGGACCATCTTCAGGCCGGAGGGGGCGGCAGACCTTCTTCCAGTGACAAGAATAGTGAGGTTCTTCTCTGCTCTCTAGCCATGGATACTGGAAAGGATGTGTCTCACAAGTCACACAGGAAGCGACAATCTGGCCCTTCTGCTAAGAAGAAATCCAAGTCAGATGAAAATAGAAAACAAAAAAATCACAAGGTTCCGAAATTTCTTTATGCACATATAGACATATTTGTTTATAGCTAATTTGATTAGTTAAATAAATGCTCAGAGGTTTCTATGATTTCTAGGCTTTTTCTCATTCTGTAAAAGCAAAAAGACTACAAGCCCGAGATGTTGAAAAAGAGCAACGCCGACTTCATGTCCCGAAAATTGACCGGGCCACCGGGGAGCCGGCTCCATATGTTGTTGTAGTTCAAGGGCCACCAAAGGTTGTTGCACTGTGTGTGGTGGTGCATTGATGGTTCATATGTTTTTTGTTGGGACATATGTGATTGAAGGCTCTAATTCGACCATTTTTAACTGTAGGTTGGAAAATCACTGCTCATAAGGTGCCTCATCAAGCATTACACAAGACATAATTTAACAGATGTCTGTGGTCCTATTACTATTGTATCAGGTTTGAACTTTGTTGTGCTTTCATTTATGTTTCTTCTTTGAAAATTAAAATTAGCTCACTTTTTCTTAGATGTGGAGTTCGATGATAGTAATCGAGCAATGAACTGAACTTACTTTAAAGCTGTGTGTTTTTCAAAGATTCAAAGGATCAGATGTGATACACTTTGACACAGGATGATGCAGATGCAGTTATAAGACCGATGTCATTTTAGTTGATTTCACTTCCGAGGGCATCTAGTATGATGTAACAACTCAAAGTGTAGATTTCTTAACTCTTAAGTTCAATAATATTTAACTTGATAAATAAAGAACTCTCTAAGTATTTAAACTCACACTTATTTTCACTCAAGACAAAACTTCTCTTAGAACTGAAAGGGTCAAATAGTGTCACTCAATATTTCATTCAAATTTTAGATGTCTTACAATGAGAGAAATAATCCTATTTATAGGCTAAACTTACATAAAATTCCAAACTAATTAAAATCAAAATTACAAATATTTAAATAACCTTCTTTCACTTCGAACGCTAGATATTTTTTTTTATTGCTTTCTCTTCATATCTTTGTGAGAAGAAAAGATCAAAAATGAAAGAACATAACACTTTTTTTGTGGGGAACTAACTGGATTCATTGCGCTCTTTAGCATTTATAGAAAAACAAATAAAAACAACTATTACTAACTGACACAAGTCACACAACTATTACAAACCAACACATCTATTACAAACCAACACACCTATTAATATTAGAAACTACCCATAACTGCTTTTTGAAACTACCTACTGTTTTGCATTCAGTTTTTTTCTTTCCATTTTTGGTCCATCTCGACTTCTTTCTGGAGCTCAAGCATTCTAACACGCCACACATCCTAGAGGAGAACTTAGCTCTCTACATTCTATCTACCTTTGCCATGCAATCATGAATCATCTTTATATGTGTACTTCCTATACACTCAAATTTTGTTAGAACATGACAAATCAGCATTGCGGTTCATGTTAAATTTTCACTTCATAATTAGATCTAACAATATTTGCTTATAATTTATCGAGGTGATTAATGGCTACAATGTGAATGTTGTAGGTAAGCAAAGGCGTTTGCAGTTTGTGGAGTGCCCAAATGATATCAATGGCATGATTGATGTCGCAAAGTTTGCTGATTTAGCATTGCTTCTCATTGATGGAAGCTATGGGTTTGAAATGGTGAGGGTTTTCTCCTCTATATTAGCGTTATGAAATTTTAGGCGATACTATCAAACTTTGGAAGATGTAATTTTCTGTGGTACCAAGTTGTGATTGATTGATTTTGTAGGAAACTTTTGAGTTCCTTAATATATTGCAAAACCACGGGTTCCCTAAAGTTATGGGTGTTCTCACACATTTGGACAAATTCAAAGATGCAAAGAAACTCAGGAAAACAAAACAAGGATTAAAACATCGGTTCTGGACAGAGATATATGATGGAGCTAAATTATTCTATTTATCTGGTCTTATTAATGGAAGGTAAGTCTGTAGTTAGTAACTTGGAGAAAGGTCTCAGATTTGCAATTTGAAGTCTATGTGCTGGTTATGCAATGGCCTTTCATCTTTGAACAGGTATGCCGATCGCGAAGTACATAATCTTGCAAGGTTTATTTCTGTAATGAAGTTTCCTCCATTGTCATGGAGACAGTCTCATCCTTACATCTTGGCTGATCGTTTTGAAGATGTAACTCCCCCTGAAAAAGTGCATATGAACAATAAGTGTGATAGGAATGTTACTCTGTATGGTTATCTACGTGGTTGTAATCTCAAGAGGGGAACAAAGGTTTGCACAACATGTTATTATATGTTTAATTATTCATTAGCACAAAAAGTACAAGGAACAGTTTTTGATGTGATTATTGTATGATATGCTTGTAGTTGTCTTTAATTATTAAATTAGAATCCCACAAGTGGAATGATAAAGGTGAATTATGATGTCTCATAATTTTGGGTCTCTTTTTTATTCAATTATAAATTGAAATAATTTTGGGTAGGTTGTTGCATCATTCATCATCTTAATCCCAATTAGTTGCAGTCAGTGCCATTAAATTTATAGTGCCAATTAATTGTATAAATTCAAGTTACACTATAATTATTACAAAAAACATACCGGTGATGTTTTTTTGTTGGATGTACTTCCTGTCAAGTCCTTCATAAGAAGGAATTATGTGATAAAATTTTAAAACTGTTCATCATAGGTTATTTTTTAATTGCGTGGAAAATATTATGAGAAGGCATTAAATTTAGTTATTTATAATTATGAAAAATGCTAAATTATAATATAAATAAGTCTGTGCGCGTGCGTCTTTGTCTATATCTCTCTTTGTGTCTGCTCTTATCCTGATAAGTTTATGTTATGAGCAGGTGCATATTGCTGGTGTTGGTGATTACAATCTGGCTGGTGTTACAGCCCTACCTGATCCCTGTCCTCTACCAATGGCTGCCAAGAAGAAGGGTTTAAGGGACAAGGAGAAGCTGTTTTATGCTCCAATGTCTGGATTAGGAGACCTTCTTTATGATAAGGATGCTGTCTACATTAACATAAATGATCACTTTGTGCAGTTCTCTAAGGTGGATGATGCAAATGCCAACATAACAAAGAAAGGTTCTGGCTCATTCTAAATTTACATTGCCTTTTTTAAATTTTGCTATCTCAAGATTTGTCAGCTTTACTGCATTATGAATATTTGACCTCAGCAATAGTACATATTCTTTTCTCATTTTACAATTGTGCCTATTGACGATCCTATCGATATTAAGTTGTGTGAAGACAAGCTAAATATTTTACACCTTGCTCTTTTATTTTGAGCCACGTATTAGTTACCATCATGAAACAGCTTTCAGTTCTATTTAACTATTCTTGCCTTCTGCTCAATCTTTTGGCAGTATGATTTGTGATCAGGTTGAATTATTCTCTCACATTTGTTTTGCTTGTATCTAGGTTCAATAATTTTTCCCTTGTATTTTTACTGTCTGTATGACCAGGTAAGAAAATTGATGTGGGGGAAACTTTAGTTAAATCACTCCAGAATACAAAATATTCAATCAATGAGAAATTGGAGCAGAGTTTTATCTCTCTATTTGGCAAAAAGCCCAATACATCATCTACATTTCAATTGGAAGATAATAAAGTTGCACAAGATCAAGAAACAGATACCCATAATATGGATGAATCCGAGTCTTTAGATGGAGAGAATAATCTAGATGAAGAACTTGATATGTTGGGAAAAGGAAATGATAGTGGACCAGAGCAAGTTCCTGCTTCAAATATTAGCTTTAGAGAGCATCATGATTTTCATGATGGAAGACTGAGGAGAAAAGCTATCTTTGACGATGACAACAATCTTGATGCTGAGGTACTTCTCTTGGCCCTTTTTGCTTTTAAACACAGTTTACTTAAGTTTCTGTTATATATTGGACCCATGAGATCTTAGATCTGAATATAATAAATGCTATCCTTATATTTTTTATACACCTTGTCCTATGCTTTCCCATATTTCCCTATCCTTGGCCGAAATGGCTAAGCTTAATTTAGAGCCAAAAAAAATCCCAATTTAGAAAATGGAGAGAAGTAGAGAACATATGGGACAGACCGACAGAGGAATATTAACTCAATAAGGACAATACACTGTTCATGAATAGTTCATAGTAATACGCAAGGAAAATAATCTTTTGTGTCTTACTTCTAAATTCAAAAAAGTAAACACATTGAGCAGCATTGCTACACGTTAATTTTTCATGAGATTAAACTATAATTACTAAAGTTGTCTTTGCTTTTTTTGATTTGTACGAGTACAAAATTAAGGGAAAAGAAGTCCTAAGTCCTCTCTAATCACCTCCTTCCACCTACCAACTCTTCTTAGATCTACCCCTTCCCGTACTTCCCCAACCCAACGTAAGCCTCTCTTATCTCCCCACTGGCGCGGCAGCATTCCGTTGTCTCACTTGACCAAACCACCTCAACCTAGTTTCCCGCAACTTATATTTCACTAGCGCCATGCCTAACCGACCTCGGATAACCTCACTGGTGCCATTCTGGGCGAAATCTTGTTAACACACAACACCCTTGAAGCCAACCTCCACTTAGCTCAAGCTGCTCCAACACGCTGTGTCGCTGTACATCATCCACGTCTAACACCCCATCTCCATGAATGACCGAGCCAAGATATTGAAACTAGTTTACCTTGAGCACAAGGTGAGATTCAATCCCAACTTCCACCCCTGAATCTGTCTCCCGGCCACTGAACCAACATGCTTACTATTATAACTTTAAAACATCTCCCTGCACTGCATTGAGAAGTTGGTATGATCGTAGGGGTATTGCCTCAAAACATGTTGCCAGAAGTTATCCTCATCCTTTCCATGAATACTTAAGGCGACTCGTTTTACTCAGTTGGTGTTAAATGTGTCTGTAGTTCCTTTTTTAGCGTTGCAAGGCTTGATTTGAAACTCTTGAGATCTCTTATGTAATTTATTATTACTCTTTATTTCTTTTAATTAGCAAGTAGTGATATCATGGGATTCTGAAAACATCAATTATTCATGTGGCTATCAACATGCACATACACAGTTATTTGGTCACATATCTTTGCATTCAATAAATATATTGTTTGTTCATTTTTCCTGCTTTAGGATGAAGAAGAGGGTAGTGAAGATCGAGTTGAAGAAGAATGTGATGATTCAGATGATTCTAGTGATTCAGATAACTCTGATGAGGCGGAGGAAGAATCTGAGCCTGATGTAGCACCTATACACTCATTGGAACATCCTGCAGAGGAGGGAGATGGTATGTTTCTCTTTCCTTTTATATTATATATGTATTTGAGTATTTCTTTCTTTCCTTCTTTTTTTTTAATCTGCATTTCTGCAGGGCTTTTTTTAAACATCAATTTTTAAGTGACATGATCCATGAAAAGAAGTGATCTCTTCTGCAAATTGTTTTTCCACACATGGTCCAGTACTTTCACATTCCTAATTTAAGTATTTTTAATTTATTTTTAGTTCCTGAAGATGAGTTGGGAAATGCCTCAAGATGGAAAGAGTCCCTAGCAGAACGAGCTTATTCACGGCAGAGTATTAATCTTATGCAACTTGTATATGGGAAAGCTGAATCAAATTCAGTTTCTGCCTTTGGTACTGAACAAATCAGCGAGGATGATGAAAGCGAAGATGATCCATTCTTTAAGCCAAAAGGGGAAGGAAAGGTGTGCACTTAGATGAAACTAAACCTATTCGCACAAATTCTTGTCCCCTAAATGAACTGCTATGTTTTCTTGTGTGTGTGTGTGTGGGGGGGGGGTCCTTGAAATCCTTACTTTATGATGCTTTGCTGGAGCGCCGCTTGGCATCGAGTCAGACGTGGTTGGACTCATTTCTGGTTGGACTCATTTCAACATCCTCTACAGCCTTTATGTTTGGACAAAGTCCAAGCAGCGTAGTTTAAAATATAGGAAAATTTGTCCAAAGTAAAAAAAAATGCAGTTGCATGTTTGAAATGAAAACTGAAAAGAAGCCAAGTACGAAGGGGATTTTTTACAACTTTTGGACTAGTTTTTATTTATCTACAATATAGAATCACACAAGATGAAAATTTCTCTTTTCCTGAAATGCCTTTCTAAATGCTACATTTTAATAATTCATTCAGAAGGGGAAAAAAGTTTTGTATGGTGATAATCTCAATGCCGAGGATTGCTCTAAAATCAACATTCAATCAAGTGATAAAGGTTGGAAGGATGAAGATATGATTGAGAGCATTCGTAATCGTTTTGTCACCAAAGGTTGGTCAAGAGCAGCTGCTGCAGGTCTGCCTATGGAAAGTGTCATTGATGATGATGACCAAGATGTATTTGGTGATTTCGAAGACTTGGAAATCGGGGAGAAAATTAAGAGCTCACAACAGATAAGCAACGTTTCTACTAAAAGTGATGAAATTGACGAAGCTGAGAAGCGAAGGCTCAAAAAGTTGGCTCTTCGTGCCAAGTTTGATGCTCAATATCCTTCACTAATAAAATGTATTGTCATTATTCTGCATTTTTCTACAGTAATTTATTGGGGTTTTTTTACAAATGGTTCTGTTCCTATAGAATGTTTGATTGGCTACCAACATTTGCCAGCCATCTGTGAACTTAATGTTTGCATTATGTTATGCGTGTTTACACAAATTAGTTGTGTTTGAAAATTGGTGGACTTAACTCAATCACACAAATGACGATCTGGAATTAGCTGATGATGACAGTGATGATAAACCTGCAACTCACTCTCTCAATCAAGCCAGCGTATCTGGATACTTTGACAAGGTGCACTTATCTCACTAACTTTTTTTGCTGGTAAAGATGGATCCCCTTCAATTAACTATGCTTTTTGTACCTTTGCAGTTAAAAGAGGATATTGAACTTCAAAAGCAACGAAATATAGCCGAACTAAATGAACTTGACGATGCCACTCGGATAGAAATAGAAGGGTTTAGAACAGGGATGTATCTTAGGCTTGAATTTCATGATGTTCCCTTTGAGATGGTTGAATATTTTGACCCACGCCATCCTATTCTACTTGGAGGGCTTGCTATTGGTGAGGAAAATGTTGGATNTCAAGTTACATCTTGTATGAGGTCATGACAATCATAACCAAACATACTCAGAACTTCAGAAGTATCCATCATGGAAATCATGTTTATATTTTTTAACTTCATTTGTTTGTTTAAGTGTATGATACATAACTTGTAACTTTTTTTGGCAGGTTATTAGTTATTTAACTGAAACATTAGCTTCATTTGATGAAATGCAAAATTCTGTTATTGAACTCAAGGAGTAAAATATTTTCAGTTTTTCCTTTAAACATTGGGGTTTGTGGGTGGGTGGGTAAATGTTTAGCTTGCTTGTTTTAGAGTTGCATGGATTTTGATCTATATGTATTTTCCCTTGTAGGTTCGATTAAAGAGGCACCGATGGCACAAAAAAGTACTGAAGACGAGAGATCCAATCATTGTTTCTATTGGATGGAGGCGTTACCAAACAACTCCAGTTTATGCTATCGAGGACCTGAATGGTCGTTACCGCATGCTTAAATACACACCTGAACACATGCACTGTCTTGCCATGTTTTGGGGTCCTCTGGCCCCACCACGGACTGGAATGATTGCTGTCCAGAGATTATCAAACAATCAGGTTGTTATCTGTTTCATTTTAAGCGCCTTGGAGCTCGAGTCGTGTGTTTATGCTTTTAACTAAAACAATTTGAACTACTTTTTTATGCTTTTCTATGTTTTAATCAACTACCGCAATGCAAGTAAAGAATGACAAAATAAGTAGATATGATCTATGTCCTTGTTATAAAAACATATTAAGTGTTGTCCGTGTCATGTATGGACTACTATTAATTCATCTAAACTAGGTGTACTGTTACATTTGCTTCATCATTCAGGCAGAATTTAGGATTACAGCGACAGGGGCGGTGCTAGAGTTCAATCATGCTGCTAGGATAGTGAAAAAGATCAAGCTAGTTGGATACCCATGTAAAATCTTCAAGAAGACAGCACTTATCAAGGATATGTTCACGTCAGATCTTGAAATAGCCAGGTATGAAGGTGCAGCTATTCGGACTGTTAGTGGAATCCGTGGGCAGGTGAAAAAGGTATTTATCCTCATCTTGTATTTCCCGTTTAAGAAGGGTCTTATGCCTATTTCATTATCATTATTATTATTATTATTTAAATTCAAAACTTTTTTTCAAACGAACCTCATTTAGCTCTCCGTTTTTATGGTGTATTTTTGCGTCATCTCATCTTTTTGACTTCCGAATGTATTTTCTCTTCAAATTTTAAGCTCATATGCTCTTTGACGTGAACTACTCCAGACTGTTATTAATTTTTTTCATTTAAATTTAAATTTCAAAAAAGGCTGCTGGAGAAGAGATTGGTAATAAAGACAAAAAGAAGGGTGGACTTCCCAAAGAAGGCATTGCTAGGTGCACCTTCGAAGATAGGATTCTGATGAGCGACATCGTTTTCTTGCGTGCCTGGACTAAAGTTGACGTTCCTTGCTTTTTCAATCCGTTGACTACTGCATTGCAGCCACGCGATAAGATCTGGCAAGGAATGAAAACGACTTCTGAGTTGAGGAGAGAGAATAATCTGCCTGTACCACTCAACAAAGACTCACTGTATAAGGTAGGTGCATAATCAATGGCATTGGCAACTTTCACGTGTCTGCACACTTATATGTATGCATATGTATGTCGGTGCTTAATTTCTTTCTTTTTTTGTTTGTTTGTTCCATTCAACAGCCAATTGAAAGAAAGCCAAAGAAGTTCAATCCCACTGTTATTCCCAACTCACTACAAGCACAACTGCCCTTCCCTATTAAACCAAAAAACACTCCACGCCAGAGCAGACTTTCTCTGGAAAAGAAAAGGGCAGTTGTGAGGGAACCTCGTGAGAAGAAACTGCAACGGGACATACAATATATTCAAGTTATTCGGAGAAATAAGGTTTGTCTTCCCCTGGAAATGTATATGCAGTATCCAGACCACTTTTGGATGGTTTCTCATTTTTTTTTGGCATTTCCTAGGAACAAAAGCGTGAAAAAAAAGAGCGACAGAAGAGGAAAGCAGCTGCAGCAGAGAGGGCCAAGGAGGAGCAATTCTTGAAGAAGCGCCAGAGGGAAGAACGACGAGAAAGGTACCGTGCGCAAGACAAACAGCAGAACAAAAGACGCAGAAGTTAATTTCCCATTTTCTCCCTCCCTAAGTCGTCTTTCAAACTATTTATTAGCTGCAAGAAGGGGGCGGTTGTGGGTATTCGTTGGTCCTTGATGTTGGTTTGGATGCTCTTTGGTTCCATCATCTAAGCTCTTAAAAAATCCTTAAAATTTTGAGATATTAGATTTTACATGAATCAAGAGGAGCTTCCATTTCACATGTTCGAGTCTCTTCTCGTTGTAATTAATCGTTCGGTTTTTGGACCAATGCATTCTGGGGGCTTTGTATCGTTCGGTTTGATTATATCGGTTAGGTTCCGGTTATGGAGCTTAGAGAAATGGAGAACATAATATATTTGCCAAAGGTAACATTTTGCTCCTTTTGTATAATTATACTCCTTTTGTCCCAATTAATTTGTATAATTGTACTCATTTTGTCCCAATTTAAATCTTTTGCTTTATAAGATATTTGATTGAAGTTATTTTTACAGTAATTTATTTGAGATTTGGATGGAATTTAAAAATACTCATTTACATACCTAAAACAGTATAAAAGTTTTATAAAGTAATACTCCCTGCGTCCTATATCTTTCTTCCCGGTTAGCAAAATGAAGAAAAATCTCAAGTTTTTTCAATCTATTTTATTTAAATATTGGTATAGAAAAAAAATAAAACATAAATATTTAAAAACTACATAAAAGGTTCAACAAAACAAGTGGTGACAAGAATATTTTATTTTATCATATAGGCCATGAAAAAACACAAATATATATAAATTTCCGTCAAGTTGAAATAGTGCTCTGGGAAGAAAGTGTTAGGACGGAGGGAGTAAGAGGTAAGAGCATCTACAATAGAAAGTGTAAAAAAATGGTAGGCTATATTTAGTTTTACACTATTAATAGTGTTTTACACAATCATTTTTTTATATTCACTCTAACCATATCTTCTACTCCCTCCGTCTCAATTTAAAAACTTTTGGCATATTTAAGAAAAATAAAAAATAGAGTTGATTTTTCGAAATTGACATTGAGGTGATGATGAATGAGAAGATAAGGTGAAAAAAATTGACTTATTTTATGGGTAGTTTAAGTATTTTATTTTTAAAAGTTTGCAAAACAACTACTCTGTAACAGGTAATTTATTTTGGAACGGAGAAAAAAAGCAAACAGACAATTTAAAATGGGAAAGAGGGAGTATATAGTACACTTTTATTTTATTTTAATATTAAGTTATTTAATTGTGATAATATACTCCCTCCGTCCCGGAGTATTCGTCCAGTTTTGACTTTTAGAACTGTTCATCTAAGCACTTTGACTCATCAAATTCTCTCAATGTATAAGCCTAAATATAGTCATGTGTGATCTTGTTTGATTTGTCTTAATATATAGATTATTAATATATAATTTCTATAATTTTTTAATATACAAATTACAAGATAAAATGGGTTAAAGAAATGCATTGGATGATGTGTAAAAATGAAAGTGGACAAATACTCTGGGACGAATGTAGTATATAGTTTTAAAAATTTTGATGACACATACTACGTATATTTTAAACTATGGTTATAGAGTATTAAGAAACAAGAAATAAAAAAAAGTTAAAAAAGTAATATATATATATATATATATATATATATATATATATATATATATATATATATATATATATATATAGGGGCCGATTCCTGTGAGAATGCACCTTGTGGAGAGAAATGAGAATAAAATTTAGCCGTCAGATCTAATGCATCGTGCGGCTCAGATTGCATCCTGCGCTCAGATTTTGAGATAGTGCATTTTCAAAGGTTTATGGTGCATTTCTACGTGATGCATTTTCGAACCATTTTGGTGCATCTAATTTTGATGAAATCTTGACCCTTAGATCTCACAATCTAAAGCACCGGATTCATTCTTATTTCTTTTATAAGATCGCATTCTCACATGAACCAAAATCTATATATATATATATATATATATATATATATATATATATATATATATATAAAGTTATTTAATTGTGATAATATATATAGTTTTAGAAATTCTGATGATACATATATATTTTAAACTATGGTTATAGAGTATTAAGAAACAAGAAATAAATAATTAGTAAAAAAAGTAAAAAACGTACTACAACATTTTAGTAAAAAAATTATTTATAAAAGTAATTGAAAGAGTAATAATAATTTATCAATAGTTAGATATTTTAAATAAATTAAATAGGATAAGAAGAATTAACAAAATTAATCATGCATTATTTTAGTAATAAATTTTTTACAAGATGTGAATAGGAGAGTGTATATATAGAAGTTGAGAATTGTATTTTGGACTATAATGCATTAATTACACTATCCATTGGAGGAGTTAAAATGTATATATTGTAGTGTATATAGTGTATATTTGACAATATACACTTTTTACCCTCTCCATTGGAGATGCTCTAAGATGACATTTTTTTAGCAAATGAATGAAATGACTAATGAAAATATGAAATTAAAGTAAATTTTGGTTTGATTTTGTTACAACAAATAATAAATAAATAATTTAATTTGGAATGGAAAGAATAATAATTTGAGGCCACAAAGCAATTGGTAGAATTTTGATCATAATAGGTTTGCCAATATAAAAATATCATTATTTTTACGGTGGGGTTCTAGTGACACTGGAATACGGTGCCACTAGCAGTGTCACTGGCATTTTGGGACATTTCTGGTGCTCCGTTAGCAAAATTGACGATTCCTACCCCCCTAACCCATCCTACCCCCGGCGGGGTTGGGTTGGAGGTGCAAGGGTGGGGGTATGGTGGGGGATTTAGGGGGTGGGTTAGGTGAGTAGAAATCGTCAATTTTGTGAGAGAAGCAACGGAACTGCCCCAAAATGCCAGTGGCACCGCTAATGGCACCATACTCCGATGTCACTAGAACCTCACCGTTATTTTTATAACATATTCATATAAATGTTGTGTTTCGGGACTTTTCGATATGGAAAGTTACCTTATACTAATCCCAATATTAGACTGATAATTTGGTTCAGTATGGTATGCTAATTTTTTGGTATTTTATTGGTTCAATATTTTTTAGTTTGATAATCTTAGTTTTTCAAAAAATTTTGAGATCGGTTCAGTATTTGATTACCCATTTATTTGAGAAGAGTATATTTAGGGGTGTAAACAGATACTAATCGGATCGGATGCACCATTACCAAATCTGTATCCGTTTATTTTTGTTTGATATCGAATTCAAATACGGATCTTGACGGATATTGAAAAATCAAAACTGTATCCGCATCCGTTGGATATTAGATATATCCGTATCCGTTTCCTATTTTTAAAACTAAATTAAACAATACTTGAATTTTCAATTCAACTAAATTAAAATATTATTAAATCAACTATAATTTTTTATGGGATAATTATTTTCTTATTTTTTTATAGTTTATGATATTCTACGATGACTTCATATCATAAAAAGACATATATATATACACATATTTTCATGTGTTTACACATATATATTTTGCATATAAAAATGTCTTCTACTTTGAGATATCTATAGAGAAACAAAATATAAAAATAAAAAAATTAGTAAAGACTATATGTAACGGATCGGATACATAGATAAACGATTATTTAAACGGATGTCATTGCCGAGCGAATTATAAACGGATCGGATGCATGATTACCAACTCCGTATCTATTCAACGATCGGATATCCTTAATCAGATACGGATAATAACCGCTTTTAACGGATACAAATATTTTCCATACGGATGCGGATGGTAATAGAATTTTCGGTTATATTCCACCAAAAAGGTCCAAAAAAGGGTAGTACCTAAACAATTTGGGGTCGACCTTGAATTAGCGAGAATTAACCATTCCAGGAGAGGGATCCAATTCAATCAGCTTTACTCGACGAAGGTGAGAGGCGTCGCCGGCAGTACGGTAGTTTGCACCACGCTAATGATTTTTCCCGGCGGTGGAACGGCCGGTATCCTTCGTTTCATTTGCGTCTGTCCTTGTAAGTCATACTGAGATAAAGAAGCAGAGAGGCACATATCTTTTCGATCTCTCCGCTCAGTGAGTGAGGATGATTGGAGTTGGCAAAATTAAACAATACACTAACGTTCTCGATAAACCCCTCAGCAAGGGGAAACAAGAGGTAATCTCTATCGCAATGTTCTTCTGTATCTGCAGTAAATCTTTAAAAAGTCAATCCTTTGAATTTCGAGCTCTTAAACCAGTTTTTGTGATTGCATTTAGTAATGGAGTTTCTTTGGAAAATAAGATCTGAACTTTGAATTGTGAGTTCTTATTATGTGAAAAGAAGATTGTATTTTTTGAGTGAGTTTCGGAGAAATATTATTTTTCACAGGTCAGCTTGAGCGCATTTGCGTTCTTGTTCTCAGAGCTAGTTCAATACAACCAGACTCAGGTTGATAACATAGCCGAATTGGAGAGGAGGTGATATTTGATTTTCCCTAATTTGTTTCTTTCTCATGTTATTTTATGAATTACTGCAGTATGCCGTAGTAATATTTTGAGCATTTATGGCTTCATATAGATGAAACTTATGGAATACAAGAACGAATTACAGACTTTCAATAACTTAATGATCATTTCATTACATAACAATCACAACAATTATTTTTGGATCTGGAGCAGGCTAGAGGATGCAGGTTATGCTGTTGGGGCGCGAGTTTTGGAACTTCTCTGCCACCGAGAAAAGGTAAAAAAACATCAAATCATCAAAATCTTTTATCCAGCTTGATTCAACAATGCCGCACTTTATAAATAATTAAATACGGAGTACATCATAGACAATGTAGCTACACATACTTCCTCCATGAATTTGGTCAATCTAGTTATAAAAGGTGTTCAACAATTTTTCCTTTCACCTATGTATAAAGAAGCCAAACATACCGAGCACACAAGCCATACCTCTACCCCTAGTAGTCGATAGAGAAACTGTTACTATGAAGACCCTTGCCATAAGAAATATATGGAGGCTTTGGAAGATGTAAATGATTTAGGAATTCTTGAAAATTCATTCTTACACACACACAAAAAAACCGCAATGCCACTTGAATGCATTTAAGTTGTAATTCATAGTCTTGATCATGGTTTCTATACCGTTGGCTTAATACTACAGGGGAATAGAAGGGAGACACGTTTAATTGGTATTTTATCCTTCGTGCACAGCACTGTATGGAAGGTCTTGTTTGGAAAGGTTAGTTTTAGTATTTACTCTTTTTCCCAGTCTCTAAGTTCTAGAGCTTGCCAATACTCTCCCAATGAAATCAAGTTATCACCGACTTTGTATGTGCTTGCAATCCCTTCAAAAAAACACCTTCCTTTTCAGATCACGTGAGCATATTTATTTTTCATGTATTAAAATCAGAAAATTTAGAATGCTTATGTTGACAGTTTTTTAGGAAGCTTTATTAATAACTTTAGTATTTCTTTCGGCTTAGTTTAGTGAAATATATACCTCTACTCTGTTGCTTGGTGTTCAGTTTTGAAATATTTTAAGGAAAAGAAGATGTTTCATCTATTTTGCATTGAATCAGATTGCTGACTCTCTTGAGAAGGGAACTGAACATGAAGATGAATATATGATCAGTGAAAAGGAACTTCTTGTGAACAGGTAGCATTTCCCGATGATATTTTTTCTGTTAATCCATGCTGTAAATTTTACCTTTTACTGATTCCTGGCTAACACACTGCTTAATAATAGATTTATTTCGATTCCTAAGGATATGGGTGCCTTCAATTGTGGAGCTTTTGCTGCAGGGATCGTAAGGGTATGTAGTGTGAGCAGAACTATTTATGTTTATGCTAACCAAATCTCATAAAATGACACGTTTCTTTTCTTTTCAAGGGGTGCACTAATGCTGTCTTTGAATGAAAAGATAATCAGGAAGAAAAGAATAGAGAAAGTAGGATGAGAGAAAAGACAGCATAATTCGATTTTGTGTGAATGGATTGAAAAAACCAGGAAAGAAATAGAAGAAAGGAAAACGTGAATTTCCTTTTATAGTTCTATCCTTGTGAAGACAAATTTACGCGTATTTTCTTCCTCACTTTTATGTTCCCTACTTTCTTCTCAAAATATGCTGAACAGGCAAAGGATTACTAACAAAGAATATCTGATTATACCAACCATATCTAATGCCCCATAACTTGATATACATTCTCTTTTTCTTGTTAAAGGGTGTACTTGACAATGCCGGGTTCCCAGCAGTAGTAACGGCTCATTTTGTCCCAGTAGAAGGGCAGCAGCGACCTCGAACTACCATTTTGATTAAGTTTTCCGAAGAGGTAATTTCTCGCATCTTATGCACTCCATTCCATGAACTGGCTTTTGTTTCAGTTGACTTGAATATGAGGTTCAACGCTTCTGTAAAAATCAAACCTATGGACTCCTGACCACTCCTCACTTATGACTTGTAAAAAGCCAATTTTCAGTCTAGTTTTGTGGAACGAACCAAAAGTGGTATTAAGTCAATATAGTTGGGAACCAAGAGTGGGAAGGATCAAAGCCTTGCCAGTTTATTACATACTCTACTTGCAAGAGTAAACTCTCTCATATTCCAATTTTCTACATCCCATTAATCATCGAAATGCCTCTGAATTTTATCATAGTACAATTTTCTACAGTTTAATAATAATAATTGAAATGCTTTAAACACCAATCCCCTATGTTGGTATGTGTGCTTCTTGTCTCCGTATTATAACTTTGTTTGTACTACTGCGTGTACCTTGTCTATGCTTCCATGTTTGAGCCAAGGGTCTCTTGGAAACAACATCTCTACTTTTGAGTAGGGTAATGCCCCCCTCCCCATACACATCCCCTCCACAGATCCTACTTTTTTGTGGGATTTAAGTGGGGTTTGTTGATGTTGCTTTTAAGACCAATGAGTTTTCATGTTCCAGGTTCTACGAAGAGAGGCAAGGCTAGGATGATGCTTGCTTTGCGCCTTCTTATGGGCACTTGATAATCTACAGCGATGAGTGTGGGTAACTTAGGAAAACAGCTGAATCAGTCAATGATCATTTGATTCCCGGATCTTTAATGGCAATTGTGTCTTGGTCCACAATTTGCTACTACATACTCCATTTTGCTGAAGTTACAAACCTAACATTATGTATTCGTTTTTTTAAAGAGGGTAGTTGAACTGGAGATGAAAGAATACATGATTGGGAATGCTTTGCTTGATTTAATCCCAAGTCTCATGCTTGATATTAAATGTTTTGGAGCTGTTATTTTTTCAAGTTAAACTCTAGGGCACATTGTTTCTTTCACTACATCTTTTTTTGGCTCCTGCACTTTGGAAAGGGGATGGCTTTGAGTTTTTGCCCTAGAAAGAAAATTAGAGTTTCCAGCTTATATGTACCACGATTTACTTTTTCAAACGACATTTTTGTGAAGCTCAAAATTGGAGCTTTTGTGAAATGATGTTTTGCCGAATTGAACACATGGAAAGTGAGCAGCTAAAGACTTCTTTTTGTTATAATTTTGGTTTTCGAGCTTTGTGTGACAATCCTTGGTATTTATGAATCATCCTCTTTAAGCCCATACCGACTATACAAAGTTGGGGTGTTACATTTGTCACTCTCAACCCTCTAACAGAGCTGTGGAAAATATTTACATTCAACTATACGACTCACTAAAGAAGTACGATATGCCCTTACAAAACTTCGATTTATTATTTCAAATTTCAATAATTACTATTATGGGAATGCCTGGAAAACAAAAATGAAATACAACATAAAGCATAAATTTATTGAGTTTGAGTCTGTCGAAACCGAAAAAAGAGACAGATGCCGGGGAAAGGGAGTACAAGTCACTAGACATCAACCACTCCGGGCATTACAACAACAAGAATCTAGTATAATCCCACAGAGGTAGGGTTACAACAAGAATCCAATAGAATCCCACAGAGGTAAGCTGTGTCTAGGGAGGGAGGATGTGTGTACGCAGACTTTACCCCTACACAGAAGTAAAGAGCCACTCCATGCATTACAATAATAAAATACGAGTACATAAAATCATGACCAAACAGGAGAAATGAGCCACAACTTGCCACTCAATCTCAATGATATAATCAAATATAAAGAGTCATTAACCACAATATTACATCAAGCAAGTGCTGAAATATAAGCAGGGAAATATAAGCAGGGAAAAGTCGCCATTTTCTTTTATCATCTCGGAGATAGGTCAATGTCAGCTCAGCTCATTAATTTCTTCCAAGAGGTAGTGATCGACAAGAATAAGTCTCCTTGAAATCAGATTTCCTAGATGATGTGAAAATAGAAGCATACACTTCCTTGGTAGCATTAGCTGGTGCATTATCAACAGCCTTAAACCGCTTCCCCGCAGGTCCATTCACAACATTCTTCACTTCTATTTTACCATTAGGACCGTGTTTTTTGTTCAGTTCCAACTTTCCCTTCTCTGCAATATTATTATTATCATCAATCCCACGTTTGCCCCCGCTCAAGTATGGTGTGACCTCACCACCCTCTACACTAAGAACAACATCTCCATTCTTACCCTTCTTAGACTTCTTACCGTCTCTAAGTTTTACCTTTTCCTCCTCCATTCTCTCTCTCAATGCTGCAACCTCATCTTCGGTCCCGTTTATCACAATCTTGTCATTCTCCACAAACCCCTTGTGACAGACCAAACAAGCAGACGATTTTACCTCTTTCAAAGCCTTGGCACTGAAAACATGCCCACAGGTCCTGAGTGCAAAGAACTTGTACTTCCCGTTAAACTCTAACCCCGATACAGGGCACTGAAACCTTGTACCACCACACAAGGCACTGTCCTCCATACCTGGAATAAATGACAACTCTACGGGTACCATATCTCTCAGTCCTTTTATGTATGAAAACTGCTTAGGCACTTGTTTCTTCAACAAGGCTTCAACCAAGGCCTCCTTGTTAAACAAATTCCCAAGCTTATCGATCACCACAGGGTGCTTCAATGGCTCGTTTGACAATGTGCAGTTCAACCACTTTGATAACCTACGCTCGTTCGGGTCAATTTTGTCGGGTTTCTTGATAGCATACATTTTAAGGTAACAGTCGCGAGACTCCGCACCTGTGGCGCCACCATCACCGCCTCCACCCACAAGGCGGAGACGCATGGTTAAGGTGGAGAGAGGTGAAATAATGGGACTTTTCACAGGGGTAGGATCTGGGATCAATTTCCCATTCAAGGTGAAATAGAAAGAGTCCTGTATTAGGGTTAGGGTTTCGGGCAAGAGGGAGGATTTGAGATCCTTCACGGTGAAATCAGGGATCGAGGTCTCAATATTCAGGGCCCGGGTAGGGATTTTGAGGTCGGGGGACTCAATGAAAATCTGAAAGTTCTGGATTTTCGATTCCATCGTCTGACTTCTCTAGCTCTTTGCGAGGAATCGGGATTTAGGCGGGACTGAAACCGACCGAATAAAAGCAGCAGACGGGATATGCAGATTTACCTGGAAGTTGAGAAAATGAAGTGCAGCAAGTGACGAGAGCTTTTCTTAGGAATCGGAAGAGAACGATGACCGGGAACGATGAGCACCGGCGGCGACGGGGAAACGTTCGATCGCGTAGATTATGCCTTTTTAAAAGGTGGTCGAGTCGGTCCGAATTAAACCCACTCTGTAGCTCAAACGAATTGGAACGGACGGGTCCAGATCGATTCAGAGTCTGTTTGGTATAAGAAATTGATGGAATCAGAATTGAATTGAAATTGAAATTCAATGAGATTCAATTCCATAGAATTGAATTCACCAATTTCAATTCATATTTTGAACTATCAATTCCAAATCCACATAATTTTTGTACTACCAAACACCAGAATTGGAATTAAAGTCTTCAATTCCAATTCCATAGTTTGAATTCCATGTACCAAACGGGGCCTCAGTACATACCGATCCCCCCCCCCCCCCGTTTTAAAAAATTTAAAGTCTGGATATTGGATAATTTTGAATTTGAGTTAGGGTCAAAACTCGGACCAAAACAGAAAAATTTAAAGTCTGGATATTGGATAAAACTTGAAAGTCAAAGTAATTTTAACATTACATTAAAACCCATGCAAAGTCAGAGAAAGAAAATTCAGATAGGGCGGAGGGAGTAATATATTTTTTCAACCTACGTAAAGAGTTAACATTCCTCACTGGACTTCGAAACTGTGATCTCCTATTTGGGAGTCTTGTTGATGCAGTTGGACTACAAGTGCTTAGCTATAATAGAAACTATTTGACCTTGCAGGTTAGATTATTAAGGAGTATATTACTTTTATCTATAAATTAATTTAATTGTACAAATATGCAATACAAATTGGAGTAAAAAAATTTCCAATTTGACTCAAAAACTGGAATAAGAGGGAGTACAAATTGAGTTGGAACTTACAAATTTGCTGACTTTGTCCTATATGTACATGAAAGTAATGATAATTTATCATATAAATATGATATGCTGATTGTTCCCAAGATGTGAAGCTTAGTCACAACTCACAAGTTTTAAAGTGGAAAAATTCATCTTAATATATCCAAAATGTTAACATATTATTCAAAGTGTAATTGTATTTCAATCGCAGTCTAAATGATAATATAAAGAGTGAAATGTGGACATACTCACACATACCCTTAACAACAAGGCAAATTCTTTGCTGTATATGGGTCAGTCAGGTATTTGTACTTGATGACTTCCTAGAACGCAAAACCCTTGTAAACCGCCAAACCGATTGAATGAAACGAGCAGCTTGCTCTCTTTCAAACACACACTGCAAATCTTCGACCATGACAACAAAAGCTTCAACGTCCATAACTGCGGTGATAGTTGCGGGGGAGATATGGAGGCTAGGCGGGATAGACAATGATGTGGGTTTGCATGAACCCAGGTGGCCATAATATGTTGTTCCCAATGCTGCTCCCAATGCTGTTCTTTCCCCCATAATATCTCCCCGTCTTTCAACAACATATTTCGGTAACCATTGGGAGCAGCAGTCCTTGTTGGAGAGCCTACCATATTATACACAAATTAAACAATGATACTATAAGAATGAAAATTGATGATATACATCCAGCAACTAAACAGGTGCGTGAATGAAACTAAAAGGAACTGCATTTGTCCATCCAATTTTTCTTTTCCAGAATTAGTCGAGTTACTACATTTGAAGAATAAAATTACATGAATTGTTCAACATGTAAGACATAAGAAACAAAACCACGGGATTATTCGATGAAGAATGGGAATGACACCAGTGGAGGAAAAGTTGCAGGAAGCTAGACTTAGGTGGTACGAACATGTTAGGAGGAGTATTGAGGCCCTCTTAGGAGGTGAAAGGGGCTTGTGGTTTCGGGAGTGAGAAGGGGACGAAGAGGCTAGGAAGAATTGGACAGAGTTGAATAGGCAAGGCTTACATAACTCTGGAACCTCACCGAGGATATGACTGTAGATAAGAATAACTAGAGACCTAAGATCACGGTAATTGGGTAGTCGTGGGAGCCTTAGGTCATAATTGTGGTTGGCGTGCCTTTTTGCCTTTGGTCATAGCTTTCATCTCTTGGTTGTGGATCTTGTTGCTTGAGTGGGTACATGGATTTCTTTTCTCTTTTTGCTCTTTTCTTTTACCTTCTTGGGCAAAAATTAGTCCCCTTTTAAAAAACTATTAAGAGCGGTCTAAAATATCCTACAAATATGATTAAGACCATTATTGACATGAATATATCGAGTGACCCCCAAACACATTTCTAAGGCCAACTTGATACTCGGGTATTTTTAAATCATTTCCTAAAAAAATAGTGCATTAATATTCGATCTGTATAGCGCGTAAAATGTTAGAGCACTTAATTCTTTATTTTATTTATTTTGTTTCTTTTCAATTTCAGTTTAATTTTTATTAATTACCTTATATATTTCATTAATTTTACATGATTTTAGTTATTTGACTCATTTTTGAGTTTGACACTATTCACGGGGTTCAAGGTTTGTTGCTAATCACAAAATAGGAGAGTGGAAGAACTCATCTTGTGGGAGATTTGTTGCGATCAACAATTAAGGCAATAATAGTGGACAAAACAGTACTGTCTATGTCCCAAAATGAATTGCACAATTCATTAATTGAAATTCACTGAATCTTTTGATGGAGTTTTTATGTATGTAGTGAATAATTTTTATTTTTCATTTCTATAATTTTTTTTCAAAATTAAATACTCCCTCCGTCCCACTGTCTTTGTCCACTTACCTTTTGGCATACCATCCAATACACTTCTTTAATCCATTTTATCTTGTAATTTGTATATTAAAAAATTATAGAAATTATATATTAATAATCTATATATTAAGACGAATCAAAAAAGATCACACATGACTATTTTTAGGCTTACACATTGAGAGAATTTGATGAGTCAAAGTGCTTAGATGAACAGTTCCAAAGGTCATATGTGGACAAAGATAGTGGGACGGAGGTAGTAACTTTAATGTAAGTCATTTTAGGAGGAAAGAATAGAAATCATGAAATTTTGGTGTCGTGTCATTTCCTCGTGAAAGACAGTGGAAGAAGGGACTCTTTAATCAATCAATTGAAAATAGAAAAAATGTTAGGGGTACACCAAATGTGTATCCCATATGTCCCTCACTCCTTCCTTGTCTATAAAAAAGGCAAGAAAATTCAAAAAAATAAATAAATAAATAAATATCAAATAAAATATGTAGTGGAAAAGGGATGATGTATATTTAAGATACACCTTTAGTGTACACCTAGCATTGCTCTTGAAAATAATAGCCAAAGGGCACTGTTTTGTTTATGAAGAGAAAAAAACCGACAAAGAGAAAAAGAGAAAGGGAAAGCACATGCATTGCACTACTGAAGGCTGAAGCCCCCTCCCAATCAATCACCATAGAAGAAAACGTCAAAACACCCAACACAAAAGCTAACCAATCGTGGACCCAATCCATAATCATCCTTTTACTCTCATTTTCTTGAAATAAACAAAAGAAGTCCAAACTCTAAACAATGATTTCTTTTAAAAAAAAAAAATCAATTTTAGGAAGAGCGATAAAGATTCCTTCACTAATAGAACACAAAACATCATAACAAACAATAAACAAGTCCTTAATTAATTAATTAATACATACTCGTAACAAAAGAACCATAATTAAGAACGCTTAACACAAGATTAAAGTACCAAAGTTTGACTTAATTAATTAAGCACACATTGATGATGAAGAGCTGTTGTTGGAGGAGGAGAAGTCCAGACAATGTCTTTCAAAGCAGGCTTCAACTCCTTGCTGCAAAACTGGTCGTATTCCAGCGTGTCGCCGCTGGATTTCTTCACCTCCACCACCACAAACGACGGCGTCATGGCGAAGATATCCGCCGATATTCCCAGTTTGCCCTTCCTCCCGCTCTCCTGCCCCTGCAGCCTCACGTTCGAGTCCCCGCTCTTCTTCACGCTGAAGTTGCTCGTCTTCGCCACCGCTTCCAGCTTCGATATCACGCTGCTCGCCGGCTCCGCCGTCGCGAATCTCATCTCATCCCTCCCCCCTCCCTTCCTCTCTTGAAACAAGGGGCTCAGATCGAACCCCTGCGACAGGGATATGATGTGGAAGGCGTTCAGCGTCTCCACCTCTTTGGGCTCTTCGTCTTCCTTGCCGCAGCTGATCCTCGGGGGAGGCCGGGGAATGGATTTCTTGAACCAGGAGGAGGACATGATTTTGGCTATGTTGATTCTGGAATTCGGGTTCGGGTCGAGCATCTTGCTCACCAGTTTCCTGGCCTCCGGAGAGAACCAGGGCGGGCATTTGAAGTCCCCTCTGTAGATCTTCTTGTACATGGCGACGATGTTGTCGTCATGGAAGGGGAGGAATCCGGCGAGGAGGACGTAGAGGATCACCCCGCACGACCATATGTCCACCTTCGCACCGTCGTACCCCTTCTTCGCGATCACCTCCGGCGCGACGTACGCCGGCGTGCCGCATGTCGTGTGGAGCATCCCGTCCTGCCGGAGGTGGTCGGAGAACGCGCTGAGCCCGAAATCCGTCACCTTCAGGTGTCCCTCCTCGTCCAGGAGGAGGTTCTCCGGCTTCAAGTCCCGGTGGTAGACGCCGCGGCTGTGGCAGAAGTCTATGGCGGAGATCAGCTGCTGGAAGTAGTTCCTCGCCACGTCCTCCCGCAGGCGGCCTTTGGAGATGGCGGCGAACAGCTCGCCGCCGCGGACCAGCTCCATGGCGAAGTAGATCTTCGTTTTGCTGGCCATCACTTCGTGGAGAACGACAATGTTTGGGTGGTTCACCATCTTCATCACCGAGATCTCCCGCTTTATCTGCTCCATCATCCCCACCTTTTCATCACACAAAATCACTCACACTTATAATCAACTGTAAATCAATTAATTAAACGCTAATCGACATCAATTAAACAATTATTTCTCAGATCAATCAATGAACCAATCAAACAATTATCGGATCGCAGTATATAAAATTAATCAAGAAGTTGAGCTTTAATCCGCCATTATTACCTTAATCACCTTCTCCTTCCCGACGACCTTCATGGCCACGCTCTTCCCCGTTTCAAGGTTTCTGGCGTGGTACACCTTCGCGAACGTGCCGTGGCCCAATAGTCTTCCGAGCTCGTATTTCCCGTTCAGAGCGCCGCATTTCTCCTCGGCAGCGGCCATTATTGAATAATCCACTTCTGGAATCACACGATTTCTAATCTAAATCTATAAATCGACTGTTCAAACTTGAGATTTTTTTTTTTTTGGTTTTGTATACAACAGATCGGAGATTTTGTTTTGGAAGAAGGGAAGAGGAGAGGGAGTGGAGGGGACGGATCACCCGTCCTCGACGTGTTTCCGGTGACAGGTACGGCCGCCGGAGTGCGGAGGTTTGTCGGCTCTGCCGCCAACCAGGTGGGGGTTAGACAGCGGCGGCGGCGAATCTATCATCTCTATGCATTCCCTGGCGGGCTCAAGTGCTCTCCAGACTATAGGCAGAATGTGAGAAATGTGATTTTCTAATCTCTCTGGCTGAATGGCTTGGGGATAAATTTATAACCAGTTCTGGGGTAAAATCGTCTTTACAGCCCACGAGCCCTCGCCTTCGATAGGCGGTCAGATATGGTTTAGTCGAGCCACGTGGCGGAATAGTGTGGGTGCGATCGGAATCTGGAGAATCTTGTGGTCTATTAGCGTTTGACACGTGTCTTATGTGGGCCCGATCGGCTTGATGATTGCAAAGCCTCCAATGAGTGAATCTTCAATGTAATTTGGAATTTTGGATTTTGGGATACAAAACTCCAAATTGTTACCCCTTCGCTTATTTAAGAGTAATCATTGCTCCGTTCGCTTAAACTTTTTTTTCTACTCCGGGTACTAATTTTCCCTTTTTGATTCCCTCTGTTTATAAATAAAGTTTTTTGTTATGTGTTACGATGTGAATTTAGAAAATAAAAGTTACACAAATTATATGAAAAAATCTATAAAATTAGAGGTAATATGATTATATTATTTTATCAAATAAGTTACGAAAATAAGTCAATATAGTTAATAAAATTTGACTTTGTGAATGATGAATGAAAATTTTATTGTTGACGGAGTACTTGAAAAGTGGTATGTCTTAAGATTTATATTTGAAATATAGATTTTTTTTCACAATTTTATAGATTAATATATGAATGTTTAATTTTTTTTTTCAAGAAGTTCAATTCATGCATTTTATTAACATATTAAGATCCATGAAATTGGACCGATGAAGTATTAATGCTTTACAACTGATCAAACATAAAGATGCATAACATAAAGAAATTAGGTAAGCACTAAAATATTGTGAAACATTATTAGAGAAAATTATTTTTACCGATTTTTTAGAAAAAATTACATGAAAAGTACAATCTTTACTTGTTCTTCTATTTCTAACACGAGTTTCACAATTTTTGTCAATAAGGTGAACACACATTATTTATTTGCCAACTTTAGGCATGCCGTTTATTTTCATACCATTTTTTTCTCTGTGGTCATTTATATTCGGATTCAATTCACACACACGCATAAAGAAGCAGAGGATGGCCACCAAAGAGGAAAAAAGAAATTTCGCGTCCACGCTTCAATTTCCAACACTCTCAAGAAAAAATTCAGCCCACACATTCTCAAGTTCGTTCGGATACAACGAAGATATGCGTCTTTACTTTTAGTAACTATAATCCCAAAACCGCTCTCATCAACTCTATATTAATACATTTTTTTAAAATTGTTCTTCATTATTGATGATCAACTTGCAGAAGATATTATGAATAACAAGGATGTTAATTATCAAATTAAAATAATGTCGTGATTTAACCTTTCATTATACAAAAATGAAAACCACATCGGAATAAAATTAAATTAAGTAGCATTGGCGCAGAAAAATAATAGGCCAACGGTATTATGAGCAAGTACAAACCAGTATCCATTATGGAGTAGTTTGAATAATCTTCTTCTTCATCTTCTACTACTTACACAAGTAGGCCACACTTGAAGCAATAACTTGTGAGTTTCACATGAAGGGCACGTGACTATGTGTGAGTACGGACGTCTAAATAAATATTACCTTCGTCCCAGAGTATTTGTCCACTTTCATTTTTACACACCATTCAATGCACTTCTTTAGTCCATTTTATCTTGTAATTTGTATTTTAAAAAATTATAGAAATCATATATTAATAATCTATATGTTAAGACAAATCAAACAAGATCACACATGACTATATTTAGGCTTACACATTGAGTAATTTACTTAAATAGGACTAAAACATAATGACTTTCCTAATATAGGACCATATGTTTTTATTTCCCAATTTAAGACTTTTGGTCATTATCAAGTAGTCATTATTTAAGTAAATGTCCATCATTACTAGGCATTATTCCTTCCACTAGGTTATTATTAAGTCCTATTTAGGGAATAAAAAAGTTTAAAACTTACATTGGGAAAGTCATTATGTTTTAGTCCTATTTAGTGCAAATTTTACATAAATATTCTCATCCAATCAGAAATAAAAAGTAAAAACTTTTTTTTTGAATTTCAAAAAGTGAAGAATAAAATAAAATAAAAAAGAAAAATGAATATTATTTGGACATCTCAGTTATACGGATCGGGCTTTTATACGCGTTTTGAAAATTCATTTTGTATAAGACTCGTTTTTTTGCATGTTTCAAGCTTTTTATATTTTGTTTTTCCATATTTTTATTTTTATTTAAAATTTTCTAGGAAAAAGAAATAGAGAGACGAAGAGAAAGAGTAAAAAAAGGAAAAAACAAAAAAATAAACGAAAAATACGAAATGAGCACGAGTGTCACACACGGTTTGAAAATTAGGCACCAATGTCTCCTTTTCGCCAGAAAAGACTGAAAAAATGATCAGATGGGTGATCAGATGGGTGTGAGTGCAATGTTTTGAAACTACAGAGCTCATTGAAATATGTTTTGAAAATAAAGAAAGTATTGGTGCAAATTTTCAAACCACATGGGGTACTTGAGCTATTTGGCCCAGTAAATATTTCGTATTAATTTACTGATCATTTGATTCATTTCATATCTAGTTATTACTAATTCATCCTTGAGTATTCATCCACTTTTGATTTTTTGGTCAAAAATGGTAAATTTTGACTTCAAATTAAATAAAAATGATATTAGACATTGATACAAAAATAGTTTTATTAGATTTCTTGTATAAAATATTTTTAAAATTTTATTTTTTCTAATTAATATACAATATATAATATACTTAATTACAGGTCAAAAGTTGAAAACAATTGACCGAAAAAATTCAAAATTGGAAAAATATTCAAAGACGGAGGTGGTATTAGTTTATTAATCACGTATTATTCTAAATTGGCAAAATAAGAAAATTACACCTACTTGAAATACGGAATATCATTCTAAAGTAGATTTTTCTTTTTTGAGACGGATGCTAGATACGGAGTAGTATACAACTAAACTACAAATTAAGTACCAAATTTAAATACGATAAATATATACCGGAGTAGCATAAAAAGAAAAGAAAATTGATGAGAATTTAATACTTCAACAACAACTAAAATTGTTTAGGAGAGGTACAATGATACAATAAAAAAGTATAAAATATTATAATACGGACTATGTTAAACAGTACTCTGTATGTATATTCACAACGGACCACATGATCTGTATTATATGCATCGTTGTTTGTACAATGTATGACAATATATAAATTCATTACTTTATTACGGAGTATATTTTTGCATTTATCTCAACCAATTATCTTTTAAAGAATGCTACGGAGTATAATACAGTCAAACACTGTCTGCAAAATGACAAAAAAACAGATTTATTTTTTATTTGATTTTTTTTATAAAAACTGTATTTACGTACTCTTAAAGTTTAACAAATTATTTGATTAAAAAATATTGAAAAAGAAAATCGAAAGAAAATAAAGAAATTTCGATGTTGCTTTTAGTTTGAGAAAAGAAAAAATGTAAATCAAGAGAAAAATTTTAAAAAAAAGCAAAGAAAATTTAAAACATACTCCGTAACATAGAAAAACAATATTTTTTTTACTTTAAGCCCTCCTTCACTTGACTTAAAGTTATACTCAGTATATGAGAAGAATATCTTATACTCCGGGGTATATTTTTTATGTTATTTTTTTTTTTTGCAAGGGTAATTATTTACTTGGGCGAGAATGAATTTTATTTCGGTCCTTTTTTTGGCACCTCACAAACAAATTAAATACTCCGGTAGTCCGGTAGTTATCACTGTCCCTTGGATGCATCAACATTAAACATGGCGTGGTTGTTAATTATTTGTTCAATAGCAATATACGTAGTATTATTTAAATATCATATTTTTACAATATATATTTATATATTCCGTATAAGATATAGTAATAATTAAACCCTTAAAATAGTGTATTAAAGAAGGAAAAAGACTATAATAGGAGTAACACATTGAAAAGATAGCAAAATAAGACTTTTATGTTTTTATTCTCAAAATAGGACTTAAAATGCATTTACATTACCAAATAGAACTCCTATTTTGATATTTTTTTATGTTTTAGTCCTATTTAGGATGATTTTTAAATTAAAGAATATAAAAAAGAAAATTATAAGACCAGATTTATAGAGTACTAGATTGATTTCAATACTAGTACTCCTCACGTCCCAAATTAAATCACATATTTATTATTCACATGGTCAAATTTTATTCACTTTCTTTCTTTTTTTCCATAGTTATTTGATAAAATAAAATAGACATATCACTATTAGTTTTATAGATCTTTTAATGTAGTATCTAATTAATATTCTATCCATCCTTAAAAGATTGCCACAGTTAGACTTTTTTTGTCAAACCACGGCACTCTTTGACAATAAATTATGAAAAATGTATATTTAGTTATAATGTAAATTTAGTAAAATTGGATTTATTTTAAAATATAGTTTTGAACTCCAATTCAATATTTTATGTAACAGCATAGAATAAAGTCAATTAAACTTTAGAGAATTTTACTTAAATAGGACTAAAATATAATGACGTTCTCAATATAGGACTATATATTTTTATTTCTCAATGTAGGACCATTGGTCATTATCCATTAGTCATTATTCAAGTAAATATCTACCATCAGTGGATATTATTCCTCTCACTATAGAATAAAAAAGTTTAAGTCCTACATTGGAAAATGACTTATGTTTTAGTCATATTTAGTGCAAAGATTACTTAAACTTTAATCCTATATTAATAACTAGAGAGTATTAGTTGCATATGATATGCCTATCAAAAACAGATCTATGTTACGTTTGTTCATCTTTAATCACTGTTATCAAGAGTCATGTCACCATTTCTTTCGTAGAGCTTTTGAGATATCCAATTTTCGAATATATAAGTTGTAATTTTATTTTTTAAAATAATACTCCGTAACTTTTTCAAAATGATGAGATTTTGTATATATGTTGTTCAAAACAATGCAATAATTTATTAATTTTAAGACGGGGATGGGAGAGTAAGATTTAAAAGGAAAATAAAATGTTAAGAAGATAAGATGTAGCTGACAAACATGTCATTAATTAATAAACAAAATAATGTCTTTTTTAATTCCCAGAATTATGATTTATCAGTCAGTCACATAGTACAAACATATATACCAGTAGAATTAAGTTTGTGGGTGCATGCTTTTTATTGGCTAATATTCGATTAAATTAATGGACCCAATAATGCAAAGACATATTGCATGGTCAATTCATATATGGACTACATTATCAATCACACCTAATTTGTTTAATAATTATTACTCCGTATTATATTGTTCATAAACTATCGGATCGGTATTAAACTCATGGGTATTAATCACTTTTAAATTCACACCTCTCGTTTTATACGGAATTAAATATAAAACAAAAGTTAATGTACGATATGGGTTTTAAATAACATGTTAACATAATATGATTTCTTTTAGGATTATAATGGGTTTTAAATTTTATAATGGGTTTCAAAAAATATAATGCTCTATCTATTCAAAAAGAAAAAAAGAAAAAGACTGCTAATAATGTTGAGAGGCAATTCAATCATGTTCATTGCCATATGCGTTTGTCTTTCTCCAAAATTATTCATTTGGATCAATCACTTAGGTTTCACCATTTTTAGTGAAGTGATAACCAACCCTTTTGTAATAAATATTCCTCCAATTATATGGGAACTTCCCAAGGGCACCTCAAAAGTGTAAGCCAAATTATATCCTAAAAAATGCACCAACATTTTGACGGTTCACACGGGTAGAAAATATTAGTTCAAATAAAAAAATTCACACTGACATTTTTTTCAATGTAAATCAGCACACTAACACCACACTAATACAAAATGTCAGTGCATGCCTTTTGCGTACAAAATGGGGTATAAATTTTGGTGTACATATAGTTTAATCCAAAGTTTTTATAATTCCTCCTTCCAAAAAAATACGCCCCCCGTCCCGAATTACATACCACTGCCATTATTATGGTTTAACTATAATTTTTGTTTGTTTGTATATTTTCATTAATAATTTGATAAATTATATATTCTAGTCACCTCTTTATTTATAGAGTTTTTTTTATGTAATTTTAAATGGTGTAATTTATCCTTTTTATTTCAATACTAACTTGTAATTAAAATGACATCATTTTGTATATTGTTTAGAGTGTGGTATCCAATATATGACGGATGGAGTATCACATTACACAAAAAAAGTTTTAAATTTTTTCAATTCTTTTTATTTAAGAATTGATATATAAATAAAAAAATAAAATTTACATATCCAAAAATTAGATCAAACTAAAAGTTCTGCAAAACAAGAGATGTCTCGTAATTTTTTGAATGCTGAAGTGTGATGTTATATTTGTGACAAAGAGAACAAGCTAAGGGATTCATTCAATACTCAACCTTCGTGAAAAATCCGAAAACTTAAAGTTAAAAATAGTTTTAAATTCTTTTAAATGCTATGCAACAAATTAACAATAATTGTTCAACATTATAAGAAAATTGATACGAATTCAGCAAATTGATGATGACATTCCAAATTTATCAGTAAAGACAAATATTACACATTACTTTTTGTTACTCCGTAGCTTTTTTTATATATGTGAAATATTCTTATCTTTTAATAATTATAAGTTTGGAATTTTATTATTAGTATCAATTTATTGGCACAGTCTCAACATTTTGAAAAAATTATCAATGTTAAAGTTTAGCTTTAACATGTCTAAATTTAGGCAAATTCTTCCGTAGATTTTAGGTTTATACTTATTTTATGAACTTTAATTAGTGTACTTGTTGCAAAAAAGAATTAGATCTTTACAAAAAAAAATATTTACATTCAAGTCCATAAAAAATGTGAGAACATTCATATTTTAAATATGAACCTTAGAACCATGTAAAAATAATCCAATTTTAACTATGGTTTGAAATTGGTGACTTGAGATGATCCCATGATCATAGCTCGATTGATTGTGGATCAACATAGCCCATCATGACCCGGCTAACAATATCAGGCCCATGATGGTACAATGTCTCGACCCAAAAATCCAACTTAACATTTTCAAAATTAATACGGAGTACTCCGTAGTTCTTTTGTTTCATGATTCTCTTCCGTTTTTTGAGTTATCTCAAAAAAAATCTTTATTGTTTTTATTGAAACAAATTTGTGGTCATATCAGTTATCTTTTCTCTACGCTCCACAATAATCCATATTCCACTTTTTTAAAAATTGGATCAAGTCAAATCTAAAAGATAATTTCACGACATAGAGATTACGATACACAGACACACACACACATACTCCGTATAAAACTTTGGCGCCTCTTCTTTTAATTTTTCATTAAATAAAATAACTTTTACTGTTAATATACATTGAATTACCATTGATTTTGTATAAAATCTTCTATTTTCTAAGTACTATACCAATATGCATTTCACCATTTTTAATCTACATAACTATTTTATTATTTTAATCTACATAACTATTTTATTATTTTAAAAAGATGGTTATTTAAATTTTATACAGAGTATAATCTTTAAAATTATTCACCATTATTCTCTTTTATTTATTTTCAGGAAAAAAAATCGACATAAATGTAATTAAATGTGAATTATTACTAAAAATACAACTTTTATTTTAAAAATATATCATATTTAATAATTAAAATTTAGTACGCATTTAGTGGAATAAAAACTTACTAGTATTATATTAAACTATTGTTGTATTATTATTCAAATTAGAATTTTATCAAAATCTTTAAATTGTAAAATGTTCTACGGAGTATATGAGTTCATGGATTAAAATTAATTTTTTTGAATAGATATTAAAAATAATTTTGGAACTAATGAAGTGAATTTAGTGTGTGGAGTGAAGTTCGTTAGTATTTGGGTGGAGTGTGACTATCTGATAAAATTTAGGATGAGTATGGACAATTAGATTGATAATAAGACACTTGGGTTGAACCACATTAAAAGATTGAATCCAATAGATTAGTTAGTTCAACTCAAAAGCTTATATACCGATTAATTTCCTCACATTTTTCCGATGTGGGATGCTCTTTTAACACTATCACCCACCCTAACTAAACGTTAACAAACATTGTATATTATTATTATTATTATTATTATTCATTTTGAAAAAATTATTAACATTATTATTATTATTAAATTAATTTGTTCCGTGCAACGAGTCGAAGACCAGTCTTGGCTGCTTCATGCGTTTTTACAATTTTGACCTCAGAGTCCCACCCTTCTCTGGCCTTGAATTCTTGTTGGTAGTATCTAAACGCCACGTATAACATGAATGCTGCATTTCATGATTTCAACGATTGAAATAATTATAATAAATAAATATATAATTAGGGGTTATTTACTTTTTTTTTTTCATTTCAAGATTTAATGTACAAGTAGTACACTTTTTTGAAAAGGATAAAAAAAGAGAAATTTACTACCATCTCTGTCTCAACTTAAACACTTTACATGATCAAATTTTATTTATTTATTTATTCTTATTTTCGTTTTTTCATTTAAAAATAATCATATTTTAAAAAAAAGAAAAGAGAAAGGAGAAGTTTAATTAGTTACCTGCCCAAAGTCTAGCAGAGAAAGAAGACAAATTCCAGAGGAGTGCGAAGAAGCCAAACGCTACGGCCTTTTTGTGTCTGCAACTCTCCCATGCGTCTCTATATCTTCTCCCCCAAAACTTACCTTCATTCATACCACATATATATATATATATATATATATATATATATAGACACACATACACACACACAACTTATATTTATTCAAACTTTTTCTGCATTTATTTGTTTTTAATTTGTACATAGTGTAGGACCTCGTTGCACACATGACCAACACATAGCTAGTTTAAACTCGTAAAAAATTGTAGCTCCAAGTCCGGCCCGATCTAATAAAATGGGCCTCATATTTTGTCAAGGCCCGCACAAAAAATGATCGAGCCTAGCGTTCGGGTTTGGACGGACAACCCGGCCTATATCCGTGCACCCCTACTAGCTAGCAACACGTATGAAAAAAAATAATTATTCCATCCATCTGCCAAATTGCTATAGATTTTTTCAAGTTGACTCTTTGTAATTTTTAAAAAGAGTTGAAACAAGGCTAAAGTGTACTAAAATACCCTTGGTAAAAGTGTCTGAACTATATAGTAAATGAAGTAGATGAGATATAATAAATAACGTAACGGTGAGAATTATGGTATTTTAATTTAAATGTTGAAAAAGATAATGAAAAGATTTTGTCCCGTAAAAATGTGCATTTCGAAAGATCTTAGGCGAAGAGGGTGAGAATATTTTACCGTATGCTGTTAATTGCGGAGAATAGGAAGAACTGACTTTTGGTAAGATGAAAACTCCGAAGAAGCCTGCATTTTTAACCGTGCATCATTTATATGTATGGAGTATATTATATAATTAATTACGTAGATTAAGGGTAAATTGAGAAGAAGGTACAAAGATTTTGGTAAGAGTCAATTTTAATTAGGTGAAACGATTGACTTTTGTGTGTATATATATATTGTGATAGAAACGGTTAGTTGAACATTTTCAATATTCAATTTCAATACTACTCCCTAATACTACCTCCGTTCCACTCTCTTTGTCCACTTTTGATTTTTAGAACTGTTCATCTAAGTACTTTGACTCATCAAATTCTTTCAATGTGTAAGCCTAAATATAGTCATGTGTGATCTTGTTTGATTTGTCTTAACATATAGATTATTAATATATAATTTTTTAATATACAAATTACAAGATAAAATGGATTAAAGAAGTGCATTGGATGGTGTGCCAAAAGATGAGTGGACAAAGAGAGTGAGACGGAGGGAGTAATATATTTTTCTTAATACTACACACATGTAAATATAAATAAACACACAAATTTATTATACCGGCATTTCTTTTTTTGGAGTTACAATTACAAATCTAAAGTTCTGATTGAATTGATTTTTTGACAAAATATGAATACTCTGTATTAAAATGATGAAAATTTTACATCATTTTTGTTCCATTTAAAATTTGTTTTTAAATTTTGATTTTATAATTATTTGCATTTCACCTATCTATCTATCTATCTATATACATACAAAGATAGGAGAGAAAAATGAACAGTGTTCCCGCCCAAAATATTGGGCCGGGTCACTGCCGAATGGGCCGGGCCTATCACATATAGAGGCTGGAAAATGAAGCTCAACTTACGCAGTACGCTAGCCGCCAGGTTATTCAGAGTCCGCTGGAAAAAGCGATAACTACAACAAAGCTTATGCCGTACGCTTCATAAAATTACCTGCAAAGCTTATTACGCCTGATTCCTTTCAGATCTTAGATGTGGTGGCTGCTGTCCTCTTCAACCGGAGTTCGCCGCAAGGTTCTTTCCGGATCTAGGGTTTCATGCATTGGTCTCTTTGCCTTTGAGTGTAGCAGCCAGTAAGTTTTTTCCAAATGAATTCAAATTTTTTATTTACTCTTCTTAAATCTGGGCCTCTCAAACCATGGAGTATAATATTTTTGCATCAAAGGCAGTGGTAGGCTACACAACTTTGATCTACGACATACTTCTCAAAAAATGAGATGGAGTAAATTTGCTTCTCCTGTATAATCAAGGGATAATATGGTGGCTGGATACCTTCACAAAGCTTGAGGATGGAAGATGGATATCTACTTTGCAATGGCACTGATGGTGTAATTTTTTTATTCAAATATTATTTTATTTATTGAGTTAATAATTCATTTTTTTCTTTTTTATTTCTACTATCATAAATAAAACAGGGTCACTTTCAAAAGTGCAGATTTAGGGAGTATTTGAAATATAACAGTTCAATAGGTTACAATTCAATATTGGTAACCTATTCTGCACAAGTTTACCTTCTTTGATTTGTGGTTCTTAGTATTTACTGGAATATTTATTGTTGGAGGATATGAAAAGAAAATTTGGCCCAGATGTATAGTGCAGCTGTACTTTCATTCTTTGGATGTCTACTATTGATGAGTATTTTATATTTTTGTTTGTTTTCTTTTCAAAAGAATTGAGAGCTCTATATTATAAGCTTAAGAATTAGAAATAAACAATTTACTCAAATGTGTAGTTGAGTTGTTAAGTGTTCATGATTTCTTCAATTTAAAAGAGTTGCAAAAAACCTACTTAGTTACGATGTTGGTTTAATCATTACATATTTATCTTAGAGTATTTTGATGTGATCTTTTGTGCAGATACTCGAACCAAGGGATACATGTGTTGGTGACCTGGTGGTGTAGAAAATATTTTTCTTACCTATTACAAGGTATGGACTATGGTGCAGAATAGTTCATTTGGAAAGAAAATAACTTTTATTTATTTATTAGCCATCAATCTTCATTCTTTCTATTTATATACAGAAATTTTTATGTTTTTTGTCTTTAAAATTCATTTGGAAATTAAACAATTTTTTACATTAGTATACTTATTTTATGGTTTAAAAGGTAGACTGTTGAGTTTGCAAGTTATAATCTATCTATGTTATATACAATGTATAAAGCAAGCTGGAATTTCTCATGCTTCATGCCTAAAAGAACAATGAATACATAGGGTTACACTAAAAAATAGATTGTAGTTTTTTTTTAATAAAAAAAGGGCTGTTTTTGTACTTAAAAGTTAAAACAATTGTTTGCCAATTGACATCATATTTTCATATGGTAGAAATCTTCCAATGTGGAGTATACAATTTTTTTTGGTGATTAGTTGTACGCTAGGGATTTGCAGAAGATTGTGGGGAGTACTACTTGAATTTGGATTTCAATCAAATGAGAACAAAGGCCACTGTATGAAGATTTATTATGTGAATCTAAGTGTTGGATGTGTTTGCTTGCTACGGCTTTCATACATTTTACTATTGATAAATACCTATGAAGTTTGTAGGTCAGTTCCCTTCATTTCAAATGGTTTGGGATTTGTACCTTCTGTCTTATTTCTTACCTTATATGTGTGTGTGTGTGTGTCTATGTAGCCTCATTAGCATTAGGTACATTTATCTTTCGACTTCTTTCCTTCATGGTAACCAAGTTTTTCACTAATGCGGTATATCTCGGCATGCTAAGATTTTATGACAGTTTAACTGCAGTAACAATCAGGGAGACATGAAGACTCAATGAGAGGTATAGTTATTTTTCTTCTTTTTTTCCTTTAATTTCTTTATACACCGTATTGACAGTAATTAATTTTAAGGGTTTTGGTATTTTGGGATTCCAGATCTAAAACCCTAGGCCCGAAGATGGGTGGTGGCCATGGCGAGGATGGTGGTGGGCTTGGCTAGATTTTTTACTATAACCCCAAAAAGTAGATGGAGATGACGGTGCCCTAGGCTAGGTTTATGACACTAGCCCCGAGAAAAGAACTATGTCAAAAAAACTACAGGGAGAGTTGAAGTAGCTATGCGAGGTATTTAACTACTGATTTTGTTTGTTTCTTCTCCCGTGCATTGTATCTAAAAAACAATTGTTTGCCATCTAAAAAACAATTGTTTGGATTCCATTGTTATTGATTTTTTATAGTCTCTAATTCTCCATGCATTCTAACTTTTAGGTTTTTGGATTTCACTTCTTGGATGATGCTTCGGTACGAAGTTTTAAGTAAAAAGTGTGAGACATCAAATGATATTTATATAATTGTGACACAATACTCCCTCTTTTCTTGATTATGTCTTGAGAACAAATAAATGTGTTAATAATAAAAAGTAGTTCGTCTGTCTCATATTGGATGACATGCTCTGAATGATGTACAAAGTCTTACATTTTAAAATAATTTTAATTACAAATTAATATAGGAATAAAAAGTAATCCGTATAAGTTATACTCCGATCCGTACCATTTATAAATACATAAAAAAATTCTCTAAAACAAAAAATGACAATATAATTTATCTTATCAAATTATCAATGAACATATACAAATGAATAAAATTTATCGAAAAGTTGTAGTGATGGTGATATTTAATTCGAGGCAGATGGAGTACTTAATTTTTTAAATCAAGTCCATAATTTTAAAAATTAAACGATGAGGAATCGATTATGAAGAAGATCGTGGGAAAGGTTTATATTTTGAAGTGTTTAAATTCAAGGCATGTCTATAAATCTATAATTGTAAATTTATTTTCTAAGTTTAGATAAATTTATTTTCCGTGCAACGCACGGGTACGAATCTAGTATGTACAAAAGTGGTTGATTAGGCGTCATCATCAAGTGGTATAATGTCGCATTCATTGGTTTTTACAAAATCCAACGTAACCCTATCTACTACCTTATTTTTCTAAGTTCGGTTTGGAGCGTTACAACACCAAAACATATTACTCCCCACTCTCATTATTTTGGGACATGAGAAAATGATACTCCTACATATACTAAATATGAAGATTTTTTTTTTTGCATTGTTGGATTTAATATAAAAAAATTAGGATATACTCCGTAATAATAAGATTTAATATAATCAAATGATATAACATGGAAATAGTGAAAAAGACAACAAAAGAAGAAACAAAAATAGTAATATCATGGTATTTTAATTTCACCGTTTCAAATTAATTTTAAAAATGTATTGAGATTAGTTAAGTTTAGTAAAAGTGCAGCTTAACATAGTAAATCGAGAAAAAAGAAAACCAAAAGAATCATGACTCTGTGACAGACAAATCTTTTATTGTTACTTAGTTATATAAGTTATGTAACGTATTGAAACTGTACCACCGAATAAAAAAGAAGAAGAGAAAGAGAAAGGTTACCCAATTTGGCCATCTTGGAAAAGGTTAAGTTGGTGCCACATTGTGCCAAAACAAAGAGCAACACTCCCATCTGCATGCACAACACCACTCCCATCACTTTTTAATTTTTTAATTAAAAATTAAAGATATTCAATTGAAAAAATGGTGCAATAATTGATTTAAATTTCATCAAGATCCATCACCTTCATTGTTGTTACAGGGTCCCCTGAGAAAAGGACTTTGATTTTGAAGAGGAAGTGATTCACATATGGAAGTATGAGTTTGAGAAGCCTTATTGCCTCCTCCTCTCCAACTACATTTCCTCTTTTCTCCCCCTCAACAATGCCTTCCCTGTTAATTATTGGGTGAATTTACCATTATACCCCCGAACAATAAAAGATGAAAATGAAAAACAATAGTATAATTTAATGGAGAAATAATGAAAACTAATTTTTTTTCTTATTAATTAAAGTACCTTTTAGGGGCAAGGGATTTGTAGAGGAAGACTACAACAAGATAGATGAGACTGAGGTAGGAAACCACAGAGATGAAGCTGTGAAACCAAACACACCATATTATTCATGTGTATTTGTGTGAAACATGTAGTTCTTTTTGAGACAAAGAAAGTAAAAAGTTATTATTATTATTATTATTAAAATTATTAAGTTGGGTAATTAGTGAAAACTTAAAAGTGATCACCTGAATTGAAGCTCTCGAGAGAATGAAGAAGAGATGATAATAAATGTTCCAAACCCAAAGATAAATGCAGATTTTGATGCATCTCTCCACATCACCAAATCAACTGCCAAATTTGGTAAATAAAGTAAAAGAATCAATCACTTTTGACATTTTGACAGAGCTGAGACTGAGACAATCAGAACAAGTAGTTAACATTATCAGGGCACACAGTAAAAATTCTTTCTTTCTTTCTTTGTTTTTTCTACTCATGCCATGTAAAAGTGATAAAAGAATGAAGAAGAAGAAGAAACTTACCCAGACTCTGTAATCTGCATTGGGGACTGGAAATGGAATGTGAATTTTCTGTTGGGGTAAATCTGGGATCTCCATTTTCAGAAAGGGGAGAATTACACATTTTCATCTTCTTCTTCTTCTCATCTGTCACAATCTCTTCAGGCTTTTGATCTTCCGAAACTCCCATTTCTTTCATCTCAATTTCTTCTTCTTCTTCTTCAAGATTTTCTGTTTCCACTTTATGTGGAGATTTGAGCAGAGCCAAGTCCACAATGGGTGTGATGACTTTTTCCTCACACTCAGATCTTGTTTCTCCAATCCCATTTCCCTTTGCATTCTCAATTTTGCCCACCAAGCCAATGCCATTATTATTCTCTTCAAAGTTTGTGTCTTTAACCACTGATTTGACCAAAATACCCTTCTCTTCCTCGCATTTCAGCTCAGGATCTGACGACTCCGCCGCAGCAGGTCTCGATCTCACATTCTTGAGAATTTGAGCAGAACCGGTGACAGATCTCGTCGTCTTCTTGATCTGGATCGCCGGGCTTTTGGGGCCCGAATCTCTGCAAAGTTGGGATCTTTTTCTTGAAACCTGAACTGGGCTGCCCTCAGATTTCCAGATTTTCCTCTTGGCTTGTTGAGCTCCATGGTTTCCCTCGCGCGGTTCTTGAGAATTGCCGCCATCGTCTTTGGCGGCATTGTGATGAAGCTTAACAGAGCCGCCATTGCCTCTTCTGATTCTCCCCGCCTCTGTCGTCATCTGCTAGCTTCTGTTTCTTCTTTTGAAGACTGATTAAAGGATTATGTGGATGATGAGTAGAATGGGGGGCTGGCTGCCTTTGGACTGAAGCTTTTAGCTCAAGAAAAATGGCAGAGCAGAGGTAGTTATGTATGATAGACGTAAAAATGGCAGTGTGACACAGACGCAATGCATATTGAAAAGAGAGTTTAAAAAAGGACCATGCTACACTTGCACCAAAAAATATATCCCATTTGTACACCACAGGTTTGCACAAACATTTCGATGGTTTACACCGACACAAATATTGGTGCGTTAATAAAAATTCACACGGACACAAATGTTGGTGCATTTAACAAAAATTAATTTTACACCAACACAAAGTGTTGGTGCAAAACTGCAGGGTACAAATTGGGGTACAACCATTGGGGTACACATAGCATAATCCTTAAAAAAAAGCACTCCTCCCTCTTAAAATAAAGTTTCTTATTTGTTCGGTCAAAAACCGGAAGTAAAACAAAATTGTGTGATTGAACATGATGTTGGGGTGACAAAAAGATTCTAAGTCATAGAAAGTTTTTTAAAACTTGAAAGAGAAATCTTTTTTAGGATGTTCAAAGAGAAATTAGAAGTCTTTTTGCGACATAAAGACTGCCTAAATGACATTTTGTGTGCAAAATGTTGGTGGAGAAAAACAAAATTCAAAGTAAAAATTACTCCACAAATTTTGAAAGCATCACACAGCATCATATAATTAATTTCGCATCTTTCTGAATATTTTTTTTATTTCATACTCCCTCCGTCCCAAATTAGTTGTCACATTTCTATTACCGAGACAAAATATCAAGTTTTTTCAAATCATTTTATTTACATATTGGTAAGGAAATAAAAAATAAAAATTACATATTAAAAAACTACATGAAAAAGTTATTCGAAATAAGAGGTGTCAAGAATATTTTATTTTATCAAATAACCAATAAAAACGTAAAAATAAACAAAAGTTCTCGCAACTGTTGAAAAAGCAAACGTGGCAAATAATTTGGGACGGAGGGAGTATTTCAAAAGTCTAGTTTCCAAATTTAAGTACACATTCCATATCAATTACCCCAAATTATATTTTACTCACCAAACAAACCCTTATAAGCTGGTGAGAGGGAGATTGATTTTCGACAAGAAATTATACGTAAATAACAAATATTTTCTTAAAAAAACCTGAGTAAATTATATAAAAGGTCCCCAGTTATTGGTCGTTTTACATATTTAGTCCCTACATATCAAATATTACTAATTTAGTCCCCAATTATAATATTTATTTCCACGAATGGTCCTTTGTTAACATTTCCGTTAAGAACGTGGACAAAATTGTATATTCATACTTCTTTCTCTTCTCAATTAAGCTTCCTCCATTTCCTCATACTCTTTTCCAAACTCGTCGCTGAGTTTGAATCTCTTAAACCCAAAACTTAAATGATCGTTCCTCCAATTAGACAAATAATTGAGAGAAGAGTGATGATTTTAGTTTAGAGTTCAAAGCTAGAAACTCAGCGACGGGTTTGAAAAGGTGTGCAAGGGAGGAGGGAAGCTTAATTGAGGAGAGAAAGAAGCGTGAATTTATAATTTTACCCACGATTTTAACGAAAATGTTAACAAAGGACCATTCGTGGAAATAAATATAATAATTGGGGACTAAATTAGTAATATTTGATATGTAGGGACTAAATATGTAAAACGACCTATAACTGGGGACCTTTTATGGAATTTACTCAAAAAACCTAGACAAAAGATAATGACCCATGTGATATTATTAGCCTTCCTTTAATCTGATTAATTTAGTTTCGTCTGAATAATGGGTCTCATGTTGGGTGGCAATATATATATATATATATATATATATATATATATATATATATATATATATATATATATATATATATATATATATGTATGTATGTATGTATATAAAGTGAGACTCATAAGATACTTGAAGTGATATGAATATGTTGAAGTAGACAAAAAAGGGACAAAGGTAAATGGAGAAAAGAAATCACCCTACATAGCACTCTAACTCACCCTAAATTACGCATTTAGCACTACTCATTGTTTTTAACAAATTTAGCAATTTATGGTGTCAATCCTTTCCTATCATACCCTTTACCCCCTTTTTTTCATTAAAAATTACGGCATTCAACTCCAATCTCTCCTTCCGTTCTCCCGCACGCTATTGAACTCCACAGTCCTTCGCCCACGATTCCTTGGCCGATCAGCAGCGGCAATCATCAGGTTCTCTCCCATGCTAATCTTTGATGTCGCTAATCATTTTCTCTTCTCCTTCAATTTTTAATTTTCATTCCTTCATCCATTTATTCGGATTTCTCTGTATTTTTAGTATTAATTATTGTGTTTTCTTCGTATTGAAGATTAGGTGTTGTGAAATCAATTTTGAAATACCAAGTATTTGTCCCTTTTGAAAAATTGGGTCTTTTGAAAGGCATTGTGATTTTGGCAGTGTGAACATTAGGTGTTATGGTGTGGGCAGTGTGAAGATTAAATGTTAAAATTTTGTCTTGCATCCTTTTATTCGGATTTCGCTATATTTTTAGTTTTAATTACTGTGTTTTGTGGCAGTGTAGATATATTGTGGCAGTGTATATATTGTGGTAGTGTATTTTAGGCATTGAATTTTTGGAAGTACATATTGTGGCAGTGTAGAGAGTATATATTGCAGTGTATAATTACCATAAAAAATAAAAGGTCACGACTTAAAATGAATTCTGCTCTTTTTTTGGCAGTGTTGTATGTGTTAGGACACTAAATTCAATCTCAAACATATTGTGGCAGTGAAGAGCAGAGAATTTCATACTTATTTATAATGTGGCAGTGAAGAGTATACATTACAGTATAATTCTAATTTTGGGAATTTATTTAAGGACAAAAATGAGAATTCATCCCAAAAACTAATATCACTGCTATTTTGAGTATTATAAGAATATAAGGCTATTAAAGTGCTATTTTTGTATTTCTCCCAATGGAGAATATATAGTCCCTCCTATTACATGTTCTTGTTATTGTTTATCTAATTTAAAAAAAAAGTTTTTTTTCTTTTGAGGAACATGGTTCATACAGTCTCTTTTTCTTAATACAAAAATTAATCACATAATTCCATTTTTATTAATAAGCGTATTAAAAGAATGCTGTGAAACTTTTTACATAAGAATATTTAATTTGTGCTAGTGGAGTAACAACCTTTCAATTTAGAGTGAAACTTTTTATGCAAAAATTTTGACTCCAAAATTAACTAAACTTGCACTCCGCAATTGATGTGGTTGGAGGGGTAAATTAGGATCAGGACTGGGTGGAGGTTTGCCAAGAGTTAGGGGTAGGAACTATCAATTTTGTAAACCCTCCAAAAACTCAGCCCTTCCTAACCCTTCCAGCCCAACCAAATTACTAAACCGAACTATGTTTCAACTTAACCTACTCAAACGTCACCCTTCGTCCCTCTATTGGCTACGCTACTCTAAATTTAAATCTATTTCAGTGAATCTTTCATTTTAAATATATTTTCTTTACATAAGTTCGTTTAGGTAGTGTTTGGATAGGGGAATTCATTTCAATTTTTGAATTTCAATTCTATAATTTGAAATTTCATAATTCAAATTCCATTTTGGTGTTTGGCAAACACAAGAAATTCAAAATTCATAATTTCAAATCCAAATGCTGTTTGGGAAATTCATAATTTCAATTCTAGAATTCAAATGCTGATGTTGTTTGGCAAAATTTCATTTCAAATCTTTAATGAATAAAATATTGTAAACATAATATCAAATAACATGATGACTAAATGTTTCATAAACAAAATATACTCAAAATGACGAGAGGGAGAAGGGAGCATTAATGTCTGCAAGACATGGACCTTCTTCCTCCATACGAGAATGGCATCTTCACCAAAACTGGCCTCTTGTGCAGACACTCTGCTATTGAACCGCCGCCGACCATTCTCGGCATCCTCGAACTCCTGCTACTCCCACCGCCTCCTGGATCCAATCTTCCGCCTGAACACGAATTTCTTCAATTACTTTCCGATCTTCTCGCCGCCATCAGATTCGTGAGCGTCGGGTTCTTCTTCTTCATCGACCGTCTCTCTACTTTCCTCAATTTCCGTCAACCGAAGAATCTCGGGCTCTTGAATCAATTCATTTCCAGTCCAATTTGCGGTTGTGAAGACAACGGCGGCGCGACACAGCGGGCAATTCGTGTGCTATCTCAGCCACGTGTCGATGCAACAGATGTGGAAGGCGTGGTTACACTTCGGGAGCAGCCGGAGAATCTCGTCTTCCCGAAACGCACTCAGTCAAACTGAGCAATCTGTTCCGTCGACTAGCCCATCGTCCGATTTGTGCTTCAAGATCGTGATCGTATGGATGATTGAGATGAACGACTAAAACTGGAGAAAGCCGATGGAAGAGAGGCGAATGACGAGAGAGAAGTGAATGTGGAGATTTAATTTTAATTGGGCTAGGAATTCAAATGACATGGGCTTGGGTATGAATTTGTAATTGGGTTGGTTATTAATGAGAGGAATTTGGATGAAATTTAAATTCAAATTCTTTAGGTTGCCAAACAAGGTATTTGTATTAAATCTAGATTTCAAATCCAAATCCATGTTCCCAAACAGACCATAAGAATTGGTAATATTCATCTTTATTTTGTTTTTTTCCGCACCCTTCTTCGAGTTTGATGGCACAATCGAATCCTATTTATTTTTAGTTTGTAACTCTAAATGCATACTCAAGTGGCTTCGAACGCTTATATTACAACTAAATTAGTTTTTTTGGAAATAATTTTATTGTCCTAATTTTGTCAATCTAATTTTTCTTGGGTTTGTGATGCACATATAGGGTTTTTATTTCGTACTCTTCTCGAGCATCACTTTGTCATTCGTTTAAATTTTTTTTGATGATTTATTAGTCGCTGCATTTCATTATTTTGCATGTATGCTTTGATCTTACAATACATTCTCTTTTGCTTTCCTCTTCTTATTTCAATTTTTTTGCTCAAATTATTTCTAAGATTTTAGGAGAAAACTATCTTTTAAGTCTTTTGATTAGTATACTCTTATGATTTTGTCATATTAACTTTGTGGATGATTTTATCCTTTAGTGCAATGCTACTGTTGAAATATTGAAATAATATTATTGCTCCTTGAATTATAGAGTACATGATAGAGTATATATAGGAGAGACTCCTAACACAACTAGAAATAGAGAATGGAAACTAACTACTCCCTCCGTCCATAATTAAAGTTCCCACTTTCCTTTTCGGTCCGTCCATAAATAATGTTCCCATTTCCTTTTTTAGTAAGTTTTCTTTGTTAAAATGACTTAAATGCCCTTCCTATTTCTTTTTTTCTCTTTCCTTCCTGCGGCAGCCCCCCCTCCCTTTCTTTTTCTTCTCCTTTTCTTTTCTTTTCTGTCCTTTCTTCTTCTTCTCCAGAAACTTCCCATTCCATCTCTCCTTTTTCTTCCTTCTTCCGATTTCTCTTCTCTCCTCCTCTATTTCTTTTGTTCTTATTTCCTTCTTCTTCCACTCTCTTTTCTTCTCCCCCTTCCTCTTCCGATTCCACCAACCTTTTTTCCTTCTCATTTCCAACCTTATCATCACCGGAAGGCTCTTCTTCGACTTCAACTTTTTTATATCTCCGGTGTCGAGCGTCTGCCTGGATCTGGCGATGGTGGATTTCAGAACTGTAGTATTTTTGGTGCCGTGTTCGAATCCTCGAATAGATCCAGATCCGAGATCTACTACGTCGGAGAATGCGGAAATTGCGACCGGATCCTAGACGTAGACGACCTTTTTGTTGGGATTGCGGGCCGAAATCGAGATCTCGAGCTTCGAGGAGAGCGCGGTGGAGGTGAGGTTGAACTGCGAGAGGCGGAGCGAGTTCACGATAAACGTGGGGCGTTGGGGGCGGTACAGGACCCGAAACGCGGCGGCGGCGATGGCGGCGAGAAGAAGGAGCACGGCGATGAGGAAAGTGGTCCAGAGACAACAGCGGCAGCAGCAGCCACGCTTGTGGCGGCGGAGCGGGTGTTGCGGGCGGTACACTGGAAATTTGGACAGGGATGTAGGATACGAATGGGTGGGAAGTGGGGTAAGGTGGAGGGTATTTTGGGAAAGTCAAGGAAATTTTTACATTTTCTTAAAGTGCGTGCCCGGTCAAACCGGGAACTTTAATTATGGACGGAGGGAGTAAAATACAACTTCTACCATAACTAGGAATACTTAATATTATTGTCTAACATCCCCCTCAAGCTGAACTCTGGCTGAAGCAAGAGGAAGCTTGGACACTAGCCGGAAACTGGAAATTTTGAGAAGAGAGAAGTCTGACGTGTGCCGGTGGCTGCTGACGTCGTTGGAGAACAGAGAAATTGACGTGCACTTGTAGCTGCTGACGTCGAAGAAGAATAGAGAAGGCTACTAGAGGTGCCTGTTTGACTGAAGATCCTTGACGTTTTTTTGTCTTTTTCTTGGATCCGGGCAATGCCCTATTTCCTTCTTGAAGGGGTGAGTTGTAGAGGTCTTATTTCTTCTTTCACTACTTCCCCTCTTGGCTTTGCTTTTGTGCTGATTTACTTTGGATTTTTAATGGTTCAATAGAAGAGAAAGAGAAGGGAGGTTGATGATTAGAATGAGTGATTTTAGAGAGAAAAAGTAGGTTAAGAATTGGTGATGAAAAAAAAAATTGGGTCTGAGATTTTGATAGGGTGAATTGGGGAGAAACAACAATCATTTTTTTCTTTTTTTGAGAAGATAGGATGATCTCAGAGAGTTTGTGAGGAGTTGGGTTTTTTTGAAGAACCATGGAGATGACAAGAGAGAATTTCCTCCTTTGATAGTTTTTTTTGTGTGATTTCAACAAAGGTTTTTTTTCTTTTTTTTTTTCATTTGAGTGAAGAAGTTGATTTGAGGATAAAGAAGGAAAATAAAATAGAGGTGAATAGGGTGGAGCTGCCGTCGCCGTAATTACCGGCGGCGGCGACGGAAGCAAAGAACTCTTTTAGGTCACCAAAAGCGATGACTCTGATACCATGTTGAAATATTGGAATAATATTATTGCTCCTTGAATTATAGAGTGCATGATAGAGTATATATAGGAGAGACTCCTAACACAACTAGGAATAAAGAATGGAAACTAACTAAAATACAACTTCTACCATAACTAGGAATACTTAATATTATTGTCTAACAGCTACAAACTTTCATTGTATGAAATATTGTTGTATGCATCTTTCGGATGTCTGATTTTACTACGTAGCTTAAGTATTTCGAAAGATTATTTAAAACATAATGGGTGATTCTAACCAGGTATTGTCATTGCTACCTTCAAAAAATGATCAAGAGAGACAAAATGAAATGGCTTTGTTGCTGGGATACTTTTTAAAGAAAAAAAAGAATTTAAGAGTACAATTTGATTAATGGAAAAATAATACCTCCTCAATCCCGGATGATGGGGTGCTCTTTCTCTTGTGAAGAACATCGCAAAGGATTTAAGAGTACAATTTGATTAATGGAAAAAGATTTGAAAATTTACTCTAAAAAAGGTTTGAAAATCTACATTCGTATTGACATGCTTAATAAGATTGTTTTAAGTGTGCCTCACGCCAGTCATAAAGCTGAATGAATTAATGTATCATGCCAACCTTTAGTTAAACCTATATAATTTAAATAGATCTCAAAGTATTGTGTGAATCTAAATAATTACTACATAATTCACCGTAGATTTGTCAGTCATGTCAATATAGAAAGTTCCTTTATCCTTATTGCATAGCCCATAAATCAACCAACCTAATTGAACAGTGCAGCCTACCCAATCGAGGAAAATAGTTACTGTTCATCTTTTCCCTTAAACTTTGTTTAATTAAGAATGAATATGAGTCAATTATTAGAACGGTTCTTCCTAATAAAGTAAATTTTCAAATCGGTCTTCAACAAGTAATAATTTTCAAAATGATTCTTTATAAATTTTTTTTCTAAATTAGTCTTCAAAAAGTAATAATTACTTATATAGTACTTCGTACTTTATACTCCGTAATAAAGATTTATTTCTATAATCCTCCGGCAAAAAATGCATTATATGCTCATAATTGAAAGGTGTTTAGGTACTTTTTATCATCTAATAAGTAGGGGGTCCATTTTAACAACTTAATTTAAAAATTATTACCCATTATTAGAAAAGACTATTTTATTAAAGATTTTATGTTAGTACACACAAGTACACATGGAGTCATGATTTTGGTCATCTTTTTCTTTATTTGTTTCCGATTTTGTGTTTTTGTTTCAAAGTCAAATCTCATCACAAACTTTACTATTACCCTTTTAGACACTTCTTTTTGTCTTCTTGATTCTTTGTTTCTTTTCTCTCTAGTGATATGCTGTACGATCCTCCGTATTTGTTTAGTTATTTGATGTTTTAAATTATTACTCCGTAATTTCCATACAATTTCCATACTTTAACTATACTCTCTCAGTTCCAATTTCAATCACATACTGTATTTTTTTGCAAAGTTTGACTGAAATTATTTCAACTTCATTTTATTTAAAAAATAATACGGAATTAAGAAATAAAATTTATATATTTAAAAATTACATCAAACACTCTACAAAATTAGAAGTGACATAACTATATTATTTTATCAAATGAGTGATGAAAATTAATAAAGAAAGTGGTTGAATTTGATCGCATGAATAGTAAATAGACAACTTAAATTGGAACGAACGGAATACATAACATGAGGTAATGAATGTGTGTTACATTTATTTTTCTCAAGCATATATCGTGATGTATTTAATCTAAAGTTCTAGCAAATTAGCCATTCAGCAATGTACTTCCTCTGTACCAAAATGTTCTTCCACTTTGCTTTTCTTTTCCTCTTCGGATAGTTAAAAAAATTCTCTCATTTCCGTTTAAGTGGTAAAGTAGGAAATAAAAAGTAAAGTGAGAGAAGAACACTATGGGACGAAGTGAGCATGTCTATGTACACTTACCCTACTTCACATATCCACTCCTCCAGCTTCCTGCCCGAAACATTAAAACAAAAAAAGTGTTTCAAACTGAGCTTTCATCAAAAGGAAAGAAAAGAGATTTCCATCAGGGAGATTTAGAGCTTTACCTGTAACCTTAAACTGCAACTCCCTAAAGATCTGCCAAACAGCTCCCTGTTCTCTTCAGCTTTCAGCCATGGCTCACTTTATCAAGAATCATTTTGGATTTTTAATGGCACGACTCGTTTTGGGACATGTATATAATTGTTATTATTATTCCACTTTTTAGGAAGGTTTATCAGAGTACAGTGTCTATGGTGATTTTGATTCTTTGAAGCTCTTCCTGGTGAATTGAATCATATTTGGAGTCTCTTTGTCTGGGCCACTCATCTTCAGTTTCTCTGCTGCTTCTTCCTTCTCTGCTTTCTTCCTCTCAAATTCCAGCTGCTTGCAATTTTCATCATTCGATTGATTGAACATTTTTACAAAGTTGAGCAGAGTCATGATTACTACAACAAAAGTTTTCATGTGAGGCAAGAAACAATAGATCTTTTATGGGTTGCATACGTAAGTTTGTCTCACATCGAAAGATTATGAGAGTGATGACTTCGTAAGGATAACTAGTACAAAAACCTAATTGCTTAAACTTTAGGGTTCATATGGGCATAGTTGCACTTATAGAGTTATAGAGTTCATCATCCAGCCAGCTCCCAATTCAATTGGGCCCCAAAATCACACTCAACCAGTTGTGGGACTTGTGGCCCCAACTGACTCACTTAATTCCCCTCCTACGGCGTTTCCCCTTTGAACTAAACAAGGGGTAGAAATGCATTGCATGTGGCCATTGTATATATGGACTAAAATGACTAAACATATAAAACCAGAGAAGCATTTCATTAGTACAGGGAACCTTGAATCGAATGAGTACCTTGCTCGAATGTGCAACGCGCAGGATCTTCTCCAAAGTAAAGAATTAATGCATCCACATTCCTTCCCTATAACATAAGGGGTCACTAGTTATTGGCAGGCTAGTTAAATTGCCATATAAATGCCTATTGATGAAAATCTAGAGCCATACCACGCCAGAATAAAGCAATGCCAAGGACCTTACTTCACCTTCTGCATAGCAAAGGAATTCCTTTAAAGCCTGAAATGAATCGATGCTTACCCATTAGATGAACGATGCAAGCATCTAACTACCAAAACATCAAGTACACTAAGACCAGCCCTCCAGTTTTGGAATAGTTTATATGCTTGAGAGATGACTAACTAATCCAACTCTGCTCTACTCAGCAACCAGAACCCAAGCATCCTCTCACATTTTTAAAATACTACGGAGTGTAATATTTTTGGTAATCTCTGAAATTTTCCCTTCGAAAAATCGACGGAGTGTATGATGTACTCCCGTCTCAAAAAGATTTATCTTTCAAAGGCTTTTATTTCATAAAGCAGACTAATTGTAAGTTTATTTGCCAAAAAAGTTAGAAACAAGGAAATGATACTTGAATTAAACCAACAAACAAATTTTGAAAAATAAGTTAAAATTTAAGACTTTGAAGAGTTCTAGCTCGACCAAATAGAACACTTTATGGGAAGGAGGGGATAGATAATATGTGCCTGTGTTGGCAATAGGGGAGAGTTTTCAATGGGTGTGGTTCCATGTGATATTTGTGTGATCATCAACAAAACTACTTTTTTCCAGACAAAGCACGTTTCCAGCACATAGTAAACCATTTTCCCCAATCAACCAACCTACAGGGGCATAGGTTCTCCATGTTGTTATATATGGCTTTTATGATACGTCTGTGTAGTCAACTAATGATTACCTGACAAAAATTTTCAGAAACCTGTCCATCACTTTCTGACATGGACAGTTCTTGTATTACTTTCTCAAGTCCTTTGCTGATAGCTTGCATTTCCTCTGCTAGGAACTTTAATTGTATCTGCACAAATCATAGATTCTAAGTTTTCAACAAATATTGTTATATGTTGAAACACATCCAATTAAGTCACAAATGATACCTTTGAAGCAGGTTCCAAGCTAGAAAGATCTTTTGAAAAGTCAAGAACTTCTGGCAACTTATCGGCCAGCACCTAGGATTATCCCAAAATAGTGATCCATCATAAACAAATGTACTTCAAAACTACAGCAGTTTCCCTAAGGGTTCGTTTGGTACATGGAATTGATGGAATTGGAATTGGAATTGATTTGGAATTAAAATTCCATGGGATTCAATTCCATAGAATTGAATTCACCAATTCTAATTCATTTTTTGCACTACCAATTCCAAATCTACATAATTTTTGTGCTACCAAACACGAGAATTGGAATTGAAGTCCTCAATTCCAATTCCATAGTTTGAATTCCGTGTACCAAACGGGGCCTAAGAACAAATTTGAAAGGCAATGAGCCAATATGGGAACAAAGTCAAGTGCTTGAATACAGCCAAGAAACCAGTGAAGAAAATCAAACTGATTGTACCCGGGTTCACTTCCACAAAACTAGGAGCTTTTCGATTATAAGACACATCAAAGGCATGTCCTATGTGAGAAGATGTTTCGGTAGCTGTATGGATTTGTCCTTGCATGTGGTGGATGGATGCTGGACATATAGTTTCTTTTGTCACCACTAACGAATGGTGAGTGTTTTGCACACACTCAGCCTTGCATGCCAAACACTCAGTACTAATTGCACCATCAAGGTAATAATTAACTCATGTGGTGTCTAGTGTGACCCTAAGTTTCAATCACTATCACCTGGTGAAGAGATAAGGCATCTAAGCACAGTCCTTATTGGTCCTCTTGTGCCTTTTGGCCTATTGGCACTAGAGGTTTAACCACCTACAGGCTATAACATACATGAGATCCATTTCTCTCATTGCTCCATCATGGGACAGGGGATGTCTAACATCCAATAACATTTTTTTTAACTTTCTGTCTAGGTCACAAAACAATGTAATGTACAAAGCAACATACCTTACAAAGGTAATGCATGAGAGTCATCTTGTTGTTTCGTGCACGGGTCTCAGTAAGTTTGAGTAGGCTATCCAACCTAAATCCAACAGCAGATCCTACACCAAAATCCAACAATTAAGTGTCAATTACACAAATATTTGGTTAAAAAATGATAGGTGATTACTCTTGAGTAAGAATGTTAGAACTTAGAAGTATACAACCATAATAGCATAAGGAAACACCAGCAGCCAAAACAATTATTTGAATCATGAGAATTACATTATTTGAATCCTTCCCATTGCATGATAAATGGTGTTAAACGAGATTAATGTGTCTGAACTTCCATCAACCACTCAACGTCTAACACTAAACAAGTGTAATTAAGTCACTGGCTAGGCTGATGTTACTTCACATCATATATGTGATTGTGAACTTATCCCAAAAACAGATTATGCTTCGGCGGAAGCACTCATTATGGAATCTTAGGCATCAAAGTGTGGAATATATTTCCATTTTCTGGTTTTATTGGGGAAAAAAGAAACAATTTGTTTATTATTTTCTTTTTGAAACGGGGTTAACTTTATTCTTAATTTTTTTGAACCTAAAAACTAAGTATTTGGTCAAAAAGAGCTTTTCGGTGACAGAAGACTAGAAGAACTCCGTAAGATTTAATCCTCAGCTACATTTTTGGAATTCGAAGTCAGAATGATGAATGATGAATGATGTCCTTTATCCTGAGGAACCCAAATCAAAGGCAGAAGGAGCAATTACTAATTTAGTTTACAAATGATTTCATATATTTCCCATGCATATATTATGACGATGATGGTTTTAGAATTTGCATCTCATTATTCCAGATTATGAAGGTTGCAAGATTAGGGATCTGACATAAAACATCACAGCTGTGCTTTTATCTAACAGTAGGGATTATGGCCAGACAATGATGATGATGATGACATCAATGACCAAAGCTCACTAGAACAAAGTGCAACCCCATATATATACTCATACACAGGGTCACAAAGAATACGTGAAAAACAAGCAATTCACTGCATACAACTACAAGCTCTTATGTAATGAGAGATAAAGAACATTTTCTCACCCCGTGCAGTACCCTGGTTCAAAGCATTTCCTAGAGACAAAATTGTCTGCATAATTCTTTTCAACTTGGCTGACCCCCTAATCTGATATAAACACAATCCAGAAACACAAGGAAATTATGCATGTGTTCTATTTACATAAATGGAAATTGATAGAGAACAGTCTAGGAAATGAAGTTTGCCTGATCTGCTGCTGAATTCACAATGTTTAGACTTCGCCTAACATCGGAAACCTAAGATAGCATTATGCATTTATAAATAGGGTCTTTCAAATGAATAGCAGAATGAATAACTATTTTCCAACCTGAGAGTGAAATTGAAGCTTAAATGAAAAAACTCTAAGCTTAGACTGAATCCGTGGTACTTGCATTAGTTCCAAGAAAAACTGAAAAAACATTCAGAACCTCTTTCTATGTCAATAGAAAGCAAAAAATCAACTTGCAACAGAAAGACTTTAATACAAATTACATGAGCTTAACTCAGATTGCACAAACCTGTTCACATCTTCCCAGCTTATCCTTTTCTCCTTTATAACCCTAAAATTAAGAAAACGTGTTAAATGTAATTACAATAAGTCAATTTGCAGCTTTAATTATTATTTTGTAGAAATAGATAATAAATCTGAACATTTATTCCTTCAAGAAAAAGAAAAGTCAGTCTGCAGTTCTGATGATTGACTACAAATAGCTTTAAGAAAAGGATAAATCAGTTTGCAGTTTAAAATATGATTTCAGTGAAAATAGTCACTAAATTTAAAGCATGTATTACTTTCATAAGTCAATTGCTGTTTCAATTATGATTTGAATGCAAATGGCTAATAAACTAAAAAAATTATTACCTTAAGCATTTCCATCTCCTCCTTTGTTGGGCAATATTTAATGATGTTCTCAACTTGATCAGCGTCTATTGCTGAATCTTCCAAGGCAAGGACAGAACTCTATCGAATAGAATAAATGCATCAAAACCCAGAGCATCAACAGAGTTTTGGAAAGAATATGGGAAGGAAAGCTGATTTCGAAACAAAGGCATGTTACAAGAAATGGCTCGTAGGAGACTTATAATTTAAAAAACTAAACACTAGAGACAGCCTATATTGGTCAAGATTCATCCGGTACATCTAACTTTTTGAAAGGACATGTTGGCATTGGCCTTCAGAAAAGGAGAGCATGGAAGGAAGAGAGAAGTAGAGAAAGAGATACACCAATGGAAAAGACAAGCAGTGCAAGCTGATGTATATGTTACTGCATGTTCTTGCTCAAGTTCAAATACAGTTCAAACCCCATGATATTATGTTTGAAGTATCTTTTTTCCCAGTTTGAGTGCCAGGCTTGGGTTAAGGTGCTGCTTTTAATATACCCCTACCTAAATACAATTCGAATTATTATTGATTTTTCTGTGTGTGTTTGGGGGCTACATATACAGCTTTGTAGAGTCAAACAAACAAATTTGAACTATGATTAAAAAGAGATTAAGGCCAAAACTAATTATCACAAAACATTCTAGCCCAAATTCGGACCCAACTCTGAAAAATTAAATTCGAGTGGAAGCATTTAGATGATAGGCTGGATTCATACTATTGTGTTTCATCTCAACTAAAAGCTTCAAAAGTAAGGGTGAACACAGTAGTAGTATTTGAAATTATATTTCCTCAACAGTTCATGTTGATTCACTTGATAATGGTACTAAACACTAACAATTGGAGGCTGATACAAGTGATGTGGATGAACCATTGTGGACATTTGTGGTATAAGCATATGCAGAGCCCATTACAAATATGATTATTTCAACTAGTAAAAAGCAAATGGTTTCATCTATGAGCCTGTTTTGCACCCTTGGTTAGAGAACAAAAAGTTTTCTATACAAAGCAAGTAAATGCTCCATATTCAATAAGTAAATTAAATAAATATGGAGAGAAGAATATAACATACCAGTAAATCATGCAATGGCACCTTCACCTTAGAAAGCATGATTTCACAGTTGTATGCCCTCCTATGTTCGATCTGTAAATGGAATGCAAAACCGTTAAATTTGTAACATAACAAAAAACATTACCTTCAAGTACTCATCGGATTGAGAATAAATCTGAAACGATTCAGTTCATTGCATTAAATCATAAAACATTGTGCATATTCATACTTCATAGAGAGCCCAGTCTTCATTATAATTCATCAGAATTCAACAACAAGGCATATAAGGATAAAGGACAGATTTTTGTTTGCCGAATGAGGTACCGCCTATTGACTGAAAGTACCCCGAAAATAAATGGAATGCAAAACAATGAGTAGACTAGTCCACTTAGACGACAGACTAGTCAAAATCCTGGCGGTGGCAATATTTATCAAGAAAAAGTATGACCAGGTTGGAAACTGTTCTGCAAAACCAATGCAATATTTAACTTATGCAGATCCAGTATGAGTCTTATAACTGGATTATAATTTACAAGTAGCATAATGGATTTGGAGTTAATAATAGGATATTCTGTGTTGAATTCGTATGAACATCATTATAAGAAACAAGAAACAATAACAGCTGATAAAAGTTTTAATTATCAGTTATGACCCCAAGGATATATTCAGGGTTAATAGCCATAGCCATTGTTGAATGTATATGAATTGCTAACTATTAGAGGAGTTTAACTTCGAAAGGATGCCATTTGCTATAACAGCTCTTGGCATTCTTCTTAAAATTCCAGGAGCATGATTGAATGAAAATAGTGCAGTATAGAATCCAAAAGGAATGTAAATTACCAGTTGCACTTTCTCAGACTTTGCCCCCAATGAAGTCTTTGAATTCCCTTTCCTTCCCGAGCCAGCTTTGTCTAAATTTGGAGTTGCAGCTGAGAAGAGTGATTCCAGTTCTGATATATCAATTTCTGGAGCCCTGACTAACACACGATATATATAAGTGCATGTTGTATAACATATCAAGGTGAACGAGAGTTTCACATACTATGTACATTACATACTTTGCTGCTTCACCAGATTTTTGTGCTTCAGCCCACAAGCTACCCTGGACTGCTCTTGTTAGCTTCAACCAGTGCAATGGTTTCAGTTTCTTTGTCTGATTATTTATAGAATTCATGGCACGGGAAAAAAGAGCTTTCCCTTTAATACCAAGTGGAGGAACGGAAGGTGGTGGTGGTCCTGGTGGCAATGGAGAACTTGTGGAATAATTTATGTCACCACCTGTTGTTTCTGAATGGGATACACTGGGTCCTGCTTTTATCCCCCCCTTACTAAATGGGATTGGAGGAGGGGGAACAGAATGAACATTCTGTGGAAGAGAAACATGATGCTTCATTGAGGAACTCAGTGCAGGAGGTGGAGGAGGAGGCGGTGATGGCACTACTGCTAAATTTTTAGAGCTTGCAGTCTCTGCGAATGGAAATGGGGGTGGTGGAGCTGGAACTGGTGATCCACAAAAAGACGACAAACTTCCATTGAGTGGTGGGGGCGGAGGAGGTGGAGGTTCAAGTTTTCTACGTGCAGGTGTAGTACTCTCTTTCACTAATGGGGCAGGAGGAGGAGGAGGTGGTGGTGGTATACTAGTGGAAACAGAACCTTCCTTCAAAGGCAGGTGTGGTGGTGATGGTGGCTGACATTGGGCACTTATAGAAGCCGAACTGTCTTTTGAAAAGGTTTTTAGAAGTGGTTCCAGCGGTGGCAGCGGCAGTGGCGGTGGCACCCTATGTACATTTCCCAGGGATTGTCTGTCTTCAAAATGAATTGGAGTTGGTGGGGAAAAGGAACCTAGTGAAGTTGGCGGTGAAGGAGTGCAAGGGGAAACAGCTGAGGTAGAAGAAGAGCCCATTTTGGCATCTTCATCCCCTTCCAAAGCCATTGGATGTATCTCCTGCACTTTATGACAAAGTATGGGAGGATCAGTAGTAGTAGATGTTGCCTGACTTTTGTCATCCTTTGACAATGTAACTGGGGGACTAGAAGCTTGGCTGGGAGCGGGAGGTGGAGAAGGTATAGTTTTGGTGTGTGCTTTCTCTGCCAATGGAGGAGTAAGAGGCTCATGTGGCACTGCAGGAGGAGAAGGAGGTTTCAAAATACCAACAACTTGACCCTTAGTAGGCAAAGGAGGAGGTATAGGAGGAATTGTATTGAGTGACAGTGTCTCTGTTTCAGGTTGAGAAGACACCTCCTTCCCATCTGGTAACTTCAGAAATTGTTCGGCCTTCTGTTCACTAGCATCATGTCTGGGGGATGCTAAGGGAATATATTGAGATTGCTTGTCTGGAGAAATACCAGACTTGGGCTCATCAACTAATGTCACGGGCCCCTTAAAGTCTTGAGCTTTAACAGGAGTTGATGGCTGCGAGGCAGAACTTCGTTCTGTACTCAGGGGTGAACTTGATTCCAACTTTTCTAGAATGATATTTGCTGCAGTTATTTGTTGGAGCACATTGAGAGCAGCATCACCCTTAGGACTCAGCCAATCAACGCTGTTGAAGATTTCCTGAACTTTAGCAAATGCCTCCACTGGGAGACCATCCTTCTCTTCAAAACATGACAAATCCACTGGGATTACTGAAGCAGCAGCATCCATCTCCGAGAAAAGAATCTTCACCCAGAGCGTAATTCACAATCAAGATAAATGCATCTTGCTTCAGAATATAAAGACAAACAATAAAATGTTAAAGATACCTCTGCCCTGAAATCCTTTGGAAATTGATCCTTTGCATCCCAAGGAGTATCGATTTCATCACGGTTAAGAATCACAATATTAGACCTAATAAAAGATGTATTGAACATAACCCGAAACATCATTTGCTCCCTTTCCATGTCATCATACAAACTAATGCAGTCCAAGACAACATCACCTTGGACATTACAGTTTATATCAATCTTCAGCAATTCACTTTCTGCCTGCAATGACATTAAAAGCAATTGCTCATATGTGACATGTGAATGAGGAAAAAACTCGTATCCATCCAGCTAAGAAAGCAAAAGTTTGGAGAATACCTGCTTGTAATGGCGAACGGGTTTACCCTTCTTTGTAGAAAATAGCAGTTTTGGACTTCGGTCCCCAATAAGCAATGGATCTTGGCCATAAATGCGAAATACTGGTCGGCATCCTCCATCTCCATCAAAATTAGGTATCATCCGAAGAATGACACAGTCCAAGGTGACAGCTCTATCAAGAGGAGGCCATGCTGTGGCCACATTCCTCCTCGATACATACTGCAAGTATCTCAGCTGAGAAGGAATAGGATTAAGAGGAGTCAACAAGTGCAAAAGCTCGCGTGGAGCTTGTTTATATATCATGTCTAAAGTCTTCTGTTCACCAGTGTAATGTCTTCTATATAACAATAGTGCAGCCAACATAAATGTCAAAACTGGCCAACCGCCCCGTTCACAGTGCACAAGAAGCACATTTTGCATGCCAAGAGAGAGCCAGCTTTCACTGGATCTTAGGAAATGGTGGATCACCTCCATTGAGAGCACCGGGCAACTATCATAGTGTCGAGGGTAGTCCATTATGGTTATGTCATATTCAGACAAAATACTTGCAATGGGGCTCCGTGCCTCCCCTTGGCGGAAATTGAAAATCAACATGGACACATCTGGGTTATTATCCCGAAGCTGAGCAATTATGTTTCGCACATACGGTCTGTAATTTTCTTCCTCCCAAACATCAGTAGTGAAACAGCAATCAAACACTACAAATAAACAATGATCGTTAATTTTAAGACTTCAAGCGAGCTAATATTAAACTATTCTGAAGATTTAAAAAATTGAACAGTTTCTTAACAGCGTGTAATGTTTCGAAATGGAAACACATATACTATTGATGATAATGATGAAAACAATGGAGGAAGGGGAGAACGAACCGTAAACCCTTTCGCAGATCTCGAGGAGTCCATCGGGCGGCTTCCTGTAGAACAGCTTCCGAAACAGCGCCATACAATGCCGGGTCGTGTTCTTCGAGCTCGAATCAAACTTCTCCCTCAGTCCGCCAGAAATCCGATTCCGGATCAAACCTGCGGGTGTTATGGATACAGATTCCCGTCTCTATAGCTCTTTGGCAGTAGGTGAAATATTCTCCTTGTCTTGGCTGAGAAGATGAAGATGAAGATGGCGAGAGATGGATTGAAATCCGTTTCTGTTTGTTTTGTTGTTTAGAAAGCCGAGCGGCCTCGGGACCGACTCGGTTAGGGGGATATGACGACGTGACGTCACTGTCGGAATGATCTGGACCCGCGCCACCGGAATTGGACACGTCAGAGCTGATAGCGACAACGTCTCACACATCTTTATTTGATTTTTATTTTTTTAATTTTTTTTGAATCTCTTACCAATTATTGTGGACAAGGAGGGGGTGGGGGACAATTGGGGTACACCATTTGTGTACCCCTAGCATTTTTCAACAAAATATATCCTATTAATTTATTTGGGTTGGTCCAAACATACTACTCACTCTCTCCACCATAGATCTTTCCAGACACTATTCACAGGGTCAAACTTAACTCACTTTGTTTGCTTATTTTAACAACTTATTTCATAAAATAAAATAATATTGTCACCTCTAGTTTTGTAGAACTTTTCATGTATTTTTTTACTATATAAATTTTATTTTTAAATTTTATTCTTACAATCAAACAAATTGAATTGAAATTAAAGTCGGTCAAAACTCATAACGCGCAATGAGAAGATCTTTGGTGGACGGAGGGAGTAATAAATAATAATTATTTGACATCCAACCCAGCAGTCCATTTACCCAAGCTCAACCTTTACTCAACCTAATTAAGCTTGCCTTAATTACCACCCTAATCTCCACTATATATTGAGGGGTTGCCTTTGTGTTTTTTCACCGTGCAAAAAATCCTTCATCTCTTTTGTGAGTCTTCTGTGTGGATTTTCTCTTCCTCTGTGTGGTCTCTTTGTTCTTCTCCGTTTTTTTTAGTGGAGTGTGGCGAGATTGAGTTGAGGTGTTGCTCCTTTTGGTATCCTTGTAGTGCACAACTACGGACCAATTTTTATGAGTGACCTGAGCCTAATCGGAATAAATAAATACACATAACAATCCCTTTATTTTTAGTCCCTTTATTATTAATGTAGAAAATATTATTAGAACTAAACTTGCATGATTTGATTACACATAGATCTGCTATTTATAATAGCTACAAGACCATGACCTAATTACGAGCCCAACAAGAATGAGCCCGTTAACGACAAACCCTACTACATTCCTTAACACTCCCCCTCAAGTTGAGCATCAGATTAAGGAATGCACAACTTGGACAATTAAAACAAAACTAAAACTAGAAAAATTGATAAAGAACTTGAACTTGATCTGCTGTGACAACAACGAACGAAGGTGACCGGCCCTGCAAATGAACAATAAATTTTGATGACGAATGACTCCCACGCGGTGACACGGGGACGACTAACAAGCATCCCAAACTTGGAGGTCGTGTTACCGGACTGAGGCGCGACTATGCGACCAACCTCACAAACTGATATGTCGAACTGAGGCGCGACTATGCGACCAACCTCACAAACAAACATGTCGAACATACAGCTGGTTGCACTTGAACATATGAAATAGCAACCCAAAACAATGTCATCAAAACATCAACAAAATAGCTCGGTCCAAATACGAAAATCTTCTTCCGTGAAGTACGAGCAAACAAATCCATTAATCACTATAGAACTAGTAATATTGGAATAATAATATTGCTCCTTGAATTGTGGAGTACACGATAGAATATATTAGGAGAGACTCCTAACACAACTAGGAATAGAGAATGGAAACTAACTAAAATACAACTTCTACCACAAATAGGATTAGGTTGCTGACTAATAATGAAACACTATCATAACCAATACTACAAGAAATACTATTAGTATTATTGTCTAACATCCCCCCTCAAGCTGAACTCTGAAACAAGAGGAAGCTTGGACACTAGCTGGAAACTGGAAACTTTGAGAAGAGAGAAGTCTGACATGCGCCGGTGGCTGCTCAGATCACGTCGTTGGAGAAGAGAGAAGAGAGAAGTGTGACGCGCGCCGGTGGCTGCTGACGTCGTTGTAGAAGAGAGAAGTCTGACGCGCGCCGGTGGCTGCTGACGTCGTTGGAGAAGAGAAAAGTCTGACGTGCACTGGTAGGTTCTAACGCCGTTGGAGAAGAGAGAAATTGACGTGCGCTAGTAGCTGCTGACGTCGATGAAGAAGAGAGAAGGTTGACGTGCGCTTGTAGCTGCTGACGTCGAAGAAGAATAGAGAAGGCTACTGGAGGTGCCTGTTTGACTGAAGATCCTTGACTTTTTTTGTCTTTTTCTTGGATCCGGGCAATGCCCTATTTCCTTCTTGAAGGGGTGAGTTGTAGAGGTCTTATTTCCTCTTTCACTACTTCCCCTCTTGACTTTGCTTTTGTGTTGATTTACTTTGGATTTTTATTGGTTCAACCGAAGAGAAAGAAAAGGGAGGTTGATGATTAGAATAAGTGATTTTAGAGAGAAAAAGTAGGTTAAGAATTGGTGATGGGAAAAAAAAATTTGGGTATGAGATTTTGATATGGTGAATGGGAGAGAAACAAAAATCATTTTTTTTCATTTTTTGGAGAAGATAGGATGAGTTGAGAGAGTTTGTGTGGAGTTGGTTTTTTTTTTTGAAGAACCATGGAGATGACAAGAGAGAAGCTCTTTCTTTGACGGCTTTTTTTTGTGATTTCAACACGGAAATTTTTTCTTTTCTTTTTTTTTTGAATGGAAAAGTTAATTTGAGGATAAAAGAAGGAAAATAAAATAGAGGTGAATAAGGTGGAGCCACCGTCGCCGGAATTACCGGCGGCGGCGGTGGAAGCAGAGAACTCTTTTAGGTCACCAAGAGCGGTGGCTCTGATACCATGTTGAAATATTGGAATAATAATATTGCTCCTTGAATTGTGGAGTACACGATAGAATATATTAGGAGAGACTCCTAACACAACTAGGAATAGAGAATGGAAACTAACTAAAATACAACTTCTACCATAAATAGGATTAGGAAGCTGACTAATAATGAAACACTACCATAACCAATACTACAAGAAGTACTATTAGTATTATTGTCTAACAAAAATATATCCTATATTTTTAGTCCCTTTATTATTAATAGGTTATAATATTGAAAAGGAGAAACCAAAAAAAATCTTATTATCAATTATATAAGTTAAACTATCATTCGTGTCATATTCATATATAAAAGTCTCTATATAAGGAATACAAAACTTGATCCCAATAATTCATACTCAGCTTTAACATGTTAATGAAAGTTATAAAGATCAATTCAACTAAGTGGAGAACATCTACCGTACAACGGGTGCACCTAGGGCTAGGTATCCCCGTCAAAGGTTCATTTTGAATTAGCAAAAAGCTCATTTTGAATCAAAAGTGTCACGTCCTGACGGACTGATGACGTAAACAACCGTTGTACGAATCATCGAAGCTTTCATAGGAAAAAGTCTCCTATGAATCATTCAAGGCTAACGATACATAATCACATCAAGCGGAGTCATTTATCAAATAGATCGAGATCAAAGTTTATGCAGAATACACTGTAATAGCCACATAAGGCCGTTTAAAGAATTACAAACTTGAAATAAGAGTTCTGAATACACGCAAGCATAATATAGACTTCAAAAGAGACAAGCCCACAAACCATGAGTCTTGCTTGCAACTAGTACCTAACCACAAATACTTTTGCAGAAGATAACTATGCACCATAAAATATAGTTTAAGTGGCGGGGTAAGTACAATGCCACATCGTGTATTGGTGAGTGGAGAAATACAATACAATATTGCATTAATTTGTCCATGTCAACCAAGCACATGTCTGACACCCGAGTATCATTTACTCTGATCTGTAGAAAAATAAGAGTTCGTCTTTGATATTAAAATAAATTATTCAACCCTTGGGGTGCTCCTCTATTGTGATAAATTAAATTGATCAAATTATTATGAAACACCCACCGAAGTGTCAACCTTAAAAATCTACTATCGCATTTTCACTTTAAATTAAACAATCCCGTGGGATTAATCATTTTAAAATTCTCTTAGGAGATCATTAGTTAGTCGTGCTACATTTCCACACAAAATATTTGAGGCTTGAAAAGTTCTCATTTTACTCCTAGAAAATAAGAGTTATATCTAACTCCTAATTTGTCAAGGTGAAATTTCCAGATTTGGTTCAAAATATTCATAATTTCTGTCTTTTAGTTTAATCAACAATTTTTTAAAATCTGAGGAGGGATTTGGTACTCATTTGATTTTTCTTAAGATTATCCAATTAAGAGTTCATGAATTCACTTGAGCAAGGCTTCAGTTTGATTTAAAACCTTACTTAAATTCAGTCTTTTATTTCTAGCAAAATCCCCCACCCCCTTCTCTTAATGGCTTAGTGGCTTGGCTTGGGTGTTTGTTTGTATACAATTGTATATGAGTTAGTCACTACTCCATCTCACAAAGTCTCTTTTTTCTTTTGAAGGTACAAAAGAATTGAGGGGAAGATGTGACTGGCTTCTTGAATGGTTTATTGTCAAAGATTATTAGAATTGATATATGTATAGGGGTATCTCTATTTGGGGTTTAAGGCTGAGGGATACGGGGACGGGAAAGGTGATGTGGCACTACGAGAGGGAGGGAATCCCCGCCTCCGGTCCCCTATGTGGGAATAGGAAAGGCGGATTTCCTCCCGTTTCAATTTCATTTCCTTCCTTTGTCAAATTCACTTTCTCCGTTATCTTTTCATGATTTTCTTCCCAAAAATTGTTGTTAGGTACCCCTAATTTTGTAAAAATAACTTTTAGGTCCCATCATTTTTTAAAAATATACTCCAGAGTACCCTAAAATATCCAAAAAATTGCTCTGGGGTATTTTGCTTTTTTCCTTTTATTATTATTTCCAGATAATAATAATAATAATAATAATAATAATAAAAATAATAAAAGGAAATAAAGAAAAATCTCCCAGAATAAGTTTTTGGAAACTTTAGGATATTTCGGAAGTTATTTTTAAAAATAATGGGACTTAAAAGTAATTCTTAAAAAAATTGAGGTACCTAACAGTAATTTTTGGAAAGTATGAAAAGATGATGGAGAAAATGTATTTGACCGAGAAATGGACGGAATGTCCCCTAAAGTTAGTTTTTGGATAGTTAAAGAAGGTAACTGGAGTATATTTTCAAAGAGCAATGCTAGGGGTACACCATTTGGTGTACCCCAAATGTACACCACCCTCTTTTCCTCCACCTTTGGGGTACACCTTTGGCGTACAGCTAGCATTTTTCATTTTCAAAAAAGAAAAAGATGGTACCTGCCACCCGACATCAATTTTGTGGCCTGAAAGTGTGAAAGTTACAATTCTTTGTGCAAGCTGTAGGGAGTACTTGCTGTTAATTGGTTTGCGAAATTGATTGCACAGTGAAATTGAAATAACAACACTCCGCAATTCCGCATTGCAATGGTGTTTGCTCAGGAATGAATGGCTACACCCATTATCGAATAGAACGCCGAAGCTGAAAAAAGCACAGTGAAATTGAATAACAACACTCCCCCCCTATGGCTTCTAGCTTTCTTCTCTCGGTAATGGCTTCTCATCTTCTTTCTCCCCATTTCTGTTTTACATTTTACTTGACTTCTAGTAATGGCTTCTCGTAATTGAAGTTTACTTTTTCAGACCCAGATGCCAATTCAGGGCAAGAGAATCCCCCAACCTAGCTTCCGGGGTATGCTGCTTGAATGATTGATTCTAAAGTGTTTTTCTTTCTGCATTTCTGCTCACTCTTTGGCAAATTGCTAGTTGATGTGCTTTGTGTTATAGTACATTTTAGTGTAATTGGAGTGACTATTTGACCAATGTAATAATCATAATAATCATCAAAGCAGTCAATGTAATCATAATGGCCTCGTTTGCCCCTAATTATTTAATCGAGGTTCCAAGGGGGCAGCGCCCCTTATAGGGAGTCCGGGGCCACATTCAAGGGGCGGCAATCCCTGCTGGGTAGAATTTTTTTATATATTTTGGACAAAGTGTTGTGTTACAAATTCATTTGAATTTTTATTTTTCGGATGTGTACATAAGAAAATCCGAACTGCATCTCTTGAACAATTCGCCAAATAGATGCGAACATTAGAGAAAGGCATAAAACTGAAGTTCTCGCTCTTTCCCGCCATTAGATTGGTCAAAACTATGGTTTGAAATTATAACAGCAATCTGTATGCTTTCAATTCTCCCCGAGTTGTATTTGATTGAAAGATTCGTGTGAACCACTGAATAGTTTCAATCTGAAAAGTGAATACACGTCTTTCAGAGAATCCCAGTGCCGATTCAGTTTTTCTAACACTTTGTGCCTTGTTCTTTTTTGTGCTCTTAAAATGAATAGTTTCAATCTGAAAAGTGAATACACGTCTTTTAGAGAATCCCAGTGCCAATTCAGTTTTTCTAACACTTTGTGCCTTGTTCTTTTTGTGCTCTTAAAATGAAAATAGTTAGTGAGAGAGGTTTTTTTTGGGTCGTGAGAAAAACCCACTTTCGTAAGTTTCAAGTTGCAGAGATGAGGTCATGAGGATGTTGGGGTGGATGCTAAAATCTGGAGCAAGGATATTTGGGGCAGGGTGAGAGTGGTACGTGTGGAGGATAAGCTGTGGGGAGGTAAATTAAGGTGGGTCGGGCACGTAAGTGGAAGAAATGAAGAAGCTTGGAGGAAATATGAGAGGCTTGCGGTCAAGGGCGTGAGTAGGGGTAGAGGTATACCTAATAAGAGTTGGAAGGGGGTAATTACAAAGGATTTACGATTTCAAAATTTTATTGAGGATATGACCTTAGGTAAGAACACCTGAAGGTTTAAGATTAGAGTAGTTGGGTAGACCTCGGGTCATAGTTTGTATTTTATGTTGGTGTTTTTTCGTCTTAATCTGTAGCTTGTGCATGTGCTTCATATGTTTTAAGTCTAGTTTCTAGTATTAGTATGTGTGCTTCTTGTGTCTGTGCTCTTACTGTGTTCGTGGTAATGTGTTTCTTTGTGTGTACTTCTGTATGTGAGTCGAAAGTCTCTTGTCTACTTCCACGACTCCACACTCCCATAACCATACTTTTTGTGGGACTTTACTGGGTTTGTTGTTTTGGTTTTTGCAGTCAAAGTGGTGTTATTTTCTTGATTAGTTTTCTTGATATGGGCATCAACACTTTCATGAGATATTGTTTGTATAATTTTTTTATTTAGATTGTTCCTATAAGCTTCTCATTTTTGGGCCTTTTCAGCTTATTTTCCGTCAACCCTTCCATCTAAAATTTTCAACTTTTAGGCCACTGCACCACTTTTAGTTCACTTTATCTTACATGATTCTTCAACTCTCTATGGGTTTTCCATTTTTATCTTTTTCATAAATTTCTCACTTGATAATGCATGTTGATTGTTGTTCTATATTTGGAGGGGAAATGTTCTAAAAACTAACTTCAACCAGATTTATTCAATTTCTTTCCAATCATGTTAAGCAGGTGCTGCTCCAGAAGGTCTAAATAAGATAAATATATGCTCATCTTCCTTCAGGAAACAAATTGCTATAAAAGCAGTGGCAGTTCCGGTTGCCCCACGCTCTCATTCAGAAAGTGAAGAGGATAGGAAAATATTATGCGAAAGATATGGCTTTAAGAAGATTGGAGAACCACTACCGGATAATGTCACATTAAAAGATATCATAAAAACACTTCCAAAAAAGGTATTTTTTAGGAATACTATTTTTTACTGCCAACCGTTCTTCACTACTTTTCATTGAAATTCTGTCCACAAATAAGCATTGACCATTATCATTTTTCTCTTGGGGCTACAATCACAAACTTGATTTAATAGTTCAGTTGGTTCCTTGACACAGTGTCTCTGATTTTTAATAGTGTAAGGTCTTTGTGATCATACGCCAAACCTCGAGGCAGGTTACATATAATAACCATTTTATTTTAATTAATAACATGTTATTGTCGTCATGATGATTTAACTCTGCGTTTAGTTGTTTGAGATTGATGATTTCAAAGCATGGAAGACGGTTTTAATATCAGTGGCATCATATTCTTTGGGACTTTACTTGATTGCAAAAGCCCCATGGTATTTATTCCCGTTAGCTTGGGCATGGACGGGAACTGCAATAACCGGAGTAAGTTCCACTTTTACCCTTCCCGATTTCATCTGCCGCTTTCCTTTTTTTAAATTACAAATTGAGCCATACTGAGGATCTCATGTGGTTTGCATTATGTTTGCTATTCAGTTCTTTGTAATAGGGCATGATTGTGCCCATAAAGCATTTTCAAGAAACAAATTTATTGAGGACATTGTCGGAACTCTAGCTATGTTGCCATTGATTTACCCCTATGAACCTTGGCGGTTTAAGCACGATCTCCATCATGCAAAAACTAACATGTTAGTACTGCTTCTCAAAGATGTGGCATTTTTGTAAATAAGTTCTTGCTTATTCAATTGGGTCTATTGGAAACAGCCTCTCTGCGTACACATACCCTCGTCAAACCAGACTTTTTATGGGATTTTACTGGGTTTGTTATTGTTGCTTTTCAATTGGCTATTTCTCACTTGTCTCTAATTCCAGGTTGTTAGAGGACACGGCTTGGCACCCGGTTTGGAAAGAGGAGTTTAATGCAATGCCATCATCACGTAAGGCTTTGATAATTGGTATGGGACCCATTCGACCTTGGATGACAATAGTTCACTGGTATGTGTACTAATGACCCAATTAGTGTGTAGTAGAGCTTATTTTGTAGCTAATGAAAGCCCTAATAAGCTACTGACCCAAACATGGGGATATATGCGTGTGAAACTTCATTATACAATCAACTCGTGGGTTTCTTTTTAGGTTGCGGTGGCATTTTGATTTGAACAAGTTCAGACCAAACGAGATGAAGAGAGTGAAGATAAGCTTAGCATGCGTCTTTGCATTTATGTTCATTGGATGGCCATTGATCATCTACAAAGCTGGAATAATTGGATGGGTCAAGTTTTGGCTGATGCCATGGTTAGGTTATCACTTTTGGGTAATGTTTACTTCTTTTCACAGTACAACAACAACATCAGCAACAACGCGATATAATCCCTACTTTGTTTCCGTTAGACCAAAATGTCATTGAAAATAAGAAGCAAACAAAGTTTAATGTTTCTATGTGACCGAAACTAAAACAATGTCAATGATGACTCTTTTAGCTCCATTAGCAATGGACAAAACTTCTTTTTTGCAGTGGCACTTCAATACTAAGTGAATTTTCAATCCTTTTGTGTGCCCTTAGATGAGTACCTTCACAATGGTTCATCATACGGCTCCGCACATTCCCTTCAAGTACTCCAATGAGTGGAATGCAGCTCAGGCCCAACTTAACGGGACAGTTCATTGCGACTATCCTCGTTGGTAAATATTTCGCTTTTTTTGGGGGTGGGGGGCAATAAGGTCATTTGGATCACCATCTAAGATCTGTCGTCTGTTTTTTTGCGTGGCAGGGTGGAGATCCTTTGCCATGATATTAATGTGCACATCCCCCACCATGTGTCTCCCAGAATACCAAGCTACCATCTAAGGGCAGCTCATAAATCCATCCAAGAGAATTGGGGAAAGGTATGATCCTAAACAAATCATTTGGCTTATCAACCTTATTGGGCATAATTTCTACCAAACAGTTATGAATATTGCATTACAGTTTTGCTGAAACAAAGATAAATGACCATTCTACCCTCGACTTTAGTTATTGCGGCATTGTTTATACTACTTCAACAAACCAAGATTTCTCCATGTTTTAAAACTGTTTTCTTTTTTTTTTGTCATTGTAACAGTACCTGAATGAGGCTACGTGGAACTGGCGTCTAATGAAGACGATAATGACAGTCTGCCATGTCTATGATGCAGACCGAAACTATATTCCATTCGACGAAATTGCCCCTGCAGACTCTCAACCGATCGCCTTTCTTAAAAAAGTAATGCCTGATTATGCTTAGTGAGGTGGTGGTCTTCGGTGTTCCGGCTACTTATCAAGCGTGATTGTCTTTTTAGCCTCTCATTTTTTTGCAGTTTGCAAAGAAAAGTTCAGGTTTCTGGTTTATTTGAAGTTTTGCATCCCTTCATTATACAGTATTATATACACACATTCATGTCAGTCTTCATGGATCAAGATTTAAAAAAAAGCATGCTCCAATGAGCATACTCCTCTTGTCTCTAAAAGAAGTTCTCGTTTGTTTTGTGCCGGAGTTTAAGAAAAAATTAAATTGTAAAATGGAATGAACTAGCTACTTGTATATTTTCCTAAATGGGGTATGAACTTTTTTTTGGGATAGCTAGAAAAGAAAAGGTATAAGTTCTTTTAAGAAGGAAGCATATTTTGCCTTATTTATAAAGAGTTTTGATGAATTTGGTCCATCTTTTATTGTGTGTTTGTGAGTGAAGATGCTCAACTCACAATTCATTTAAAACTCTTAATTACAATTGGTTGAGTTATGGAACTAATTCAATCAAAAATTCAGAATTGTAGTTGAATTTCAATTAATGGTTTTTTCTCCTTACAATTGTTACCAACCCGCTCATCACACTATGAAAAGTAAAAGTTTGTAGTTTATTTTGGAAGACAAAAGTATTTTGTTAGACATGATTATATCTTTTTCTACTTTCTAGGGGTAAAATTACTTTGTACTATAGTACCTCCAAAGTACTACTCTCCTTATGCCCCTATTTATAAAATTGTAATTCATGATGCTTAAAAGAAATTCATTTAAAAATACACTGAATTATACGGAATATAAAAAATAGAATCAACCAAATAATATAATGGAGTATTTTTATTCGAATTAGATGAAATTGTTTTAAATATGAAAAAAATTAGAGATAAATCAAGTTTGTATCTCAACTTATATGTATGTGTCAGTGATTCAATTTGTGTGCAAATTAAGATAGTGTACCTAAGCATGCCTCTTTTAATATAATTTTTTTGAAATTATTTAAATATAATTTAATCATGAAAAATGTTAGGGGTACACCTTTGGTGTACCCAAATGTACACTACTCCCTCCAATGCTAGGGGTGGGCATTCGGGTCCCGAGTCGGAACCGAACCGCCAGGTTCGGGCCGAGTTAGGTCCGGGTCGTCTTTTCAAAAATTTAAAACGGTCCGGGTCGGTCCGGTTCCTATAGATTTTAGGGTCGGTCCGGTTCCCCATTTTGAAATTGTTTGGGACCCGGACCGGACCGTTTTTTAAATACTAATATTATTTTTTAATATTTTTTTAGTAAATATACGGTATACCCGCCTATTCCAATTAATTTTAGTAACTCTTTCGGTCCTTCCATATTCCAATCGCATGCAAAAGTGCAGAACCGCAAGCAGAAGTGCATAACTCTTTTGATCCTTCCATATTCTTTAATCATTTGCATATTTTTGTGTGTGGAATATGGTTGATTTTAAAATTTTGTTTTTTGCAGGTTTTTTGGATTTTTTGGAAGCCATGAAGATTGTCAATTTTGCTCTTTTTGAAACCTATTGACATTATAATGCCAAAATGTGGGTGTCTTCTTTTTGTTGTTGTTGTTGGATGATCATGGGGTGTACACTTTACTCTCATGTCCCTCTTTGTCATTGTTTTTTTTATTTATTCCTCTTTTTGAACTTTGAAGGCATTATTCTATAATTTCTATTTGTTTTGAAGAATGTTAGTATTATGATAGGTTCGGACCCGTTGACCCGTGGAATCGGCCCGTTTCAAACAAGCCGGGTTAGGTCCGGTTCCAATTTTAAAATTTTGAAAACTCGTTCCGGCCCGGACCGTTTTAATAAAAACAAGCCGAGTCCGGTTTATATAAATTTGGGCTCGGACCGGCCCGTGCCCACCCCTATCCAATGCCACATATATTGGCAAATAAAATAAACAAAAAATAAATAAATAAAAATGAGTGGTAGAAAAATAGGTGGTGTACATTTGGAGTACACTTTTGGTGTATCTCTAGCATCCCTCTTTAATCTTAATACTTTATTAAAAAACGAAATTGATTTGGGCCTCGTTTGGAAATAACCTTTGCGATTAGCGTTAGCTTTTTAGATAAAATTTTAATGATGTAGATTAATTCTGAAAACGCTAACGCTAATGCTATCGTCAAATAGCTTTTTCAAAACGCTAACTCTGACCTAAGCTGTACATGACTCAAGAGTAGCCTGGCTTAAGTGACCGTCTTCTTCACCATCCTTATCCCTTTTTTGCACTATATAAATACAGAGCGGCCCACGCATCACAAATGGCCGCACTGAGATCCTCACTATTGGCTACGACTCATTTCGCGATTGCTGCAACTTCTACCTCAAGCTCTACTTCTGGATTTTTCCTGAAATTCCGATTCAGGTCGACCTTGGCCATTTCTGCCTCTGTTTCACCACTCTGTCGCAGAAGATCTAGGTGCATGGCTCACTCCATGGCCGCCGCCCGGGATACGCTTGGCCTCACTCGTCCCGTTCAACTCGACCACCCCAAGGTTCTCTCCTTTTCTTCATTGTTGTTTTTTCCCATCAATTCTATGCTTTCATCAATGTGAACTTTGTTTTCTGGAGCGAAATTCTGTTCGTGTTCGATGTTTTCTCGAATAGTTTTTGTTTTTTGATCATTTGGTAACATATTGGGCAATAAAGGTTTGATCTTTGAGATAGTTTTTGGGTGAAGAGTATGCTGTTCTGTTTAATCTCTCTTTGGTGGATTTCTGAGATAATATTTGCTGAATTCCTCTCTTGTTCTTGCATGAGGAAGATCTCACTTGCTGCAAAAGAGATTGATTTAGTTGAATGGAAAGGAGACATTCTTGCAGTGGGTGTTACAGAGAAAGACATGGCTAGAGATGAGAACTCCAAGTTCCAAAATTCGATCTTGCAAATGTTAGATTCAAAATTGAGTGGTTTGCTGTCAGAAGCTTCGTCCGAAGAGGATTTTTCTGGAAAATCTGGCCAGTCAACTGTTCTTAGACTCCCAGGCATTGGTTCTAAAAGGATTGGGTTAGTTGGACTTGGGCCAGGAGTTTCTTCAACAGCAGCCTATCGGGCTCTCGGCGAGACCGTTGCTGCTGCTGCTAAATCTGCTCAGGCAAGTAGTATTGCTGTTGCACTTGCTTCTGTTGAAGGCCTCTCGGAGGAATCAAAGCTCAGTACTGCCTCTGCAATAGCGACCGGTATCTGTTTGTCAAAATGCGTAGCTGGAACTGAATTGATCATATCAAGCTGAATCTGAATGTCTTAATTTTCATTTGTATAGGAACTGTGCTTGGGACTTTTGAAGATAACAGGTTCAGGTCAAAGTCAAAGACCCCCACACTCAAGTCTCTCGAAATTATTGGTCTTGGTGCCGGGCCGGAGATTGAAAAGAAACTCAAGTATGCGGAAGATGTTTGTTCGGGTGTGATCTTTGGAAAAGAGCTTGTGAATGCACCTGCCAATGTAGTTACCCCTGGTTAGTAAAGTTGTTTTCTTTTAGTCCGTAACATTATGTATTGCTCATATTTTCCTGGCTTGTTATTTTTAGGCTATGTATGTAACAAATGAGGTTATTGGGAAGAGAAGAAATGCCAATGCTTGGTATTTCCTAGGAAAATATGAGGACAATTAACTTTGAGGAAACACTCCTAAAATTTTCACATACCCCTTATATCTAGAGTTATCCGTGTATAGCATATAATCAAATTGGTTTGGGCTAATATCTACAATTGATATATTGAATTTGAACCCTTACTATAATTATAATTTTCCCTTGCATTTTCTCTTCTTCTGATTTTCCCCTATATTTTCCTCTCTTTTTTTCCTTGTTGTCTTCCAAGTCCCAAACTTTACCCTTATTTTTACTAAAGGTGAAATTTTGGTATCGCTTATGTCGTGGAAACTTGTGCTATGCAGAGGTACTTGCTGAGGAGGCAAAAAATATTGCAGCATTGTACAGTGATGTTCTTACTGCAACAATTCTAGATGTTGAGCAGTGCAAAGAATTGAAAATGGGATCATATTTAGGAGTTGCTGCAGCTTCTGCAAATCCTCCTCATTTCATTCATTTGTGCTACAAACCTACAACTGGATCAGTCAAATCCAAGCTTGCTTTAGTGGGGAAGGGATTGACTTTTGACAGGTAACCAGTCTTTATTATTGATACTGAATGGTCTTGCAGGAGCATTTGATTGTGTATAGGTGGTATTTACCTAAAACCCTACTCTTGTTTATATTTTAAATGCTTATTAAATAAAGTGAAAATATTAATCCACTACAGAGTACTATTCTTTTAATAATTATTAAATACAAATGAAGGTATAATAAATTTATGGGAATTTCTCTGATGTCACCCTCATGGTTGGGGTATTTATCAGAATGACCATATCACCCATATGCACATATTCTAAAATAACCATTGGTTAGGCTAAGAAACCTTGGGAATTTCCATAGATTACCCTTGTTCTAAAAATGGTGCATTTGGGCAGGTCAATTTGAAAAAAATGCAATATGAATTGAAGGCACCTTAAATTAGTACTCCCTCCCCTCCAGTCCTTTATAATTAGATGTGGTTCTGGCTTTCAAGAAAATGATTTAATACATCTAAAAATCTAAAATAATCTTCAATATCCTAATGTGCACTTAAAATAATTTTATGGGGAATATGTTTTTAACTTGCAAGAGGAAGAATTGTGCAAGAAAAAATAAATGTATGTTGATAGTATAAAAGTGACATAATTTGCCCCCCCCCCCCCCCAAATAAACTAATACATCTTATGAGCTGAGGGAGTATTGCATTATAAATAAAATTAATGATCACCTAAAGAATCAAAAGTTTACCCCTCCCCTTCATCGATTGGCTACAGTAGTTATTGTAATCGGCGAAGGATAGGGGATAGGAACCATCAATTTTTCTAATGGAGCACCGTACGAGGCTCGGGTCATGCTATGACATAGGGTTCAATGTCATTTGAACCGCGCCAAACTTTACATCCATATTTTACTTGATTTTTTTGGGGGGTTATTTTCTCTTGAATAACTTTGTTGTGTAAATTTTAGTGGTGGTTACAACATCAAGACTGGGCCGGGCTGTTCAATTGAGCTGATGAAATTTGATATGGGTGGTGCTGCAGCAGTTTTGGGTGCAGCAAAAGCTATAGCGCAAATAAAACCTGCTGGAGTTGAAGTATGTCTTATTATTCTCACTTGCTCTAGGGGATTATTTTAGGGTCACTACATTGCATGGATCTGTATTGTCTCTATCTCATATCAATCCTAATTGTTATCATATGGCAGAT